GAATTTTGGTGATTTTTGATCATGTTCATGGATTTTAATGCATTTTCGAGGCATCACCCAAGGCTTTCCTGGTGCAACTCACCCGGTTTTTTTCTCCGCACGTGGCTGTCGCAAAAAAGGAAGGCACCAGAGGCTTCGCCTGAGGCACCTCAGCGAAGTCGCGTGGGGGTCCTGTGGGATTCCCGTGGAAAAATGGTCAGTTTGATTTGATTTTATGGTGATCAATGGGAAATACGAGGATTTTATGGAAATTGTCGGGGTAATGATCTTGGTATCTATTTCAAACCTACTCACCAATACCAGCATAAGTACAAGAGGCCAAATGCGTAAAGCCGATAGTAGTCTTTTCATTACAACTTAGAGTGGCCTGATAGAAGGGAACGTTTACAGGAACCATGGTTCTTACTGTCCAAACACGCCCAAACATGATGATTTCATGAGATTTCCTGCGCATAGATGCCTCGTGATGCCCGATAAAGAAACTAAGCAATAACCAACACTTCATGTACATGTACACATGCAAGGACATGCATACCCATTTTTAGAAAAACTTAAATACCTTTATGAAGAAGAATCACGGATACAAGTAGCATCAAGTAATATCAACACAAGTATATCTTGACCCCTCACCGAGCCATGTCTAATCCCATTTCTGACATCTTGAAGCTGACTGTGCGCCGCCAAGTGGCCAAGCTATGCTTCCCAGTGGCTCGCTAGGATCATATGCTGCACACTTCCTGGGGTCACGTATTGGATGACTCGGATGACTGGTTGAAACTGGTTGCATCAACAGGAAAGGGTTGCTCGGCTCGTTTTTGTTCAGCTGGAATCAATTGCCTTAGGGTGGGAAATCGCCATCAAAACCATTCAGGATCATCCGTGGATAGCTTTGGTGAAGCCCTATTGGCAGATTTCTTGGCATGTCAAATGGCTTAAAAACGAAGCAGCTGCAAACACTAGTGGTTGCACTGACATAGAATGAAAGCCTACGCTCACCAAAACACAAGGTGGTGATTGTCTGACCATGAATTGTTTTTTCCAGCTTCGTACAGAATCCGTACTTCTTCCCGTGCTAGGATTCCTTGTCGTGCCCTACCATCCTCATTAAACAAGACATTCAGCAACCTGTGCCGTCCCCAGCTCCAAAACTCACTGCTGGGCGTCTCAGAAGTGCGGTTGTCCGTTTTAAGCCTGCGAAGACCACCGAGAGGTGGGCCATCTCGTCGTGCGACATGCAAAGTTCGGGTTGGTCGTCGTCCAAGCCAAAGAATTTAGGAACGGTGTCCCGCATAAATTCCTGGTGACGTGTCAGAGATGGGACTGGAAACACTGAGGTGCTTCGGGTGGTGCTGGGTGATGCTTAGATTAGGAAAAAAGGAGGACATAAAGATGTACTGACATGTATTGAACAATTAATGGACATGAGCATGAAGCCTTTTCCTGCTGGACATTGTTAATGGATTGAGGCAAACTTGAATCAAACAGGGACCGCAGAAAAACATGTGGTTTCTCAAATAGAAGCACATCTGAGACAAACAAGTAAAACCTACAAAACGATTGGCGCTAGCGATGTGCATAAAAGGGGATTTGAGCCAGGACCACCAAAATAGAAGAGACAGCAGCGCAACACATCATTTTGCAGTATTGTTGACTCTTTCTTTTAACTATGGCATAGACTCCGTACCAGCATTGCGCATGGTAAATCATTCAATTGGGCTTTGCGATCTCCAATGGGGCTGAAGAAACACATGTGTGTGCTACCTTCAGCCAACCAAATGTCTTGGGGCAAACCAAACCTTTTGCCCCCTTTTGATCTCACCATGACACGGTCAGCATCTGTCCTCTTCAACCCGCTGCTGCTCTTGAAAGAACTGATGAGTGGAATCCTCATCTGAGAAGCCCGCAAACCTTGCAGTGGCAGGGCGGAAAATCCATGGCTTTTGTACAGGCTTTTTAGACTGCTGCTAGCATAACGCGAATATGAAGTGAACCTTTGTATACCTTTGTTGGAATGTCTGTTAATGCACTCTTACGCACCAAACCTGTTGGCGGCAAGTCAGGGCCATCCGTCTGAGGTCTTGGTACTGCAGGCAAAGTGGCTGCTGCACTGTCTCGTGCACGAAAACCTTCAGCAGCTTTCGGACGCCCGCAAACTTCAGGAGTAGGATGACAGACTTCTCATCCCCAAACATGCCTCTCCGGCCAGCGCGAAATACTATGAACATCTTTCACCAAGCATTGCGCACTTTTCATCAGCGAAATTTTTGAAAACTATGTGACGCATGATCATTCCCTGGTCATCCTCCAGGCCTTTCCGGAAATCATGACTAGAACAAATGTCCAAAATGACTTGAGGAAGCAGTTGGGGACAGTTGAAGAGACTCGGAGAGAGGTCTTCAACACTGAATACTCTACTCCGTCCTTTTCCAATGTGAGGAATATATAGCTGATGACAATGCCTTTTGCTGTACTGGTAAGATGATCAAAGAAGTCAATGTCAGCATTCTGTCTCCGACAAATCGGAACTCAACCCTCAGGATCTCTAGTCCGCTTCTTGACGCTTGATTGCTGCCGGGATGCAATAGGTGTTGTTGCTCGTGGAACCTTCCTTACAGCAGGCTTTACTTCCACACGGGCAACGAGAAAACACAGCAGCTTCCTATTGATGGAGGAAGTGAGCACTTGAACCAATTATCAGCGACATGACAAGGCAAGGTGGGTCTGACCTTTTCCTGGAAGACTCTCAGCTAGGATCTGTGACTACACCGCAACCTACCTCACCTATGTGGAGCCAAATGCCGTCAGAATAAAACCATTCCGCACGCGAACATCTCACTACCAGGTGCATATGCTCGCCACTTGCAGTCATCACCCAGATCATCCCTAGAGATGAACAAATACAATGCTTTCAAACCACCAAACATAGAGAAACATACCACCATCTTTCCATTCTGGTGCGTTCCAAAACCATGGTTTCCGGTTTTCTCCCCACTCTTTTCTCGTTAAAACTCCAGAATCTCCAAGCCCAAAACCAACGAACAATCCACCAGCTGAGCATCCGCCAGCTGCACAAAGGTGGGGAATTTCTCATCACCGCTGCGGCCGTTCTCTGCGATGGCGGACTCCAGGGTGGCCAGGGTGATCCTCAAGGCGCTCCCGCTGATCATGGTGATCTTTTGAAGGAAAAACCATGAGAAAACACGAATTAGATCCTGAGACGCCAACAGAAAGATGCAAATTTTTGCAGAGGTGTCAAATGTCATCTCAAATATTTATGCTGCAGGTATGATACTTAAAGGTCAAGCTTGTTTGGGTTATTTGATGTATATCAATTCGAACAATGGAGATTCTTGAATGGCTTGTCTTTTGGTGTCTTTCTTGATCTGCGAAAACTAGAAGCACTTGCCGATTTCAACTCATAACTGAGGCAAAAGTGATGGTAGAACCTGGAAGAAACAACACGTATGAGGATTTCACACAAAACATGCGGATTTATCCATGGAAACTGGCCGTCTTTCCGGTGATTCAACCAATACATAGGAGCTTCCAACCAAGCTCCAGAAAAACAATCTGTGACCTTCACATATCCTACTGGGCAACTTTCCTTGAGAACTAATAACAAATGATCAGTGAGATCTTGTCCAAGCATCACGACGTTCTCCATCTCATTGCACACCTGCGGGCTGTTGCGGCTCTTGCAGACTCTTGCAGTTGTGCTTCCTCATCTTCCTATGGGGCGAATCCTTTTTGCCCCATCTGCTACCCGCCATCATGGCCCAGTAAAGTTGGATCATCTGCCTGATACCTCCTCGACAATCACAAGACTCAAACACTACGGAGGCCAACCTCCCCATCCAGTCCACAAAAGCAGGTACAAGAGTGTCAAGGCGTTCAATCACTTGCAAATCTTGGAAACAAGTGATCTCGTCTTGTCAATGTGGGATACACACACACAGAGGCATTCACACACACAAATAGGTATGCGTATATAAATATATACATACATAGATACATAGATACATAGATACATAGATACAAACATACATAGATACATAGATACATAGATACATAGATACAGAGACACATAGATATATAGATGCATAGATACATAGATACATACATACATACATACATACATACATAGATACATAGATACATACATACATACATACATACATACATACATACATACATACATACATACATACATACATACATACATACATACATACATACATACATACACACATACACACATAGATACATAGATACATACATACATACATACATACATACATACATACATTTTCATACATTACATACATACATACATAGATGGATGGATAGATAGATAGATAGATAGATCGATACAATACATACATAGATACATAGATACATAGATACATACATACTTTACATGCATACATACATACATACATACATACATACCCACATTACATTACATTACATTACATTCCATAACACAGCAAAACATAACATACATACATTACATTACATTACATTACATACATAGAAACATAGATACATACATTACATTACAGTACATTACATTGCATTACATTGCGTTACATAGACACATAGACACATAGACACATAGATACATAGGTACATAGATACATAGATACATAGATACATACACACATACACACATAGATACATAGATACATACATACATAGTTACATAGATACATAGATACATAGATAGATACATAGATACATAGGTACATAGATACATAGATACAAAGATACATAGATACATAGATACATAGATAGATACATAGATACATACATATCATTCATTCATTCATTCATTCATACATACATACATACATTCATTACATTCATTACATACATTACATACATTACATACATACATACATACATACATGCATACATGCATGCATGCATGCATGCATACATACATACATTACATACATTACATACATTACATACATTACATACATTACATACATTACATACATTACATACATTACATACATTACATACATTACATACATTACATACATACATACGGACATACATACATACATACATCCATACATACATACATACATACATACATACATACACACACACATACATACATACATACATGCATGCATGCATACATACATACATACACACACACACATATATATATATACACACATGCATGTATCCACAAAAAGATGAATATACACGTTCACATGCCAACTCCAAACATCCCGGATCCATTCATTTCATCCTACTGGGCTGACTGCAAATCTGCCAAGGCACGCTGAGAAAGAGGTCATAGTGCCATCGGATGCGCCAGAAACGAGGTTCCAGGGCAGCTTCCTCAGAAAGCATTGACCGGCCACACGGCTTTTGGGGAATACGTTGTTGCCACAACAAGGACGGCGAGGACGGACCGCTCCAATTATTGGGGAAAAACAAAAAGAACCATGGAAGTGGATTGTGAAGCTGGCTTACAGCAGGTTTGCTACAGGTGCCCATGCCAAAGCGAATCTACAGTAATCGAATCAACAGTTGAGCGCAGTTCCTTCTGAATGTCACTTCCGTGCAGCCTGATGTGATCCCCTAATACTATCAAAACACACATCTTGAAGGGATCGGTGCTCCGCCCAAACAATTTCAAGATGCTTCAGTGTTTTCTCATCTCTCCTGTTCCTGACTTCAAGTGAATCAATGGTGTGACAACCTATTCCCGCGTTCTGCCCCGAGGCTCCTCATTCATCTGTTTTGCTTCAAACAACAACTTCCGCGCTTGTGCGGAACGGAAAATCACCTGCATCACGGAAAGCTTCGACCCAACAACGTATAGTGCAGTGGGCAACCAAAGTTTTTTTTTGCATGTTGGCACCAAAAGTGCAATCTTGGAGGCTATTGGGTAGTATTGGCATCATCTTTGGGAGATAGCAATCTATGATGATCTGACTGTTGCGAAGTTTTAGTCGAGTGGAGCAGGAGTAACCATACCAAAGGCTATTTCCGATCGAATTCTGTGGCCTTTTTCTCTTGGGGATCCAGGAGGCTCTTGTAGGACTGGTAGATCCTCGACACAGCGACGCAGCTGTAGCTCTGTCTAGCTGAAACGTGGATCAACTGAAAGAGGAGCACGCTGGAATTTTTGCGACACCAACATACGCGCACACACACAAACATACATATATACGTATTATACGTATAATATATACTTTTTTCCTGCATATACACATATACACATTTACATATATACATATATACATATATGTATATACATATACACATATAATACACATATATATATATACATCTATATACATATACATACATATACGCACACACACACATATATATATTTCTCAAACCGTACATAAAATATAAATATACATAAGCATATACGTATATCACTATACTTATACACATAGCACTACATAGCCGAGCCATCTATCGAAATATAAATATATAATATAAATATATGATTCCATACGGCCACGACCCATGAATCATGCCCAGTTTCTCATTGTAGCATGCATCCAGCTTTCTGTAAGCCAAATCTGAGGCGCCTCAGCGGACCAGCTGCCAGGGTGGAGCTGTTGATGACGCGGCCATGGCCAAGGGGGCGTTCTCACAAGTTCAAAACAGCAGCCACTGTGTAGGAACAGCAGTTTGACTGTGGGGTTGGCCATTGGTTGTTTCTCTCTAGTTGCGAAGCCAATGCGCATCGACCAATAGTATGAAAGCAAAAGGCCTGGCAAAAAAAAGATCATGACCGAACCTTTTTTGAGGCCATCATAATTCAGCCCGATCGTCCGTGGGGGGAACCGACTAAGATAAATACAAGCCCCTACATCGTCGCCACCATTGGCGATGGGTCCATCGACGTCGAACCGGAATGAACCACCACAGTAGCACCCACAGCTTAAGTTTAAAGAGTTGCAAACACAATGACACCTGGTAACAACTAAATTCATCGATTATCAATGCTTTCTTCAAACTACTGTTTTGGATTGTGGAACTTACTCGTTAATTATCAGACCATCTAATATAAGATTAAACGGGAGCACACGCTTCCTCTGTTCCAGGTGAAATTTGCTTGGCAACAATGCTTCGCTATAGACATCCTGGCACGGGCAAGCACCGTCCCTGAGAAGATGACCGGGCAGTTGAAGGAACACATTGTCACATTGCAATCAAGTAAGGACGTTTTGACTGATGCGGGGCGGCTCAAGAAAACACTGCAAGCCGATAGCGATAGGGAACCGGAAGGCTCAGAATTCATGCTTCACCTGCGCAGATTCTTTCGTCGCACCAGCAAACTACAACTGATGGCTTGTGAAATTTGAAGTGCTGGAGAACATTGTTGCAGAACCCGTGGCGGTATGTGCGCCGCAGTCCATGAGCCCTAATTTCGCCATCAGCGTTTTGAATTCCTATCTGAGCCCCCTGAGAACACCTGAAGCCGTTGCCACATTTGCCGTCTTTCGCATCTGAATATTTTGCCAAATGTCTGCAGCACAATGACTTCTGGGGCCCCATCAGCCTGCACGCACTAGGCTTTGGAATTGCGCCATCCATCGCCCTGAAGTCCTGCACATGGGAGCAGGTGCATCTTGAGTGAAGGGTTAACATCTCCAGCGTCAAGGCGCAGCCAGTGAATTTCTGATTTTCGTCGGATTGCATCTTAAGGTGATAGCTGTGCGGTGTCTGGATTTGCCAGTGCTGAGCTGACTTGAAGATAAAGTTTGAAAACTTTCATCGCACTCACACGTCATGAGTCCAGCAGAGGTAGGTGTAGATCATTTGGCCATTGTGGAATTGGATTTCGGCTTCATCAACAAAGGCATTGGTGCCCTGCAAGCGTAAGCTGCCGGGATGCAATGGAAGGGAAGAAGGCGGAGAATGCCGATGAGGTTGGAGTTGAGACGGCCCAGCCAAGAACACCGGACCAGCCCGACAAAGCCGACTGGAAAGGGCATGGCGGAGGCGGAGGACTTACATACAACATTATGCTGCTACGCGACGGAATGCGAATATAGCAGTTGGCCACAAAACTGGGTGGCACGCAGCCATTCTTCCCGGCTGTGCCGTCAGCAGCACATAGCTTGAATTTTGATCTGCGACGTATTGCGACGTGGGTGCGAAACAATAGCATTAATTGCCCGCACCAAGAGCTGATATTCTTTGGGTTCAAGAAACACATGCATGCTCCATCACAGAGGATGCAAATCTTTTTCGGTGCTGCCGGCAAATTTGTGTCCAACTATGTGGCACTCTTAAAATCTAAAGCCTTGGTTCGCTCAAAATTGTGTACTGCTTATCGTTTCTATATCTTCTGCTCTACGCGTTCTTGTGACAAGCCGAAAGGTAGAAACACTTTCTCTTCAAGCGGCTATGCCACCAAGCCCCGTGTTATCTCAACTGTATTGGTCCTTTTGATGGATTTGACTGATCCCAAGCAAGGTGTCACAGCGAAACCCTCCTTGGTGGGATTCCCAATCCAGAATGCCCCGAACAGCGTTGGAAGGTGCCCGGATTAAGGCCTCTGATATCCTCTGATTGCCTAGGTCTAGAGGCGCTGGCGATGCAGCTGTTCTGTGTTGCCATGTATTTGCATCCAGGGTGGCCTTTGAAGCGTCCATTGTTGTTCCGGCATGCTTGCTTGTTCTTTCAAGCTCTGCGTAGCAAGCACGAAAAACAACAACACGCAAGTCTTAAATTAGGCCCACCGGCACTCCGCAATTTCAATAATCTCCGCAAAGCCGTTTCAACAAGATGGAAGCCATATTGAGGAACCTTTCCAATATTAAAGAATCTGCAAAAAATATGTTTTCAGTTCTTTTGTCAACGAGCAGCCAACCCAAATGCATTGGATTGCAACAGTGAAAACATAAGCTCGCACCATTCCGTCTCCCGGGCCTTCAGCTTGTATACTTCCTTCCGTCATATGCGGTCTAGGGCGCGCGGTTTTCGCGCGCCTGGCGCCCCTTGGGCGCCCAGCTTCTTTGTGGGTTTAGTATGCTGCCGAAAAATCATCTTCTGTCAAAATGTTGCATCCGGTGCTTGCAACCACCTACCACTATTGCGGAACCAAACAGTAGTCGCATGTGTTTGCTTTGGCTCTCTGCTAGAAATGTGTTTGGTACCTGCCGCGGATGTGCTTGCTCCCGTTTGGTTCATGGTCAAAACCGTTCTGCAATATCGTTGTCCACGCCGACGTCCTCGGGTGTGCTTCATTCCAGCACCCTAAGAGCCAATTGCTCCCTCCTCCATTCAACCTTCTTTCTGTACCCATCTCTTCCACCGCAATCTTATGAAGACGGCCCTCGTCCACCAAATCATTCGGTACTATGTATGTATACATATATATATATTGAACGTATCACTATCTGTATGTGTAAGATGCTGCCTAAGCAAAATCAAATATCTAGGACCACCTCTTCCACTCCGTTCCGCTCCCTCACATCCACATCCGTTCCAGACGATGGACGGAAAACGGACGCGCTGAAATGTAGTTAAGCGATTATGCTTTAGCCTTAGATATGTAGAATGCCCATTGACACTGCAGGTCGGGAATTGGTAGATCCATGATAAACTTGCGGCCTGCGGCCAGATGCTGTCGGTCCCGTGGGGCCAAGAGCGGGAACAATAGAGCTCTAGAATGCTAGACGAAGGAAAGAGTAATGAGAACGTCTACCAACCATAATGGGATCGTAATCCGCGCGTAATGGCTTTAAAACTTGGAATGCCATGAACAATAATAAGATAGTCTTGCTCGCATCTACCAGGAATAACAGGATGACAAGCAGCCCGCTATGGTTGGCATATATGCCTAAGGCCTATCACGAAATTGTAGCCAACTAGTTCCTCACATTGACGCGCTCCATTCATCATTCCAGCCAATCATTCATTCGAGGACCTCGATTCCATGATGTCGGTTCTTGTCAGTAGGCGTTTCGCGTATATACCCAGTTGATATACCCATACTTGATATCCCCGTTCATTAGCTCTACAATCCGTAATGGTGAAACAAAAACAAGATTGATTTCCTACACAGTGACAACCCCAGTTTGGCTTTTGGGGATGCCCCTACTTGACTCAAGGTGCGGTTGGAGTGGAAAAAGGAGTCCATCAGCATGGTAATCATGAAAGCCACACAATTCCTTGGTCAGGTGGCTGAACATGTTGGACATGGTGGCTGAACGTGTTGCAAATAGTACCGTAGGTCGTAAAATCTGCTCAAAGGTGGTGCAAAACTATGTGCAACTCTCCTCTGTAAAACTTAGGTGGCTGCTCCAGCAAATCACCACAGCTGAACGCCTAAACAATGCACGACTCAGCCATACTGCGCCGCTTCTGCCAAGCTTCATCATCAAACCATCAAAAGTGCTCCGTTTGCCTCAGTGTTCCGAGCCTTCGACAACCGGACAAACCGTGCCATCCAAAGAGGACTTTTACATTTTTAATCATTTTTACATGGTTTTAGGAGCTATCTTAGGATATTTGAGGATGTTTTGCTGAGCGGAGAGTGTTCTCAACATGTTTCAACTTTGAACTGAACAGGAATAATCCCAAGTTGAAGACCCCGCGAATGAATGTAATGGTTCCCTCGAAAAAAATCATGCAGGCAAGAATGAGGCAGAAGATTCATGCAAAATCTGAAGGATGACAAAAGGTCTCTCTCTATCTCTCTCTCTCTAGCCTTCTATCTGCCAAGGCCAAAGAGTTCAAAGGTGCAAAGGTCCGACCCGAAAAACACTAGAACACAGAAAAGATTGCATAAGCACCGGCTCTTACCGCACAATCTTGCGCCTCGGATCGGTTTGGACAAGGCACCAATCGCATCAGGATGACCACACGAGACCCCCAACAAGGTAGAAGCTCCAAAGGCTGCCGCAAGGACACCAACGGTGGAGAAGGTACGGGAATGGAAGTAGACAAAGAGACCACCAAAGGTCCACAGAAAGGTGGTCCTTGCAGCGCCATCACTTGCAACATCTAGCAGTAGCAACCTGTTATATGCAAAAATGATGCAGCTTGTGAAAATCGACTCACCTTGGCACCAAGAGTTTCACCATGTTGCACCAAGCAGCAAGGAATGAAACAACAAATCGGCCCAATCGCAGCTATCGACAAAGCCTCCCAGGAGTCGAGCTAAGACCTCAACATCCGTAGTTTCGGGCTGACGGGGGGAAGACACAGGATGCTGACCCCCAAAAACACGTGGTCCTAACAATGGATCCTGATTATCCCGCAGGAAGACTGGCACAAACAGGCGCACACAGCAAACATGTCTCCACTATTCGGTGGGTAAAGTGCTTCCATCGCCATTTCATTCACAGGTTAAATATAACACACACACGCATATATATATATATATTCATATTTAAATATACGCATAATATATATCCATTCAACTCTTCATATACCATCTTGTCTTACGAAGCTGCACATCCATCTCCCAAAAACCCGGCCAATCGTGACAATTTCTGCCAAGTTAAGGCACATTGCCCAGCATCAAGCCCTGGATGCGGTTCCTGACGAAAGAAAGATTGGAAGCTGGGAAACGGCACCCCAAACATGTAACACGGACCGGCCAAAGGTGTGATCTTTCGTAAGTTTCCAATCGAGTTGGATATGGCATTCTCAAAGTTGAGTCGTAAATTATTACGGATATCTTGCTTTCGTGTACTTGTGTGAGGAAACAAAACGGGATAGACAAAGGATTCAACATATAAAGGAGAAAACATGTAGGTAGATGTGAAATTATGTTTCATATACAGCCCATGGACATGCAAATCTTCATGTGTATATATATAAAACAATATATATATATATAAAGCTGTCGAAATAAGTATATAAACGTATATCTAGATATGGCAGTATATAACAGTATATAACAGTAAATAACAGTATATAACAGCATATAACAGTATATAAAAGTATATAAAAGTATATAACAGTATATAACAGTAGGTATGCATATATGTACACACGCGCACACACACACATTTATATATATATATATATTCACACTTCTCTACCCAACCATCCCACATTCGTCCAAGGCTCAAGTCATTGACCAATGCAGAGCCTGAGTACATGGACATCAACAGCGGTGCTGTCGCCGCGATCGCCGAGGACCAAGGGCTGATGAGGTATCGTTCCTGGTCGTCGTCCTTGTATCCGAAGCCATGGTATCCAATCAAGAAACCTTGGCAAAATGGACAGGTTGAACTGGGTTGAACGGTTGAACGTTGAAATCAAACTATCCAAAACGGGGATGGGGGATATGACTTGATCTTTTAGCTGGTAAGTCGACAAAAATAGGCTCGAATAAGGAGATTCAACCAATGCAACCAATATTAATACATGCCGGTTGTTGATATGAGTTTGAATCATATAAGGCAGATTTTGGGAGCGCTAAGTCAAGTCGAGCCATTCAGCGCCTCCAACTTGTGCGTAGCCAATTAAACAAACATCTGAGAAACTATCCTTGGGATTCTTTCAGCAATAAATATCAATAAATGAGGGTTCAACAGTAACAGCAAGTTGAACTCGGCGACCAGAAAGCTAGCGCTAGGATTGCTCTGCCTTTTCTAGGTTGAAATCGAAGGCTCAATCATACATAAATGTAATAAACCATCATAAAATATCATTATATATATAATTATATATATATATCAAAATTATATCATTGTAATATATTGTAATTAGAACATTGAAATCAAAACATATCCAAAATATTGCGAAATACCAATGCGCCTTGCATCATCCCATCGACTTCAAGAAACACAGAAAGAACGAGGAAATGCCACGCCAGGCGTAGAGCAAATGATCCTTATCATGAAGACCCTCGAATATGGCGCACATTCCTCCGCTTTCTGGTGAAGGTGGCCTTGGCCCATTGCTAAGCGGAAAAGGAGATGGTTGGAGGCTGCAGCCTCATTCTTGAACATACTCAATGGCACTTGATTTAGAAATGGCTGGCCCATAGTGCCATAGACATGATGAATGGCGGGGACACACGGAGGTGTTGTGCCCTTTTGCGCAACACCATGCCATAGAGATGCTTACTCCCTGGAAAATCAGGTGGTCCAAGGCTATGATTGTCAGCACACTGCTTGTACTTACCATGGGTTGGGTGTCCAATTTTCTATCTTTCTTTTGGCAGTGATGGCCTCGATCAAATCTGGTCACATTCCATTGTCGACAAGGGTCTACTGCCTTTTGTTTGTTCGTGTTTGTTCAATATTTTGGTTCAGAGTTACAAACAAAGGATGTGGCATTCCCCAACCGCAAGAACCAACACTCACGAGACCAGGCGCAAGGCATTTGTGTCTGTGGAGAACTTGCAAACGCCCTCAGCTACTTCCGCAATTTCTCCAGCAATGCGACTGATACCTGGCACAAGGGACTATTAGGGACTCAACTCTAAAATGGAAGTGGGGAATGTCCCAAGTCCCAAGCCTTGGTTTCCCTATCTGAGTTCCCGGTGAATGCCTTGGGATTCCGAAGAGTTGAGCTCTGAGAAATGCATCCAAGAGACTCCACTGGAGGACCTGCGCCACTCGCACATCCTCGTACATCCTCGTTACATGTCAGTTTTCCATGGCACATGATGCACATGGGGTCGCAAGAAACTTGGGGACCTTGGCACCAGCAGTGCATCAAGGGCAGCTAACAGCCGAGCCTCCTTGGGTTGTGGTTAAAAGATGTTAAAAGAACGTATTATTAAAGATGCTTGGCAGCAGAATTTTCTTGAACATTGAGGATGATACTCCGCTCCTAACCAAGTCTTGAGAAGCTGGTGCTAAACTTTGGAGTCTGCAAGTCTACAAGCAGGTCGTTTGCACACTTGTCTCATGCCCAAGCCCAATGCATCTCGTCATATCTCGTAAATGGCTATCCGATTCAAATCAGTAGTGCCCGAACAAAAAAGGGAACATTACCGGAACACAATATATTTAGGCTTGATTAGGTCTATCTGAAAATGGGATATACCCGCACGATAGCAGTTTTAATGGGGACAATGATCATTCAATAAACCCATGTGACACAACCCAGGTAACCATGGCAACATCAACAGCGCCGCCTCGTGTTGATCTGTCGTAACAGTGAGACACCTGTCCAAGCGTCTTGGTCGAGTCGTTCAACGTAATGGTTCGGCGTGATTCGTAGAACTCCCAAGACAGCTGCTTTTCCAGTGCTCGCAAATGAGCCTTAGAATATCTTAGCCCCTCAATGTTGAGTTTTAACACAAGTTTCAAAGCATCACAGAAGGTGAGACTTGGGCATTCATAACAATCATTGTATTGCTTTGTGATCATCAGCATTAAAGTAAACTGGCGGGAAAAAAGTCCATTTTGCATCACAATATGATCAATTAAACTAGAGCAGTATGTCCGGAACCTTCCAGGAAATTCACAATTGATTTTGCCGTAGCATGGCAGAGCTTGTTCCATCGCCTGGAACCAACATTGCCATACTTCCATGGTTGCCAGCGCCGAGCATCCACAGAGCTTGCCACATCGGCCCCTTCCTCTGGAGACAACTGTCCATCTGAAATGGCTTGCACAAGCTTGAGGAGCAAATTTTCCTCAGGTGATGGGGCCGTTTTGCGGGCATTACACACATATATCTACACACACATATATACATGTGTATTAATATATATATTTCTACATGTACACACACACATATATATATATATACACATACACAATGACACACACACACACATATATATATATACAGATAGAGCACTATATATATAATACTAGATAGCTATAAGAGGCAATCCTAGAACATGCATACAGTATTATTCCAGCATATTCCAGCCTTCATTCATCTAGCCAACCCCAATTCAATGTATTTGGGTCCTGTTGGGACCACATCCCCGCTATGCTCAAGTCAAAGCTTTCCGATCATGATCAGACTTGCACATGCCTATAGCCTCTGGCTATCTCTGGCTACAATTAAATATTCCTTGACTTAGCATTGCATACCCTGGGTATGCGAACGTCAAGCAAAATCCAGTGATACGCCGCACCATGCTGAAAGACATAATCTTCAGGTCGACTTTGCAACTTTGCATGACTTTGCCGGCAGCGACTGGAAAGCTTGGAAATAACTGTCAACAGTGGTTTTGCCTCTTTGCTGCAAACATGCATTTTCTCTTGGGCCAAAGTTAATGACATTACCCAATGATTCGTTGTTAGGAAAGCACCGACCATCATCAATATAAAACCAAAAACCTGCGGGAACACAGGCTGCATTGGGGTTCAGCAAGCCGGGCCCTCAAACCCAGCAACCTGCCATGACTTGCAACAAAGTCGCCATTTCATCCAACAGCGCGTTCGTTTGTGGCTTCACTTTCTGCATCAAATTGACGTTCCTCAGGGCTTGGGTCTGCCATGGTCTGCCAACTGGGGCCCACGGATCAGAAAAAAATCATTCCAATGGCATTCATCGTCGAGATAAATTGAAAAAATGTTCCCGTCTGTTGAACCAAAAGAGGAACAAACGAGGATACCGGATGCTCTGTCAATTACTGCTGACTCCTATCTCTATCAACATGCCTGGGGCTGGAAACACACGCCCCAATAGGATTTTCGTAACTTTTAAAGACTTGCTGTCAACATTCCATTCAACCTCTTGGACAATTCATCCTCTCCCTCTACCATGGGATGTTGAGGTACTTCCCTCCCCTGATACCTCTGTTCCTAAGCTGGGTCCCAAATGGGCGGCATCTAATACTTCATTTAGCTATGGCTATATACTATATCCAAAAAGGTTTTCCTTCCAGGATGGAAACAGTAACTCATGTCAAACCACCAGATTTATCGACTTTTGATGTTTAACCCCAATATTTTCACTTGGAATGCGCTCATTTTGCAGCCTTCAATGGGGGTAATGCCAAGCGTCAAATGCCTGTACTCATGTGCCGATGCCGTTGACACCGTCCAGGCATTGAAGGCCAGGTCGTAAACCCGACTGCTCATCTGATCCATGGTATGCCTGGAAGGATCCCTGTTCTCACTGTTCCCAAGCAAAATGGAGTAAAAATGAATCTGATTTTATGGATTTTTATGGAACATTTTAGGGGAACTATGTGAGATGATTTTCCAAAGCTAAAGGTATAGATGGTCTTTCTCTCTTGGATTTTTTCCCTCTTCCTGCCTGCCAGGTGGATATACATTTAAGGAATGCCCTGCTCAAGGTTGTCCTCTTCACAGGGTTTGATGGTGACTAATGGTTTGAAAATGGCAGTTGACAGTTGCTGTTGCAAGCGATATATAGCCCTTGCATGCCCTTGCAATGTGATATCTATCTATCTATCTACTCTAATCTAACCTAACCTAATCTAATCTAATCTATCTGTCTATCGACCTATATGTATGTATGTATATATATATAAATGCTCTCGTTGCGACCATATTGATTTGCCATGATTTGCCACATTATCATATTATTCTCATTGCTTATTCATATAAAGCTTGACAAGGTTCAAGAAATGCTAAGAATAATCTTGCATGATTTCCGTTTGGGCTATCCTGACCGAGATGCAACACCTGTCGTTTCAGCTGCGTGCGTCCCATGCCAAAACCTGTGTCATGGTCACAGGGGCAGCTGGATGTGGATCCCTCGGTTGGGTCTATCCCAAACTTGGCATAGTTCTTTCAATGAGTATCCAACTACCTACATACCTAACACCTAAATTTCTTGAGACAAAACTGGAAGTGGAAACTCAAGCCACAAGGCAGAGGCTTTCTGAAACTTCCAGGTTGGTTGGGCTAAATGAGGCCGAACAAGCCGCCTGAAGCCGAATGAGGCCACAAATCCGTTGTAAAGACACAGTAATTCAGTAATTCAACCCCGTTTGCATGTCATACACCTTGAGCCACGGGCAGTTGTTCAACCTCGCCAAGTCAAGCTGGAGAATGGGCTTCTCGCCAAGTAGCATTCCCACCAGGCAGCTCGGATCAGGGGGTCATTGTCATCCTGAGCATGGCACAAAAACCCTGCCAAACAGCACCAAAACCAGAGATCATAAAAAAATCATGAGCAAATTGGTGGAACAGAATCAGTTCCTACAACTGGCTGCGATGTTGGAAGCAAGATGGTTGGCCTGACAAGTTTCCAATAGTTTCCACCTTCACCTGCTTTGGCTTAGTTGCTGTTTTCTTTGTAGACACCAGGGGGATTTGTGTTGGACTGAGTCCAGTATTGAGCGCTTGATCTACCTTGACCAAACGTGTCAAGTCCGTTTTCAAACCACATCTTTTGTGGTTTGTATGGATTGGCACACTTCCGCACCATGGCAACAACAGCATTGCCGTTGATGTCGAGCGTCGGTCATGGACTGCACTTCGCGCAAGCTCCGCAGCACGGCATCTTTATGGTAAACATTTGGCTGAGTTTGAGAGTAGTAGTTCACCATCATGTGCAGGACCTTTGAGATACTTCGATTCATTACCAGCTGATTCTCCTGAACGTACCTCGGCTGAAGTTCCAATCAAGTGTGGCCAATTAGACTTCTAAGCGCTTGTAAATGACATACACACACACATCACACGACTGAAACTAGCCACCTAGACGAATCGTTTGTCATGTCTGCCCAGCCCTCTTTAGAATGGGGCCAAGGTGAAATCAAAACCAGCTGGCACACATACACACAATTGATGCAGATTTTATTTGCGGGAGGGAACGTGCAAATCAATATCTGTGCCGCAAACATAACAACCGCATCCAGCTCATGATCCTCATGATGTTCCCTCCTCATTACCATCATCAAATGACAGAATACATCAAATTACCATCAACATCCATCAACCCCCAGTTAGATCCCCATAGATTCCATCATTTCCTGGTGTTTCCAACCATGGCCGCACTATCCAACATTATCCAACCATGTGTAGTTCCAGGCACGTCAGCGACCACAAAGGATATGGCAGCAACATGGCCGCCATCACCGTCGCGAAGCCGATTGCAGTACAGACCAAGCCCTGCAACCTGCATGGATCAAGCTGGTGAGGTATCAGACCTGCACGAAAGGGTCAAAAGTGGGCATGTTTATTCATGTTTAGTATTAAAATTCAACCTCTCATTTGGCACCAACGTTATTTTATGATCTTTATTCATTTTTAGTATTCAACCATCCGTTTTGTGGGGTTAAATTTGACCCATACCCAAATGGGACAACAGAATGCGGCATGTTTTCTCACTTGGTTTTTGTTTGAAGATTGTTTCCAGATACATGGGGGCACGCTTGCACACCACAGCCAATCTTCATTTCCTGCATCCCCATCCAGACAATCCCACAGGTTTCTACACTCACCAACTGTTCCAACATCCAAGGTACAAGATGTCGGTCTGCAGAGACCAATCGCCGACCCACGGAGGAGTGACAATGGCGATTTCTTTGGGGTTCAAGAAGACCATCCAAGTACCTGATAGGTTCCAACTTGATTGAGATCCCCGGGCCAGCGGGAACAGTGGACACGGAACGGGCAAAGTTTGAGATGGAGGTGCCGGAACGTTAGATTCCACAGGCTGACCCCGAGCGCATGGATGCTGGTGTTGAATCAAGCCACCTGCAAAATTGGAGATGGCGAACATCTGCAATGTCAAGTTCAGGTTTAGCAGCATCACCACGCAAACGTAGACGCTACCAAGGACAACCCCCAGCCAAAAGTCCTCAGCTGTAGCAAGCTGAGGAGAACAGCTGCTGCCTTCTCAAAGCCATTGTTGGTCTTTGGTGCCGTATCTCGATATCACCATGGTAGAAACACAAAGGCACGAGCACACTTGTGAAGTTATGAAGATATGTATATATATATATAATTATATATATATATTTACCTTCATTATTACATCATGTTTGCATTCACTTTGACAATTCCATTTGCATACCAACAGAACAAGGCACGACAAGTCCCTCAAGGTCCAAGCGACGATGGATTCGTCGGTGTAGCCCCCAGGGGAAATGGTGTACATGATCCAGCCCATGAAGGCTGCAAGTACGGTGCCTTGCCCAGGGTTTTAAAGCCCGACATGGATCCATGCATATCCATGCCCTGATCATCCCTGAATCATCCCCAAGACTTGAATGGCACCGAAAATTGATTAACAGAAGTTATAGCCGAATATAGCCGATATATCTTTCCAAGTGTGCGGATATAACAATCAAATGATCTTTTAAACTGTGCTCCATCATCCCACCTTTGATGCCGGAGATAGCGATGTCCTTGGATACAGCTGCGGTTGGCCATGCCCGTCACAATGGACACATGTTTGTTCAATGGGCTTTTGAAACCAAGGTTGATAGCACGGATATCTGTGAAGCTTATGCTGTCCACTCCCGTAACGTGGTCAGCGCTTTCTTTCGCAAGCACTTGTGCGGAAATCGTGTCCAGTTTTGGTAAACCAAACGTTCATTAAGCATCCTTAATCAACGTTTCCAAAGTCTGAATCTAAAGCCCCAAAATAACCAAGTCTGCAAGGCAGCGTTCCTCAATAAGAACCCAACAACCCCGGTTGATACTGCTGGGCGGCCTGGGATTGTCCCACTAGAGAGGATGGCTCCGAAGCGCTCCAACGCTAGTAAATAGTATAGGAGCAGTCCAACCCTACCTACTCCTCAGCACAAAATGCCAGGGCCAATGCGGCCAATGCCCCATCAAAAGGGTATGAACAGAACAACGGGTGATGCAAACAGTCGGTGCATTTCGTAGCTTGGCCGAAGTTGGCAACCAAGAATCAAAGGCTTCTCCAAAGGTCTTACCGAGGTTGAAGACGATGAAAACGCAAACGCTACCTGAAAGGTTCCATCCCAAATGAGGACGGAAAGTACAGAGCACAGTCTTGTGCAAAAACTCCAAAGGTAAATCCCAATTGGGTATGGGTTATCAATGATTCTATCACGTCTATGGTATGAGGATGTATGAGGTATGTTTTATTCTAGCGTTTACGTAGGCTTACCACATTGTCTAGCATGTGAAACTACCGGCCCGTCAGGGTTGCAAAGTGAGCATCATTTTGTCTTGAACACTGGTGTGCGACCTTTGGATCAATTTGGATACATCTGGGTTGATTGCGACCCAGACTTGTGGCTTCAACCCCTTCTGAAAACAACGTGGTCATTGGTGATCATCATCCCAAACATGATCGAACGATACATCGAACATCATCAACACAACCGAAACACACAAATCACACCAAATAGCAGCAGCATGCAGTAAAAAAACACTATTAACATATATTAACATCTACTCAGATCTAGTGGCCGCTAAGCCGGCAAGCCCAGCGACTGTTGTAGACACCATATTTCATCATCATGTCGCGTGTCTCGGAAACTCCGTCTGGGATGATCACTGGAATGCTGCAGAGAAGGAGAAACAGGGCACCGCGGAAGGCCACTTCCTGAGGCCAATGATCAATGCCATGCCAAGGTAACAAAAGGTAACAAAAGGATACCAAAGGTCTCAACTTAGATGGGAATACAATGGAATACATGGGGGTATGATCTACATCCAAAAAAATCGCTAAAATTCCACAACAATTGGATTGCATCATGATATACATGTGATTGATTAGAATCCACTAACGAAACTAACGACAACAGGTTATTTCCACACTTTCACCAACAGAGTTTTATTACATGTGCACATGACGCCACATGGGTGATCATGTTGGGATGATGGATGAACCAACTTACCCTGGCACAACATGGCAGGTTGCCCCAGCACCACAATTTTCCTGGCCTTCAGTCATTCTTGGGGCATGATGGGCATGCCGTGTCTGCCTTCAAACGATCAAAACCAAGCTCAAACCATGTCAAACCATTTATATTGCTGTACGTCTGATGCTATATGAGGACTACCTGATACAGTTCACATCAAGTGTTTCAATGTGTTTCACCCAAATTGGATTCTGGCAACATCCCATCGATGCACCAACCAATTCAACCCAACCACTGAGTTCCGCAATCAAGTCTCCGCATTTGCTGCAAATCTGGGATTCCAGTCATGTCCAAACAGCTTCTGCGTGCTCGTGCGAATCCAGCCACGCGATTCGGAAAGGGCTCCACGGGTGCGAGTCACGAGCTCCAAGGTTCGTGGGGTGTGAATCAGCTGCTCCTGCGGCCATTTGAGATAAGTTGAGTCTGCTTTGCGTATGTAATTAGCTTCCGGCATCAAAACAACGTAAATAACAATGGTCTTGAGAACGTTGGCGCGCTTCAGTTTTGTGTGCTAGCTGCACACGGGATTTGATACAGTTTACAGTTTCCATTTGCCACTACATAAATGAGTATGAATGCGTATATCAGCATACCTTCCACTATCATCCATTGTTTGCATGTGCAGAGCATCTTCACATGCAAATGTGCATGCGAACATACCCCTGGAACCGTGCACCCCTCTCAACACAACACACATGCCTAATTTTTTCTTTTAAAGCTTTCTTTCTTGTTAGACGTTTTCTTGTAAATGTTCCTGTACATGTGGCTATATGTGAAAGGACAATGACCCCTGTATATACACGTTTGCGCTGTCATGTAGGTCTTAAACACATTTAATACACATTTAATTAGTAGATATGCAAAACATTTACCATAATGATTTTGCGTTTCCACTGGCTCAGCACCGGAAGACAATCTTTCGATATCTTTCGTATTTTGCATGCAAACTTGGGGACGTGCTCCGAAAAGGGACTCCTTCTCTGGGCTTTCCACATCCATCGCGAGCTCAATGCAACGACTATGCGGGGAGCTTCGCTCAACTACATGATGCACTCCTATCATGCAACTAAGAAGAAATTTGGAGCCGAATCATGCGCAGCATGTGCTAGACCAGTCAAAAGAACATCTGGAAGTCCAGTAGCAAAGGCAGGTGTAGAAACAATGCACCTTCCAAAAAAACTGCCCACAATATACCACAATGATTTTGAATTGAATAAATTGCGTCTGCGGGGGGTTGACTGGATTTGGTATTGTTAAATAAACTAGTCACAAAAATACAAGTGCATACTGTATATATATACACATGTATATGTAGCTTGAAGGAATGCTTGGTTAAGTTGGGTCCCTTGAAACAGGATGGGTGCAACATGTTCCAACCCCGATGGGGGCTGTAGAGGAGACCTCTTTTTTTAAGTGCTGCGTGGCGACTAAACAAGTCGCAGTTCATGATGATCACATATTATGAAGGGGATCTGTCATAGGTTTTACCGTTTCAGAGTTTGTGGAAAAGGCAGTCCTCACAGGCTCACAACCACACGGGAAAAGCATGACCATAGATGACTGTGGCGCGCCGGCTTTTTCTTAGCGTGCCGGCGTTTGGACTCAGGCGCCGTGGGACGAAAATACAGCAAAGATATTCGGCCTGGCCGTCTTTCCTTGGAATTGACCCCTGAATCTGAACCGTCCACCATATTCAACCTATAGTGATCGCGTGATATATGGATACACCTGCAATAAGCATTTGCAAATATAGTGAACCATGCGTTGATACACAATGATAAGCATACACAGTAGTTAATGATTAATTATAACACACAAATGCACACATATATATAATAATATAATATAATATAATAAAATATAATATAATATGATATAATATAATATAATATGATATGTTATAAAATAATATGATATAATAAAATATAATAAAAAATAATATAATAAAATATAATATAATATAATATAATAAAATATAATATAATAAAATATAATATAATATAGTTTAATATAATATAATATATGTATATCCGCACAAGATATCTTTATCTATGTTTGTATCTATATCCATTCTATAGTATTCCATATTAATACTATAGATTCCATGGCCACCTCTGTTTGCACACCACCAGGCCGCAGGCTTCACAGCCGGAGCTTCACGCTTGACCGGTTGGGGGTGGAGCTTCCGGTGGAACGTACTGATGCAAAAGGAGCCTTCAACCAAGCATATGACATATGACATATGACAATTTAATTTTACTATTTAATGCTATTTAACAGTACTTAATTACTATTTAATCATAAATGACCCAGGTCTCATTTTGATGAAACACGACTGAGGGATGAAACATGATGAACCAGCCGAATGATCTGAAGGCTGCCCAATCGGTCCGGAACATCAGCTTTGAGCGAAGTATAGACAGTATAGCTATTACTGGCTACTGATTGAATATGATTCCAGCCCCCCTCCGGAGTTTGCACGCGCCATCTGGATTTGCCCATGGCGGCCGCCTATCAGTTTCTGCTGTGATGGTGCAAATTTCAAAGTGTCACACCTAATAGACCTAATAGGAATCTCGACAGGCCCCTGATGGTCCTCTGCACAGATTGCCGACCTTCCCTGCATTCATTTGAGACAGCATTCGGACTTACAAGGTTATTTTCCTGGCATTGTCTTGGCAGGATCTATGTTTTAACGTTTCAGAAACCCCTCAAACTCCTATCCACTTCAAGTGTTTGGCAAGAGAATCAGTGGCATGCAACATTGATAACATGGTTTTGGCAAACTGTTGCCGCAGATATCCATGAAGAATTGCAGCGAACTTTCAAGATCCCTTGGTTTTCGGCAACCGCAACCACCTTTTTCCGCGACAACGCGACAAGGGGCAGCAGCAAAGCGCAATCAAACGATTTGCCAGCCCTTAGAGCCATTCAGCACTGCCTGTCTTCAGGTTTAAATCTTGACAACTGGCAATGTCAAGTAAATAAGTAACTTGGAGGCCCAGCCTGCACAAAAGGGTCCCTATTCTGGTTTACCATGTCCTACCATGTCCTACCCCACTTATTCTGAAATATACGGAACTTGCAACACGTGCTGAGTCTCCACCTGTGAGTAGCCAATACTATCTTCATGAAATATCCTCGCCAGTAATTTGATCAATAAGGGGCATTGCAACGTTGGAAGCCGCTGCGTATCACCATGGCCAGGGGGTGCAGAGAAGAAAAACAGCACAGACAGTGAGTCTTGAACTCGCAAGGGCTACAAAATGATGGCTATTCGAACAAGCCAGCAACTTTGAAATAAGCCAACCCCAAAAAACTAAGATTGGCTGGTGGCCAGCAACCAGCTTTGAAACCGACAATCATGTAGGTTTTGGTCAGCCACTAAACAAGGATGTAGCTCAATATGGAGAGTTTCAAGGGTGCAAAACAATGCTTTAAAACATCAGCAGCTTCAAGCATGGCAGATATTGATAGATATGAACCAACACCAGTGGCAAAACACACCTTAACAAATCTGCGGTTTCCTTGGGGCCAAATGGAACGAGGTGCCATGAAACGGAACGGTCGGCTAGGTGGGCTTGGCAGGCGCCACCGTGATCTGACCCTTGGCCACATCCACATCGACCACTCTGACCTCGGATCGATTTCATATGATTTCATGGTGGTGTGGTTGAACCAGATTTGGAAAAAATGGCCATACCATGCATTAAAAATCATTAATATATATATATATTAATATGGTAGGGGAGCATCATTCCAGATACAAAATGAGAATGGATCAGCAGCCCCGAGCTGGATAGCGGCGCCCACCTGCATCTCTCGTCCTGGAGGTGAACCAAGACGCAAAGCCTCCGCCTTCTCCTTGTTGCTGGCTCCAGGAAGTGTCCTAAGCCAGGAAAATGTCTCAGGGATGTTGGCAGGGCGTCGATTTTTCGGTGAGATGAGTCATACTCAGCTTTCCTAACAAGGCATGCCCGAAAGCCGCCGCAGGGCTGGCCTCCAAAAGAAATATTGTGTCTGGATGTGGGATGTGGGATGTGGGATGTGGGATGTGGGATGTGGGATGTGGGATGTGGGATGTGGGATGTGGGGTGTAGGATGAGGATGAGGATGAGGATGAGGATGAGGATGATGATGATGATGATGATGATGATGCCGGCTGCGAAGGTGAAACAGAGTCAGAATCTCAAAAAAAACTTAAGCACCCATATGTTTCTAGAAATTTCTACATATGCTCATATTTAATCAATCGCATTTATATTCATAAGATGTCTGTCGGATTCAAGACCGGTGCGTCCTAGCATCTTCAGTGGGATCAGGCCATTGGCCACAGCACCCAAATCCACAAAGGCGCCAATCCTGGGATTCACATGGACCACCTTGGCATCATAGCTGTGGCCCTTCCTTAGCGTCTGAGCGATACATTTGAATGTCTGAAACCGAAGAACAGTTATATAACACTTATACATATATATATATATATGTATAATATAAATAAATAAATAAAATAATTACTTTACTTCGTGTGATCCCCACCATGACATTTATACATTTTCTTACTGGCAAATCTTCTGGCATTCTATCTGACATATCTTCTGACATTCTATTTGGCATTCTATCTGGCATATCTTCTGTCATATCTTCTGGCATTCTATCTGGCAAATCTTCTGGCATTCTATCTGGCATATCTTCTGTCATATCTTCTGACATATCTTCTGCCATTCTATCTGCCATTCTATCTGGCATATCTTCTGGCATTCTATCTGACATATCTTCTGGCATTCTATCTGGCATATCTTCTGGCATATCTATTCTGACATATCTTCTGGCATTCTATCTGGCAAATCTTCTGGCATTCTATCTGGCATATCTTCTGGCATTCTATCTGGCAAATCATTCTATCTGGCATATCTTCTGGCATTCTATCTGACATATCTTCTGGCATTCTATCTGCCATTCTATCTGGCATATCTTCTGGCATTCTATCTGACAATCTTCTGGCATTCTCTGGCATATATTCTTTCTGGCATTCTATCTGGATCTATCTGGCATATCTTCTGGCATATTTCTGGCATATCTGGCATTCTATCTGGCATATCTTCTGGGGCAAATTCTATCTGGCATATTTTGTGGCATTCTATCTGACATTTTATCTGGCATTCTATTTGGCATACCTTCTGGCATTCTATCTGACATTTTATCTGGCATTCTATCTGCCATCTGGCATATCTTCTGACATTTCTGGGATATCTGACATTCTTTGGCAACTTCTGCCACATTCTTTGTCCCATATCTTCCTACATGAGGTCCGGCAGGGAACACTTGGCGTGGATACTCGCGGTTGAGGTCCGGCAGGGAACACTGGGCGTGGATGGTCGTGGTTGAGGTCCGGCAGGGAACACTGGGCGTGGATGGTCGTGGTTGAGGTCCGGCAGGGAACACTGGGCGGGGATGTTCGTGGTTGAGGTCCGGCAGGGAACACTGGGCGTGGATGGTCGTGGTTGAGGTCCGGCAGGGAACACTGAGCATGGATGGTCGTGGTTGAGGTCCGGCAGGGAGCAGGAGGAGGAGGACGACGAGGAGGACGACGAGGAGGAGGAGGACGACGAGGAGGAGGAGGCGGAGGCAGGAGGCAGGCAGGAGGAGGCAGGAGGAGGACCAGGCAACTAACATAAAATCTAACAACCCTCACCTGGCAGGTGGGGAAATAAAAAAAAAATAAATAAATAAATATAATATGATGAAATGAAGCCGTTGCATTTCCTCAATTTCAAAGCAGTTCGCAAAGGTGACATAGTCTGTGGCGTAAATCGTGACTTGCAAACCGAGGGCAGAACAATTTGCCACACATATTTATATATATATATATACATGTACAGTATATATATATATCTTATTGTATTTCGTTCTTGTACATTCTACGCTACATCCCATGAGTGCGCTCCTAGACTTGGACCATTGGAATGGCACTCATGTGTTGGGTATATCTCAACGCTGAAATGCGAGGTTCCTGCAAAAAACTTTGCATAACCACAGCGTGTTATCATACTATCATTCACTACCACTACGGGAATGCAGGCATTGCATGGTTGCAACACAATTGTTCAACCACTCAGTAGTTATCCGGTCTAAACATCGGGGCTGGACATCCCATGTTCACTAGTGATCCCCTGTGTTGTAAATTCATACCTACAAGAATGCTAAAGAATCATGCCCTGATCACTTATAGAAACCCAGGTTGCCAACAGCACACCATCAGCCTCGAGTAGAAGTGCCTTATCATGACAGCCAGCCTCACTACACATGGTGAGACGCTCGAGCTGTGATACTCGCAGCCGATCTTTGAAGGTATCCTGGCAGGGATGAACACCGCCACCAAAATTGGCACCAGCAGCATCATAATGACAATAAAAATATTAACGATAAGGATATATACATAATATGATATATATATATTATACAATTATATAAACAAGTGCTGTAGTAACAATGATAATGATAATGACAATGATAATGATCACCGTAATGCCAATGATAGCCAGAAAAAGTAAACACGTATCTTGATCAATAACGACAACTACGATACCAATAGCAGTAGCATCAACAATAATCATAACGATAACAATCATCACCATCACCAGCACCAGCACCACCATCAGCATCAGCATCAGCATCAGCATCAGCATCATCATCATCATCACCATCACCATTACCTTCAGATAGTTAGCAAACATGAGGTTCTTCAGACAGTTAGCAAACATGAGGTTCTGCAAATTTATGACCTCACCAGAAGCTAAAGGCAAACGGGTGATCATGAAAAGTTGGCAACAATTTTCAATTGCAACAGCACGGCACTGGACCAGTAGAGCATAGGCTAAAGGAAGCTAAAACGGAGAAACCAACACCCAACCATTGTCGGATTCACATCAGCATTGCTGCTCCAACCATATGTGTGTGGGTCTGTGCGGGTCAAACTTGGGGTGCCAAAGGACACAGAAACCCCGTCACTTTTAGCATTAAACCATCGCATTTGGGGTTGATAAACCTGAACAATCCCACAGGGAGACAGCCAAATATTGCCATCTCTCAGATGCCTTATAAAAATCCATGGATCTACGGGAACCATATTTTACAACCCCAATATGAAGAGCGACATGCCCAGCACAGTCCAGCATCGACAAAGCCATGAAGTCTTTACGAAACCTCGCTGGCAGTAGCGGTCCGGCACTTGCTGCGGATTTGGCCGTGTTCCAAATACAGAAAACCACAAAAGAACCAGCCAAAATATCAATTGAATCAACAAACATTTAAATAGGCCAACAACCAACGCCATTTGGGATACAAAACAATGAAGTGGACCCCATTTTTCTCAGAATCATATACTCACTTTTGGATTTATGGGCAATCCGGGGGCTGACACACCATGACACACCCAAAGGAGCTGTACCCAACACAAGACTTAAAGCCCTTCCGGTCACCCAACCTTTACTCCTGCTTGGGGATGTCACTTGGCGAAATGGGTCATAGCCACGCAAGGTGGAATATGTATGGATACAGTATGTTATATAAGTACATGCATATATGCACATAATTCATAATGTATAATAACCGTTTAATAGCCCCCCCGTTCTGATGTTCTTCATGATGGGAGTCTTTACTAATTCTTCATTTTGCTGATTTTTAGAACTCCTCCCATTGAAATCTCTCTGCGAGAAGCTGCTTCACGAAACATCTCACCTTCTCACCTTTTCGTAGCACCTCTTCGGGGTGTTTCACTTCCACTTGGCTCAAATCCTTGGGCCCCAGCTTCACAGGAGAATGCCCTGGCGTTTGGCTCATGGGTCTCAAAATTTGAGCCTAGACCAAAATTTCAGACCAGCATTACCATGATATTCTCGCCCTTCAGGGTCTATGTCTTGGCAGCCACCACATGCGGCCACGGCTCAGCTTTGTGCATGCGCCCTCTACCTCGAGGAAAGTCATCATGATTTTGTCAAACTGGGAGATTCCACAAAATGACAATTTCAATATGGAAATGGATGGTGAAACAGTGAAACATGATACAATTTTGGAACGAACCAAAAGGCATCCCCAGGTTCCCAGGCTCGGTGGATCATGGTCCAACATGATATCCAGAGTCCGTCTGACAAATCCTTTTGCTTTCAGGTGCCAAAACTGAAGCCGAAGACCCGGCGGCATGATACATTGGTGCCGTACCCTCTCTCCCTCCATCTTTCCAAATTCTTCCCAAATATATAGTTCGCTAAAACATGCCTTTAGCTTTAGGATTGCCATCAACGTTTCTTTCTTGTTCTCTTGGACTCAAAGCAATGTGTCTATGAACCTGCTGGCCTGAAGCAAGAACCCACACCCCCAAAAAATCGGAGTGATTTCAAAACTATGAAGCATGGTGAAAATCACTGCGGATCACCATCTCAGAAAACATGTGGGCATTGCCCATCATTGCCCAAACATGGCCGGCACCGATTTGCCCATGCAATTGGTCTGGGTATTAACCATTCCACAAACCATCTCTTTGTCTTGGATGGATCAACTTGACCCCATGCCACATCCGAGTGGCTGCCGTCTACAGTCAGTTCAACCCACATATCATTGAAAGAGAGCACCGTGGCCGTGACCGTGTCGCCAATCTCCAGAACACCCTGGGAAGAACATCACAGAAGCAGGCTGGCAACAATTTGCCCCCGTCACGTTTCTCCACAAACGGCGACATATTTATATATATATATATATCAACCGGGAATTGACTTTCTCCACCATAGGATTTGATGGATACTGGGCCGGGGAAACCAACCTGCCTTCGCATTTGGCCCATTTCAGAACTGCGGGTATCTCCGCAGCAATCAAAGAGATGGAAGCCTTTACACGGGCCTGAAAAATAGTTGTTTCCACATATCTTCACAAAAAACAACACTGCCCCAACATGCCCCAACTTTGACCCATACATAGCTGCTAGTGGCACCCCAACTTGAGTTCGTGGCCTGTTTACACACACTTCCTTTTAGTGAACGACCCCAATGTTTGACTTGCGTGGAACCCAAAGACCCCGAGTGGCTTCTGTTCTGGATGACTAACCATCCGGGGGACCAACACCTCTAACATAGAATAACCCCGAGTTTGGTTCTTGGCGGTTCCCCAAGATAGCGACAAATCCTACCCCCCCATACTAACCAACTGGTGGAGACTGGCAGTTCATCATACCTTGTGGGGTCCTGTCTCACCGAAATGGCGGAAGCCCCATTGTACGACCATCTGTCATGTAAATATCATGTAAAAATTGGTAATACCATCTGTAAATGGCATACCATCTGTAAAATATGTAAAAATTGGGGACATGTTTTCCTCGACCAAAGATGATCGACCGGTATTTTGCTGCCGAGGCACGTCTTGAGCTGCGACCGAGTCCTCACTGGCTCCAGCGGGCGCCACACTTTGCAAGCGCCGGGTTAAGGGCACTGAGAGGCGTGGATGCAGTGGCACCCTGGGCCCCCAATCCGAGCAATCTGCGGGTGATGAACTTTGATTTTCATATATTTTCATTTGGAAATTGGGTAGCAAGGCTGAAAGGTTGGCCTGCAGCTGCTGTGATTCCATGTTATTCCGTTTGAAACTATGTTGTGAGGTCAATGCCAATGCCTATTGACTCAGACTCAAATTTGTGATATCATTGATATCTCTGCTGGATTCAGACGACCGCAACCCAGCACAATCCGAAGGATGGTCAACACTAAGACGAACTTGTGTTTTTTTTTTCAAGTTCGTTAATCTTGGTACCCTCTGGTGAACTAACATAGCAATGGAAAATCCACCATGTTTAATGGGAAAATCCACTATAAATGGCCATTTTCAATTGCTATGTTAGTTCACCAGAGGGTAGATCTTTCGGTACTTGTTTGACCTGGGCTAGTATGGATGGGCCGGTGGGCCCGCAACTTTGTGAGCTTTCTGGATGTCCACAGCTGAGCTATGGCCAACTCTCCGAGCTTCCACAGCAATAGGAGGCGCTGGGGTGCTTTTGAAGAACTTGTTTGGGGTGAAGGGTGTCGATATACAGTACACGCACCACATCGCACCACACATCACCAGAAAAAATAGAACAAGCCATCCTTCAATACTGCGCACATGCGCGATCATGCGCGCGCGCGCTCACACACACACACATGCAGATATAACATGATATAGCATGCCCTAAAACACATATGATATATGATAATATACGATCGGTTTGAAAAACATATGCTCAGAGACAAATCATTTTGGAAAACATGAACTCACGAGTAACCACAGTTTGCTTCTTGCTTTCACCGTACGGGCAGAAACATGCCTCCCACTCCCGACCTGTGCACGAAACTCCACTGAGAAAGAAAGCACAGGACGATGCAAATCCCTGCAGCGCTATGCCGGCTATGCGCCAGGGCGCGCCGCGTCGCGCTGGTGGCCATCGGTGTGCGCAATGATGTCAGTTGAAATGTGAACCTTGAAACTTGTCACAGCAAAACTTTCTACATTTCCAGGTTGAGGAACATGCACTGATGGTTTTATTTGCAACTATGTAGGTGCACATGTTGAACATGATTGTCAGGGAGAGGAGCAACAACTTTGAATGTGCTGGTGATTTACTTCACATACTTCACTAATCATGAAGGAATCCAACCGCTGGTTGAAACTACCACATACCCCACGCAGTTGCAAAGAAAAGCATGGCTGCAACATGCAGGCTGTATGGGACAGTCACAGTGTTCCCAGGCAATAGCCCGTGGCACGGCTGGGAGCCGTATGGCAGCATGATATCTTGAGGACTACCGGGCACTGGATGAACATCCCCATGGCATCCCATAGCAGTATATTGGATGAGGTGGGCCCTCATCAATGATATAGATCCTGTAGATACTGTAGATAGATGCAGTAAAACGTGATAACTATGGGTGATATTTGGATTTCCCCGGTAGTTAGCAGTGTCCCTCTCTCCATTCCTTGCTGAGTGTAACACGGCTTCAGCCATGGTTTCGATGACAGGACCGCCACAACTGAGCAAAAAGTATGCAGAGACAGGAAGACCAGTCAATCATGATACGGCTAGCCGATGGAAAACCGGATTATCACCAGGAAGTGGTTTCGAAAAGCATGAGCTGGGAAAATCTGCTACATAGGCCACCCGGCAAGTCACCCAGAATTTCTGACAAAGTACACTGAACTGCCAAAATTTGAAAGCAATCCTTTCCACCGAATAACAATCGCGGCCCCAGAAAGTTCACTAATTACTGGATCTCCTGATTTTTCGGGTCCCTAACCAGGGAGGTTACTTACTTCCCAGTTCAGTTCCATCGCTAGAAGTCATGGGATCCAAACTCCGACCCCCCTGGGCGATCCCAGCACGATGCCCCAAGGCCCACAACAGCCGTTGGCGCAAACCTCGCTGACACAGCATGGCACTGGAACATCTCCACTTTTTTTAGAGGTGCATCAGTGCATCATCTACAAACTGGGGATATTCCAATGCCATGGCTAGATAAAACCATGCTACAGTACAGTAATCTGAATATCATCTAACGATCCAGTGTCATGGTTTGTTATCACATTGGAAGCCCTTTATGGGTACCATCGTATCCAATCTGAAGAAACCACCTCCATTTCGCTGCTTTCTCAACATCATCATCAACTATATTATGGTTCCCCTCAGTTCAAGAAGCGCCCTTCAATTTTTTCCAAATCATATGTTCTACATTCTACATTAAAAACTAGTTTGTATACTTCTAATTACTTCTATATGCATTACATACCACTTCCACCTAGTACCTCCCATCACGTCTGCACATATTCCCTCATATTTCTCAGGTGTTGCGCAAAACCTGACAAATCTACAAACAAACACTACACACACACACACACATACACACACACACATACACACACACACGCACGTACACACACTGTTGATTTTTTGGAAGTGAACTGCAATGACGATGTGGTTGTACACGCCTGGTAGAATTCCTGAGTCCATCATCCTTGATAAACAGGTGAAAGCAGGTCCAAATCATTAATCAGCAAGGTGGTTCTTGGGTTAGCCACATCCCATCGCGGAAAAGGAAAGACATGATTAGGCAGGTACGTCGATCCAGCGTCCCGGATCGATATCACAGAATGTCATAGCCGTCTTCGTTGGCTGCAGAACTATGACATTCCCTGCAGCCCCCTGCTGTTAAGTAGTCTTTGGTGCATGAATTCGGAGAACATAACGTGCATAGTCTTTGGCGCATGAATTCGGAAAACATAACGTGCATAGTCATCAAATGTCCAGTTGTAGTTTTCTGCATGTGAATAGCAGTGTACACACACACAAAGGCCTTCACATGGAAGGCAAATTCTGAAAGACTGCCTAATGAAGTAAGCAGATCACGTCAATATAAGCAACGTTGAACTCAGTCGAAAATGAAATTCATGCTTGGGATTAGGTGTATACGCACCTGCATCTTCATGGACAGGTCTTTCCAAAGAAGGCACTCTGAGGTAGCGGCGTGTAGAGCAAGTAGACCACGTAGATCAAAGAAATCGCGATAAATAAAGTCGAAATGGAAAGGACATGGTTAGATTAAAAGGTGTTAATTGTTATTGGCGAAATGATTGAAAATGATACAATCCAAAGTTTGTATTAGCAAAATAATTGAATATGATGCAATCCAAAGTTATCGTGCCCTTGTCCCTCACGAACATCAATTGTTTGTTGCAGATTGCGCAACACTTTGCGTGTGGAGAGCGGTATGCACATATATCCATATGTCTTCATAAGGAAGGTGACACTTCTGGGTTGCCGACGCGTGGAACAAATAGAGCAAGGACAGTATAACTTTGGAGTGTTAAAAAGTGAAGATAACTGCACTTCAATTGAAACATGGATACCACGAAATGAAATGGACACAAATCGATTGTATTCTTGTTCTTCCACAAATCCGTTTAAAATGAACGTTGATTAGTCGTCTATGGACGAAGAGCAGAATTCGCCAAAAACTGAGATTCCGACGCGTAGAACACGTAGGTCAGGTGGTTGAGATAGAACGCAGTGATGAAAACAGTAAATGGATTGATTAAATCACAGTTATATAACACTTAAGCCAGTGTGTTGCAGTACCGTGAACCATATAGAGTAGAACAATGGACGTAAACTAAGCTGGAGAACTGAATATAATCAATTACGGAAAACAAATATCACACTGCGAGCAAGTCGTTTTGGGTGGGATGTTGCAGAAAACGTTTGAACAGTTGCAAAGTTGCAATTGGAATGAAAAGCACAAAACCAAAATGCAGCTACGACGGCTTCTTTTCAGTCAAACGGTGTCAATTGTTGTCTGGTCCATTTGTGTCCAAAACTGTTGATCTTGAAGACGTTGTTGTGCCAAATTGGATTCCACTGTCATGATGCGATCCATGAGATACACTATGGGTCCTGCATGATCAATACTCTGAGCTTCCAACCTATATTCTCCTACAATGCCTTTGACAGTCAACGATAATCCGGATGGTGAAGTAGGCGTACGTCTTTCTGCATGTTCAGCTGGCAACGTGATGGGAACCGGTGATACTCCTGATTTTGCTGAGGACTCCGCGATAGGTTGTATCTTGGGGGTTGCTTGGTGAGGTCCATGTTCAACTGTACGTGAAGGATGTGAGGGGGGAGGTGAAGGAAGGGGACCGGGCGGAGTCTGTAGAACTGGTGCATGTCCGGGAAATGGTGAAAATGCAGGTGTCGCCCGTGGTACAAATGGAGCTGCTGCACACGGTGAAGACAGTGATACCATCGGTTGTGACGGAAGATACGCAACGGTAGCACTCAACGGCGGTCCATTGGCAGCTTTGCTTCTTGCATGGAGTTCCATATCGCGAAAAAATCTGCTGAACGCGAAAGAAGAAATGAGTTGTTCAAGAATTGTCAGTACATTTAGCGCATGGTGTGTTATGACGAATGACGTGTAGAAATGAAAAGCAACGAATTGACTTAACATGTCAAAAAGCTTGCTATGAGCCAAGGGAATGCATTACCCAGATTGAAAACGCATCAAAATCATGTGTCAACTTGCGCATGATCGAAAACATGAATCAAGATCGTACACACATCTGCAGCGATAAGGTCCCTACCGTGTTTGACATTCTGCTTGGTTTGAGCATCACAAACTATGTGTGTCCGCACACTTTTGTGATAGGTCTTCCTATATTCTAGATCTCTTCAAATTGATCTCTTGTCCTCACAATTGTAAATTGATTTGAAAGAGAAGGTGAAAACTCATAAAATGACAGTAAGAAGTAGGGTTCCCGGCCAATAAAATCCTTCGGCACATGGCCACCTTCGCCCTATGGGCACCATTCGCCCGTTGGGCACCCCCTTCACATGGAAGGCAAATTCTGAAAGACTGCGTGTAGAGCAAGTAGACCACGTAGATCAAAGAAATCGCGATAAATAAAGTCGAAATGGAAAGGACATGGTTAGATTAAAAGGTGTTAATTGTTATTGGCGAAATGATTGAATATGATGCAATCCAAAATTTGTATTAGCGAAATAATTGAATATGATGCAATCCAAAGTTATCGTGCCCTTGTCCCTCACGAACATCAATTGTTTGTTGCAGATTGCGCAACACTTTGCGTGTGGAGAGCGGTATACACATATATACATATGTCTTCATAAGGAAGGTGACACTTCTGGGTTGCCGACGCGTGGAACAAATAGAGCAAGGACAGTATAACTTTGGAGTGTTAAAAAGTGAAGATAACTGCACTTCAATTGAAACATGGATACCACGAAGTGAAATGGACACAAATCGATTGTATTCTTGTTCTTCCACAAATCCGTTTTAAAATGAACGTTTATTAGTTGTCTATGGACGAAGGGCAGAATTCGCCAAAAACTGAGATTCCGACGCGTGGAACACGTAGGTCAGGTGGTTGAGATAGAACGCAGTGATGAAAACAGTAAATGGATTGATTAAATCACAGTTATATAACACTTAAGCCAGTGTGTTGCAGTACCGTGAACCATATAGAGTAGAACAACGGACGTAAACTAACCTGGAGAACTGAATATAATCAATTACGGAAAACAAATATCACACTGCGAGCCAGGCGTTTTGGGTGGGGTGTTGCAGAAAACGTTTGAACAGTTGCAAAGTTGCAATTGGAATGAAAAGCACAAAACCAAAATGCAGCTACGACGGCTTCTTTTCAGTCAAACGGTGTCAATTGTTGTCTGGTCCATTTGTGTCCAAACCTGTTGATCTTGAAGACGTTGTTGTGCCAAATTGGATTCCACTGTCATGATGCGATCCATGAGATACATTATGGGTCCTGCATGATCAATACTCTGAGCTTCCAACCTATATTCTCCTACAATGCCTTTTACAGTCAACGATAATCCGAATGGTGAAGTAGGCGTACGTCTTTCTGCATGTTCAGCTGGCAACGTGATGGGAACCGGTGATACTCCTGATTTTGCTGAGGACTCCGTGATAGGTTGTATCTTGGGGGTTGCTTGGTGAGGTCCATGTTCAACTGTACGTGAAGGAGGTGAGGGGGGAGGTGAAGGAAGGGGACCGGGCGGAGTCTGTAGAACTGGTGCATGTCCGGGAAATGGTGAAAATGCAGGTGTCGCCCGTGGTACAAATGGAGCTGCTGCACACGGGGAAGACAGTGATACCATCGGTTGTGACGGAAGATACGCAACGGTAGCACTCAACGGCGGTCCATTGGCAGCTTTGCTTCTTGCATGGAGTTCCATATCGCGAAAAAAGCCTGCTGAACGCGAAAGAAGAAATGAGTTGTTCAAGAATTGTCAGTACATTTAGCGCATGGTGTGTTATGACGAATGACGTAGAAATGAAAAGCAACAAATTGACTTAACATGTCAAAGAGCTTGCTATGAGCCAAGGGAATGCATTACCCAGATTGAAAACGCATCAAAATCATGTGTCAACTTGCGCATGATCGAAAACATGAATCAAGATCGTACACACATCTGCAGCGATAAGGTCCCTACCGTGTTTGACATTCTGCTTGGTTTGAGCATCACAAACTATGTGTGTCCGCACACTTTTGTGATAGGTCTTCCTATATTCTAGATCTCTTCAAATTGATCTCTTGTCCTCACAATTGTAAATTGATTTGAAAGAGAAGGTGAAAACTCATAAAATGACAGTAAGAAGTAGGGTTCCCGGCCAATAAAATCCTTCGGCACATGGCCACCTTCGCCCTATGGGCACCATTCGCCCGTTGGGCACTCCTTCGGCTTATGCCACCCTTCAATTGTCCTTGACCCCCCTTCGGCTATTGCCATCACTTCTAGCATCCCCTATGGCTACTCGCTCAACTTCTGCCTCCGTAGAGGACGGATTCGGCACACTATGCCAAGATTGTTCTTCCCCATTAGGGATGATGAGGTCATGGTCTGTATAGGACACATGACTAATGCACACTGTTGATTTTTTGGAAGTGAACTGCAATGACGATGTGGTTGTACACGCCTGGTAGAATTCCTGAGTCCATCATCCTTGATAAACAGGTGAAACCAGGTCCAAATCATTAATCAGCAAGGTGGTTCTTGGGTTAGCCACATCCCATCGCGGAAAAGGAAAGACATGATTAGGCAGGTACGTCGATCCAGCGTCCCGGATCGATATCACAGAATGTCATAGCCGTCTTCGTTGGCTGCAGAACTATGACATTCCCTGCAGCCCCCTGCTGTTAAGTAGTCTTTGGTGCATGAATTCGGAGAACATAACGTGCATAGTCTTTGGCGCATGAATTCGGAAAACATAACGTGCATAGTCATCAAATGTCCAGTTGTAGTTTTCTGCATGTGAATAGCAGTGTACACACACACACACGCGCACACACACACACATACATACATACATACATACCTATATCTACTGTATGTATCTATGTGCCTATGTATGGATTTCTGTATGTATATATGTATGGATGCATGTATCTATCTATCTATCTACCTATGTATTAAGAAACCAATATCTCAACATATACACATATACATTCATACACAAGCATGCACACCAATATATACATATACATATACATATACACATACATATACACATATACATATACACATATACATATATATATATATATACACATATACATACATATATATATATATGTATACACATATACACACACACACACACATATATATATATATATGTATGTATACATATATGTATATGTATATGGTGCCAGCCGTCCCAGCTGCATCCAGGCGGCCCAGGTGGGCGATCGCTTCAGCTCCGCCTCCCGCAGCAACTTCCGCACCTCCGAGTCGTTCGGCCTGGGCGCAGGATATGGGACGATTGTTATGGGATGATCCATTATGTATATATATATATAAATGGGATAATATATAAAGATGATCCATTATTGTTATGGGATAATATGGGAAAATGTGGGATTATATATATATATACAGTACACCAAGAATATTTGGGATTATTGTTGTTAATGAAATGTCTGGATGGAATATCCATAATTGCCCAATATTTGGGATTTATCCACAGTAATCATGGGCTATCCACAAAGTAGATAGATGATGATAGATGGACATATCTATAACTATCCACATAATGTGGGGTGATTGTTATTAACGGACATTTCAATTTATTGCTTCCATGCCATATATCCATCTATTTTATGGACTAAACATATTGACGCAGTAAATTGAAAACTCTGTAATATATATATATATGTATAAGACTATATATATATATATGTATATGTATATACAGATGTAATAATCCCAATTTCCCAGAACTAATCATCAACCCACAGGGGTTTTGAACACCCTGCTCTGCTCAGTTGAAGTTTGAGTTCATGAATTGTGCTTAATGACTTGTGCTGATTTTGCTGATTGTCTTACGCCATTTTGCTGTTGAACATATATGAACCTTTGGTTGGGTGAGGCAACTCAATAATTCCATCCCCCCAAAATATTTATTGAGAGTAGGCTTGTCCCAAAGGAGATGCCTGATATTCGGCTTATCTGCCTTTGAAGTTGAAGGATGGTTGAGGCGAACCCTTTGCAGCCAAGCCCAGTGGATTCCTGCTAGGGCGATGCACATGGCTTTCTGGGCCGCGGCAAGCCAGTCTGAAGCAGGACCTGGCTTGCCTGCGGTGGAACCCCACAGTGCAAAACAGGGCATGCCAGATCTGTTGAATGGAAACCGCCACATCTTCTTCGTTTCCTGCAGGGAATTGCCACATTGAAGGATCAACCGCTTGTATGCCTGCCTGTGCGAAGCAACCCCAAACCGAGTCTCATCAAAGCCTGCCACGTTGCAGCGGCTGCAACAAAAACATCCACAACCCAACGGCTTGAGCGCACGAATAGCGCTGGATCCAGATTTGGCACCTCTCAGTTGGATGGTCAATTTGGGATTCATCACATATAATGCAGGGATCTATAACTCGATATGTATATACAATCAACATGTGTACGTTTGAATCCGTAGATGGTTCTCCCCCCCGCACACCCAGACACACACACACACATCCATTTGTGATCTTCTTTGCATGCATAGCCACACTCACACACATCTATCTATAACAATGTATATACACTGTCTACATGTATATATATATTTATTTATTTCATATATGTATATATAAAAATAAAATACATATACATGAGCACAGAATAATACACACAAACAAATAGATACGCGATCATGTATGTACTTACATACCTCTGAAATATGCTGAATCAACATATGCATTGCACACTGCCATTGCACGCTTCTCTCGGGCCTTGGGTGCTTTTCCATCCATACACAAGGCAGCATTCGCCCAGTCGATGGCCTTCCAGTTTCAGCTTGACATTGCCCAGTCATGCCCAGTCGATGGCATGTCTTGATCCCATTTGAGCTTCGATGTCAAGAAAGTGCCTAGTTCAATGGTCGCTTTGGTTTTGCCTTGGACAATTTGGAGAGATCGTTTCTTGTAGGCGACCAGCATGTATCATACGTATCACAGCAGGATGAGACAGTTCAAAACTGCATGGAACATCGAACTTGGCTTCGCTATTCACCGTATTGATCCCCTTTGGGTGGATTTTCTTGGACGGCGTGTCCATTCTCCCAAATATATCGTAAATCCATATCATCATAATTCATCATGTATATATTTACAATTAATATCAATTAATCATACAGTATATCATTACATATCATTGCGTAACATTACATATCATATCATATCATTACATGTCGTAACACATGGGCACATATCTTTACATGTTTTTACATATCACTACATATCATATTTCCTCACACTGTCGATTTTCAAGCCTCCTTGTACCTCTCCAGCTTCAAACTCACAGCGGCTAAGTTTTGCGCCTCACGACCAAAGTCTGGACCAACTGCAGTTGTCATTACGTCACACATGCTGAACCTCTGCTGCGTTTTGAGAGAGGTTCTCCAAAAAAGTCATGGACATCATAGGCTCTCATTTTACTGCAATCCTCTCCATCTATCTTAACTAGCGGGCTTCGTTCCATCTGGTGCTCAAAATTTCGTCAACGGGATGCCGACGATGGCGAAGCGCAGGTCAAAAAGTTCTTGACCTCGGCACAGCTGGGACCGTGGGATCAGGATCTGTCTGAATCAACTCATCAAACATGGGTCATTAAATGTCCCCATGGGTCACATCACCCAACCATTAGGTATATGGTCTATAGTGGCTACTATAAGGTGATGTCCAATATACCCAAAATGGGACAGTTACCAACCCCTGTCAAACTTCATCAAACTTCGCTATTTCGAGTCTCTGCGGTCTGGGTGTCGTTGCTCACGGGTATCAGCTCCACGGCCTTGCGGAGCTGGGAAGTTTTCTTCTGCGGCTGCCCGACTCGGGTGCTTTATTGGTGTTCAATCCAGCTGATGGTGCTGTGACCCAAATTCTAATACCCAAATCCTAATTGGATAGGTAATGATAAATACGATAAAATCTAATCAAGTTCAAATCAAGTTCAAATTATCCAATCTTGTACGCAAAGGCTTGGGCAAATGCGCATGTCGCGCTGCTGAGATTGGTTGCGGCTTGACCTGAGGTTCCAACTGAATAGCCTCAGGATGATGGTGGCAAAGTGTCATGGCCGATCTCTACCAATGAGCAGCATGCAGCATGTTAGCAAAATTTGGCATCACAGATCCACAAAAACCAGCAGAAAGAAACATGAGAATCAAATTGCAGCATCTTATATACTTCGTACAAGAAGAGTAAGTGGTAATTAATTTGCGTTTAGGTGCGCTCGCAGTACGGTTGCACATAGATATAAGTTGATATAAGGCAATTTTACCCTCTGGTAAATTAACATAGACCCTGGCAGATAGGGGTTGGAAGACTAGTTTCCATTGAAAATTGGTGATTTTCAGGGTCTATGTTTATTTACCAGAGGGTACCACCAATCGGCCAATCACACAAACATGTTCAGAAGATCGTTATCCGTTATCCATCCACCCAGGACTATACTGGCTAAGTCGAGATTAAAGTCTGAAAGACACAAACCATTTGGAAACACCAGAAAGGAAGAATCCCACCTTCATTAATTGCATAGAAATATGTATCCAGCCGTTCCCGGTGAACCAACAAATGCCACTCAGACTTGCAACTGTTTGCCATTTACTATTCTCCCATAAATATCCCACACATATCACATATCCATAAATTATTCAGTCATGAATTTCCCATTGTTTTCCCATGGTTATCATTATTGACTCATTATTATCCCGTTATTTACCCATTATTATAAGTATTGCATATGTTATCATTGTTCATTATCAATCCATTGTTATCATATTAATTAACTTACCCATTGACCCATTGTTATCATAGGTTATCATTGATCATTTATGATGAGTTATGATGTTATCATATGTATTCATATGTTACCATTGAGCATTAACAAACCATTGATTCCATTGATCATTATTAAATATTATCAACCATCATAGCTTCCATGATTATTATTCCATTGATAACCATCATCAGTTGACCATTAATTAAATATTATTAGCAAACCATTGATAACCCATGATTATCCCTCCCATCCCTCCCATCCCATGTACAGCACAACGTTACGAGCCGCGGCAACGCCGAAACTTCGCCAAGCTGCGCTTCAACTCTCCGCCGGGTTCACCAGCCTTGGACGTCCGGTGCGTATATGAACAGTTCAGTTGTCAACTCATAGTTTTAATCATTGATCAAGCCATAATACCATTATATAACATTATATAACCTATATAATCATTATGATTATATGATCTAAATCAGGAAATACGGTAATCTATATAATCGAGTCGAATCCCATCAACCTAATCTATCTGCATGTGATTATATGTCTAAAGAGCTTGCTGAGTCTCGAAGCATCAATATCCAGATCCCTGAAAAAAGCCTGTAGGATATATAAAAGGAAAAAGAGTTGAAACCATCAACCAAATATCCAGTTCTGTATCCATCCGCCTCAACTGCACTTGCCTTTTCAGCCCAACCTTCCCCAGCATTTCACAGCTGGGCTGCCAAACCCAAATTGCCTGATCGTTGCCCAAGTCCTGAAACCATACAATGAAATAATTACACCCAGCGACCATGGTAACAATCAAATTCATCAAACATGGAAGACCGAAGCGGCCCAAGAGCTTTGAACTTTAAACATATTTCGAAGACATCGAACCTTGTGGCTTCTGTCACCACTTTGCATCTCCGAAGTTTTGGATTTCGGACTTTTTCACGGGGCACTGCGTTCAATCTATGGTAGCAAACTCGATCCCTTCATGAATTGCGTAGAGGGGGTTCTGTGACCTCATGATTTTTGGACCATTCGCGGTCACAAGCTGGACATTTTCTGGCCTTTAGGAAGTATTCGTCGAACATTGTGAAGGCACTCATGACCTGGACCGGCTCGATTCGTCCAGGGATTATGGTGGTGAGTCTTTGGGAGGTATGTGATCTTGCGAGATAGGATTTCCCAAAATATCCCAGAATACCTTCCATATGGATTCCATATGATTCCATAATTCCATGTTGATTATCCCTGGGCGATATTCATATCTAAACTACGATTTAGCACTTGCAATGCCCAATGCATCCAAATCCATCCAAATACATCCCAACTCATTATAAATGCATCCAAAATGCATCCAAAATGGATCCAAAATGGATCCAAATGGACAGCTTTTGTTGGCACAACATCTGTCATGGATAGGATCTAAGGCTTCCCAGCCACTCCAAAGCCGTGTTGGCTGTAGCGGACGCGCCTTGAATCCCAAGGGTGCCGGTCCGGTGCCGAAGGCATGCACCCAAATATCATTCAACAATGAACGGAAGATCAAAATATATCAAAATCATCAAAACCTAAAAAATGCCATGGGAAATCATATTCAACCAGAGTTTTTTGTTTTGTTCTTTTTCCCTCTCTGTGCAATATCGTCATATCCAGCGCCATATCGTCCACGATGACCTCTAGGCCGCCCCAACGCGCCAATTTCATGGCTGCTGGGTGCTGGACGCAGAGCTGATTCCTCCAGACTGGAAGCAGCACAGGTGGGCATTGAACCATGAAAATAGAGAAGCAACCAACAAACATTGGGTGTTGAGCAACAAGAATAGAGTTTAACCAACCAAAATTAGGATGTTTAACCGTGAGAAATGGGCGACCAAAAGTGTTGGACCCCCACTCCATCTTCAGCATCCATCGCCACATACCTTTAGGATGCTTTGCAAGCCTCCTACTGACACAATAAGACACTCAGTTGCTTAGAAACTCCAAGTTCCTACACATACGCTTTGAGACACTAGGTGCTGGATCTGCAAAAGAGTCTGAGACCCTCCTTTCAAGCGTTACAAGGATACTTCGCTAACCTGGAATAACCTGGATGATTTCCTGCCCAACAAGGTTCCCTAAGCTTCAGGCCCAATGCTCCAGCGCAGCCACCTGACTCAACAGCAGTGAATTCACCGGTGATCCCAGTGATGGGATGGAACTTCTGCCAACCATGGTCCACGGTTGGAAAAATAAGTTCCTACATCATTGGGATCATTGAAGCCTGCCACTAGTTGGTAAAACATGCTAAAGACATGGTAAGACCATGTAAAGCCTCCATATTTCGAATCAGCTGTGGAGGATTTGGATGGATTTGGTGGCTTCAACTTCCAGCACGGCCTCAGGCTGAGCACGCTGAGAACCACACGTAGTGCTCCATGGCCGTTTGAAGTTCTCCCTTGGCCTTCAAATGTCTTGCTGCGTAAGATCTCCCTGCTCCACAGCCCAAAGGAAACTTGGTCTTAAAACTGAGCCAACCAACAGCAATCAGCTTAGGCCCCAGCATACGCTGCATTGCCTGGAAATTGGCACGATTCAATGTGAGGCTCAGTGGATCCTCCACTTCAGTCTCAGAATAAACCTACAGAAGTTAGTTGGTGTTTTCGCCAGGGTCACATCGTCAACCCGGTACCAAGCCTTCAGCTTTGGCGGCAGCACAGGCCTCAACGGCCTGTCACAACTGGCTTGACAGCCACTGATTTGTGAGTCTTAGGATTAACCTGCCCTTTTAGCCGCTGTCAAACCGTGGAATTTGGGCGGATGAAATAGCATTTCATGGCCATGAACTGGTTAAAACAGCATTTGGCGGCTATATTTTAAGCGTGGCCTTTGCTTTGGCCCAGCCTCCTTTTCATCAGGCATGGCTACGGCGGCAATAGCCCGCCAGATACGCAATGTCAGGTAGCTGACTTACTTGACTTTTGCTTCCATCTTAGAAACTCACACCTCTTTAGTCCTTTTTTCCCAAACCTGAAAGCCATCTGGCAACTTGGCTTTGAGGGGGTTGAATCTGAGCAAGTGATCTCGCAATCTGTTGTATTCAGAAATCCTTGCGTAGAGGTCTGCGGCTATAATCTAAATTTACCAATACGAACCGAACTGGTCTTTGGATGTCTTTGGTAGCATTTTTGCAGTATTCTGCTGATGAGTCTTACTCAAGCACAAATAGGGCGTGTCAGCATTTCCCCCTTCTAGCATTCCCATAGGCCAGGATCTGAAGTTTGGCTGTGCACCCGGACTTCGAACATGTATCTTGGCAGAAGTGGCAAGCAAAATTTGACCATCTACCCATTTTCTATGCCTTCAACTTGGAGCCAGTCCCTTTGAAACATCGCAGGGTCTCCGGCCACAAACAGCATCGGAGCAGCGCATTTCCTTTCACTCTGCAGAAAATTGGAGGCGTCGCAGCATCGTTGCACCGGTCCACGGTAGACATGGAGAGTTGCATGCCATGGTTATCTGTGGTTTAACCCCTTTGGTCCTGTTAGGTGAGGCCAGGGATCCCCGAATGGGTCGCCAATCATTTGTCCCCTGCACAAGCCTTGAATTTTTTCCAGTGGTTCCAGCGAAACAAGAAATAGGTGTTCCATGGCTATACAGAATCTTGTCATGCAAAAGCGTAGCAACACATAGCAACATATGCATATCGCGATCAAGCAAATAATCCAACATGATGTCTTATATGCAACGTACATAAACCCACATCATCTTTCAAACAAGCAAGCAAGGACCATATGGCTAGTCCTATTCAATGACTCACAAATACCCCCAAAACAATCCGATTGAACTATTGATCTCAAACGATCCCCAACCATTTCTTCATGAAAGGAACAACAAACAGAGAACCTGGAGGGCCATGTCATATTGCAACCCTGTTCCTCCATGAATTGCTGCAAAGAGGTTTGTGCCCACCCTCGAATTGAACCTCCAGACGTGCCAATATTTTGCAACAAATGAATTGCAAATGACACACCAGGAAGGAATCGCCGGCACAAAACCCTTTGCAAGCAATTGATGATAATTCCAAATCTATCCAAATCTCTCTGTACAAAGGCCTGTGGAAACATCGCAGCTGTGTTGGACTGGCTTGCCGCTACAGGTAAAAATCTCACAGACTGGGGAAAGTCATTATTGACACGGTCTGCAGCGTTTGAAATCGCGCATGAGCTGCTGCAAACAATTCAAACGAGGCGGGGACAAGAGTTCAAACTCAGCATGCTGAATTGCTCAAAGGTTTGAATCTGCATGCTTTGGAGGCATTCTTTCCACAGAGCCAAGTTGAGGTATACCTACGAAGGCACCCGAGGTGACATTTCCTGCACAGGCGCAGCCCATTGCAAAACAGAAAGTGCTAGAACGTAATAGAACATGATACCAAGATATACCAAGGTCCTATCTAGTGCCTTCAGGAGGTATGGGCAACGCGGCAACGCTCAGAAACTACATCAGTTCTACTCACGTCCGAGCTTCTCCAATCCAAGGCCCAAATATCTTTGATACCTTTGTCAGATTCACGGCATGGCCCCACCGTTGAAGAGTTGTTCAATCAAACAACCTGTCTCAAAAGGAATGGTCAGTTGGAGATCATGCCCTCAAAGTTGTGGAAATGGATGGAAAACTCAAACACATTGAAATCACGGCCCAAACAAACTTGCGGCCACTTGAACTCTTCCCGGCTTGTCTTGTTGCCAACTGTACTTATGAGTTTTTCACAGTGCATGAATGCAATGCATGCCCAAATCTAGAAATGCTGGCTACTTGGCTAAGGTGCTTCCTTCATTGTTTGATGTCGTTCAGTGGTTGTGGCTGGTGTTCTCTGATTCTCGTTGATGTGAAGCAAAACCAATTGAGAGTATCCAAAACCCCTCTGGCCCAAGAAGGCAACAAACAAAGACATTTTGAGTGCATCTATATCATTCTACATTTCAATGTGTATATAATTGTGCATTGAGACGCGCACATATAACAGGCATACGTATGCGTACACGCATACATTACATGACATTACATCACATCACACGACACAACACAACACGACACTACGTTACATTACATTACATTACATTACATACATTACATTACATTACATTGCATTGCATTGCATTGCATTACATTACATATATACATACTTGTACACATATATATATAATATTATATACATACTTGTATATATATATATGTGTGTGTGTGTTTGTGTATATATGCAATGCGCGCACACACACAATGATATATGTTTGATGCACTATACGCATGCACATGCTGGATGCCACCATTGCCAGGGCCTTTCTGCTGGGCAATTCAGCTGTGCCCATGTTGATTCAAAGGGTTTCCCATCCCAGCTCATGAACCGCCATGCGTTGCGGCGTTGCACATCTGTTTGAATCTATATAGCATCATGTGGAAATGGGGCAAACCCTGGTACCTTGGTGTTCACAGCATTTTGTGGTTGGTTTATTTAGTAAATGGGGCTTCATCGAAGCCTGGATCGCCCTAGCCGCCAAGTGGCCAGTGCCTCTGCTGTTCATCTCCCAAGAGGCCAGCGGCTGCATCGTTGATGCTCTCCAATCTGGTGGGATGTCATGGTAGCTATTGAACATGGCCCATTTATAGATGATTTACCATGATTTACCTATTAAAAATGGTGATTTTCCACAGTTATGTGGCAGTTTTCCAGAGGCTAATTGTCCAAGAAACTTCAAGAAGGAAATTGCTGAGTTGCAAAGGTGCCAAAGCTCCAACCCTGTGTGTCTCAGCTGTTCGATGTCCAAATAGCTCAAATAATCTAAGGAACTTCTGTCCTCCCCATCGGAGCGCCTTCCACCAGCCACTGCCCAGCGGTTGGAGAGGGGTGCATCCATCACCTGTGCCCAAGATTGTGGCGAGCATAATCTGTGACACGAGTGCCAGGTGATTTACAGGCCGGAGTCTTGGTAGATCACCAACTAGGTGAGGAATTCTGGAGACATTTCCCGGTTTCCGCCCTCGGCATGCCCCTGAAAAACTAAATGGAACTCCCCTGAAAGAGATTTGTAATTTTGGACCATTTTGGGTCATCAACCCATCGAGAAGGAACATAACTATGTAATATTTAAATTCATCAGCCAGTTATGTTGGTTAATCATATCCCCAGCAAATGGTGCTTAAATCCGCATGATTCCCACCCGAGTACCCCTATTTTTTAGACAAACACAACATATCCCCAAATCATAGTGTGTTTTGTCTATCCCGCATACCCCCACTCTATCCCTATAACACGTCCCCATAAATTGGTTGGCATATGGGGTTTTGTGCCCAAACATATCTCCATAATGTTGTCATCTATCGGTAACCATCCTTTCGCAAAAGCAAACATTATATATAATAAGTAATTGAATTGTTGGTTACATCCCGTTGGACACTCCCATAGATTATTGCCATAACTGGCCATAACATATTTCTAGATAAACTATAATAATTCACTAAGCTGAAGTTCGGCCATTTTAGGATAGTCACCATAATCCATAGTTACCATAGTCACCATAGTCACCCCTACAATTCCCATCATTCCAGTGACGTCGCAGTGAGGTCGCCATACTGTGTCCAGTTGAACTAATGGGTTTCATACCTCAATTGTGGCAGGGGTTGACAAACCATCCCAGCACACCTCTTGGATCTTCACTCCGTGGGCAATCTCCAAGGCACCTTTCAGCAGAAGCTCCTGAGAGTGAAAGATCGGATCCATTTCATGGAATTTCATGGAATGAAGGGTAGGATTTATTGAGATTTGAAGCCGTAAAACTGAGGATGTTTGATTTTGTTTTATAACTAACACAAATTGGATTTCGATAGGGTTAAATAAGAGAAAGTGGGATTAAATTATGAGTTATCATATCATTTACGACCAATAGACTTTGGAATTTAAAAAAAGGGGTTCCCATGGGATTTTCATCAAAATGAATAGGATATAATCCGGCTATGCATAGTCTAACTGACATAATGGAGTCAAAAGTACTGCTAGTACGGAGTTAAACGAGTCTGTTGAACAAAAGATGGGGACAATCCCTTTGTGCCAAGGCAAACCCACCACCCATACAGGTCGCACCACCACTGGTGTCCTGTAGCATGTGTGGCGGTAAAAGCACCTGGCCAGGCAAAAATGGCGCAAAAAGGTGGTCAAAAGAGAGACCTTCATCATTAATCCCTTGAATCCCATTAGACAATTCCCCCATGATATCCCCATTAATTGATATCAATTGGTGCCCATGCCCATCCCAGTCATTCCAGGCCTGACCCCAAATATAGCTGCCAGAAATCTGCAGCAGCTGTCGCCTTGAAGTACTCATCCCAGCACAACGTGTGTGACTTACTTGGCAACCCCCATCATCCCAAAGAAATATTCAGAGTTCCAACTGGGCTCAATCACCCCAGGTCTTTTGATGGACAAGTCCCTCGAAAACCTGGGGCCCACACTCCGAGGGAACCAAACCACCGAAGAAGACCTTGCCGCCGTTGGGAAGCTCACCCACCTGAGGCCTTGGTTTTGAAGCGGTCCTGGGTAAAAAAATGGGGTAGAACATATATGTATATATGTATATATGTATATATGTATATATGTATATATGTATATATGTGTATATGTATATGTATATGTATGTATGTATGGATGGATGGATGGATGGATGGATGTATGTATGGATGGATGGATGTATGTATGTATGTATGTATATATGTATATGTATGTATGTATGGATGGATGGATGGATGGATGGATGTATGTATTTATGTATGTATGTATGGATGGATGGATGTATGTATGTATGTATGTATTTATGTATGTATGTATGGATGGATGTATGTATGTATGGATGGATGTATGTATGTATGTATGGATGGATGGATGTATGTATGTATTTATGTATGTATGTATGTATGGATGGATGGATGTATGTATTTATGTATGTATGTATGGATGGATGGATGGATGTGTGTATGTATGTATGTCTGTCTGTCTGTATGTATGTATGTATGTATGTATGTATGTATGTGTGTATATATATACATGTATATATATATATATATATGTATATCTATATGTATATCTATATATCCACATATCTATATATATTTATATCTATGTCTATATCTGTGTAAATGTATACATGCATACACATATATATATATATATATATATTGTACATATATATATATATTGTATATATATTGTATATTTATTGTATATATATTGTATATATATATATTGTATATATATATAATATGCGTGTGTGTGTGTGTTTGTGTGTGTGTGTGATGATTCCTGATTAGTCCAAAAGCTGACCAACCTTTGCCTTTGTGGTTAGCCTCAATCTTTGAGACGCCCAAGTTCGCCAATCCATCTAACAGCAGAAAACTACTGGGCCGAACCCTGGTTCCAAGACAGGTCCCGGACCCAGTGAGTATGACAAGTACGGCAGGCTCATCCTTCGGAGCAGTGTCTCGCACAGTTGGGATTCCCCTGAACCAATTCAGTAGGGGAACCTCCCAAAAAAAAAGGAAACTCAGGAGTTCGTTCTCACTTTCCGAGACCGCGCTCCTCTGCAACATCTGTGATGGTGAGAAGCACTGCCTCAGCTGCCGGCAGCTGGAAACAGTCTGGGAACCATTCTTTGAAGTTGCAGTTCCTTTGGATCTTATTTTTGGATATTTTTTGTTGATGCCGTTGGTTCTTATCCATTGTTCACTTCTTGGGAAGTCCCAACGTGCACATAGAGCACTGCATGAGAGACGGCATGCCCTGCAAATTCAACTCTCACCATCTCCCGCATTGCAATCTGTAGCTAGGCTTCTTCAAACAGATCATACCATCTGGCTAGAAATATGGAATTATGAAAACAATATGAAACCAATATGAAACCAATATCCTCATCAAACGAACTCAACTCAGTCTACTTTGATTTTCATCTCCCAGGCTGGCCTTGTGAAGATACTGCGCCGGGGGCCGACTGAGCAATGTGGCTGGGCGAGGCAAATCATGGAGACATGGGTTACAGTAATCGAATCTAAACTCGCTGATGGACATTATCCACATCATGGAATGCGCTGAAATGCTGCATGAGAAAACATGTTCACATGCGTATCATATATAGATACGTATGTAGTGTCCGCCAAGAATATAGAATGTTTTTCGAAGATCATACGACCCGAGCCAGATTTTGGGAATAAAAACTGGGAGGAATTCCACTTTTAGAACTTTTCTATCTTTAGCCTCGTCTTTGGAGAAGAGATCCTTCTTATTCACCAATGGATCTCCAACTGGAGAAAAACACTGGGGCCTGTGAGCATTTCGCCGCCTCAGGATGGAAGGCAAACTGTGGCAAGCTGAAAGCTGTGCTTCCCATGAAAGCTACCCCCGCATAGAATTCACCTACAGTATCATAATACATATGTATATAATATAAAAGAATGCATATATATATATAATATAAAACAATGTGTACATACATACATACATATATATATATATGCATACATATATATATATATACATATTATATACAAATAAATAAAACATAATAAAGATAACACGTTTCCGTTTTTTAATGTTTGGAGGGCTCATGCCCCAGCCTAGCAGCACCCACCCACTTGGGGTGCTGGCGGACGCCAAGTCGTCTGACCCCCAAGGATCCTCAGCGGTGGCGTTGCGGTCCAGTGTGTAACTCACTGGGTCATGGCGTAGCAATGGGCCCTCAGGGGGGGTTCAATCATGCCCAAATGGATAAGGACATGATATATGATGATATATGATATATCTGTCTTTCCCCATAAAATGGGCTAATAAAATGCCAAATCCACTAATCATGATATTGAGAAGGCTCAATAAAATGTGGGTATCCTGGATCCAAATTTTCAGGACACCAATGGTCACACCTGGGGACTTGCAATGGTTGGGCACCTCTCAGATGCAAAGTGGGGTGGGATCAACTTGGGAGTAGCGTTTTTTGAGCCGAGCCAAGATGGAAATCCATTGGTTTCCCTCAGCCATGTGGCTTTGCCAAGGCTTGTGGCAAGATTGGGGTGTGTTTTTTGGAAAGAGAACGCACAGCGATTGTGAGCAAATTGCTGCAGCACGCCCCAATCTTTGTGTCGCAACAGCACCTTTTGGTGCTTATTGAGTCACCATTCTGCGTCTCTTGGAGAGCAGGGATCTTAAAACTTGTGCTGCCAATGTGGCCGTGGTGAGGCCGACTTGGACCAACCAGCAGGCCAATGCACCCAACTGCATCTCGCAGGGCTGACAAATTCGTTACCATTGGATACTGGGGGGAGCATTATCATCAAGTGATTTGACGTGATACATATCCTTCCAATCTTTTCAAACAGATACAAAGAGCATCGAAAGTTTGCCGGAAACTGGATGGTCTTTGTCGTCATCGCCTTGCCAATTATTGAGATATCATACCGAACTCAGACGCTCTTCGAAGCAGCTGGGATCCTTGCAGCCAAGGAGCAGCAAAAAAACATATCCTACATCCCAAGAAGAGTCCAGGTTGGAACATTTATCTAGTGACTTTTAGGATGTTTCGTTCTGACTCACTGATTTGAATGGACCCTGACCTTGTAGTGACTTATCGGTTTCGGATCATATGACCGGAACAACGCCAGCATACACTGACAAGAAGATGTTGATACCCATCAAGTGGGACGCTCATCTATGTATTAAGATAATGGCTGCCACGGGAAGGGGGTGATAGTGATGAAAACTCTTGAGCCCATGTCCACGGTGGAGCAGGATGGCTGTTGCCCCCAGCCCTGCCTTGCGATTAAGCATTGATACAACTTCGGACAATGAGTCCTGGCATGTGGCTGTGCCCCTGGATCAACCTCTTGTCAGATTTGCAGCTATATAAAACTTTGTGTTGCAGGCTGAACGATTCATATTGAAAGGATTGGACTGGTGGCTCTCGAACTTGGAAAACCCAAACCATATTATCAAGATAACCGACCCAGAATAATTAGGAGCAAACCATGAGGGACAGCATCACTGGACCCAAAATTAGGCCTACAGTGACGCCATATCCAATGATCCGAGACCAGAGCTTTGTCCCATCTACCCGAAAATTGCTAGACTTTCATCAGAATTACCAGAAACATCAGACGCCTTTTCCTTGGGGGGCCTTTCATATTATTTCATGCTACCATCATATTTTCATATTGGGTTATGGGGATAATTCACCAACATTGGGATCATGGGAACCCTGTCCTGGATACTTCTCATGCCACCTTGAAGCTGAGCCATCTGTCGGGTCAAGTGCTTCACTTGGTCCTTCACTTCCCGTACCTCAACGCTTCCATGAAAAAATGCGGAGGATCTGCAGAAAATTGAGGGTCCTTGGCCACTGGAGATTTTCATGTATTTTTTTAAAATGTATTTTTCACATTTTTCTAGTTTCAAGTTAATTACACGGTCCCAAAATTCCAAAATGCATTCAAAGTACTAGAAAAGAGAAGAATGACAAACTATTACGAGGGTATCGCAAACATCTCTGATTTGTGGCTCAGCCCTTCTCAAGATTCGTCTTTAAAGGAGGGGATGGACATGTGGATTGGATTCTCTGGGACATCCCCTGAATGATAGCTCCTTCATGTTTGGGGGTTCAAAAACTCCCAACTACGGGAGACATGCCATCTATGACCTATGATAACAAAGACCATTGACAGGCTGACAAAAAAGGCGAAACTATAGCAGGCCCAAAAAAGATAGCATCAAATAGACAAATAAAATCCAACTAAATATTGTGTATCACTCTTTTTGGGGGGCTACCATAAACACTGGTGTTCAAATTGCACCCCAGGCACCTCTCCCTTTAAATCTGTGACTTCCCTGTCTCCTGGAAATTCGGAGCGCTGGTGGCCATACACATTTTTGACCCCCAAAAATACAGCATCTGGAATCTGGAGAAGGACGTCAAACATTGGAGATGCTCAACAAGGTTTTTGATGTTTTTGGCAGTTACGTTTTGCCTAAAGATATATGGCATCTATGGCAGGTCTCCGCGGGTCAGTTTTGCCTTCCCCCAGCGTCACTGGTCAGTTCTGCCGTCCTGCAAAGACTTCCGCAGGCTGCCGAGCTAAAAGATCTGTGTCACTGCTGGTTGCGATTTTCAGCGGCCTTGGCTCGTCCGTGATCCAAGTGCTCAGTGACCCCATTCCCCATCAGTAATCTCCTTCTTGTGTGCCTCAAAATTATCAATGTTGGTACTCAACCACGACTGTTTGTTCTGATTCAGGGGAGGGATTATGCAAACCTTGAGGACCATGCACCTCACGCGAAGATGCTTCTTAGACAAGCACAACGCTGGGTGATGGGATGCAGTGGACATGTCACCCTGTGGCAGAAGATATGGACTTCAGTGGGAAAATGATATGCTGTGTACAAAACTATGGGTATACACCAAATAGCATAGGTAAATAATCCAGGCAATTTTCCTAATATACTGCCGATCTGAAAGAAGGCACCTGCTGCCGCTGCTGTCCTTGCTGATGGCTTCATCCTGCCCTGGATGCTGCGGCAGCTCATCATCATCATTCTTTTGTTTAAACAAGTTGCATAAATAATAATCGTATATGTATACACTCACACACACACACACACGCACACACACACACATATATATATATATACACATATGAAAATCTAATCTATATGCATATCTATCTATCTGTCTGTCTGTCTGTCTGTCTATCTATCTATCTATCTATCTCTCCATCTAGCTCTCTATCTCTCTATCTATCTCTCTATCTCTCTCTCTATCTATCTCTCTGAATCTATCTCTCTGAATCTATCTCTCTATCTATCTCTCTCTATCTCTCCATCTATCTCTCTATCTATCTATCTATCTTTCTATCTATCTATCTATCTATCTATCTAATTCTATCTAATTCTATCTAATTCTATCTAATTCTATCTAATTCTATCTAATTCTATCTATCGATATCTCCTCTCTCTCTCTCTCTATATATATGCTCATTTATGGATATATGTAAACACTTATTATATATGTATGCATTGAAGATATGCAAGAACCTGATGGAACGCACTCTTGAGACAAGAAACATGTGGGCATGTTACATGTTCATCACAAGAACCCTTACACTTTAGGGGACCTTTGCCTACGCTAGTTTGCGTTCCAACATGTGGGAACAACATCCTGTCCTTTCAAAAGGCTCAACACAAGTTGCGAAGAAACATCTCCCAAACTCATCCAACCCCTACTTGATTCCCTTGGTCATTGCTAATCGTAGACTGCGAACAATACTTTAGCAACTGTATATTAATATGACTTAATATGTATACTGTATACTTTTTTCATAAATAGAAATGTAAATATATCTAAATACATATATATATATATATGCATACAATATGTGTATAAATAAATAGACAAATAAATATTTACATATATGTAAATATATGCATACAAATGTGCATACATAAATACAATCATAATGATAATATCTGTACACATCTTTCTATATCTCCATCTTTGCGGAAACCATCAGCAACTGTCCTTTCCGTCGCCAGACTTCAACGACAGCTCGCTGGATCTCCTTCTTGGCCAGGTCATACATGTCCATCGGCTCCGTCAACATCCTAAGGATGGGACGAAGTCGGTTGCGAAATCTCCGCGAATGCCATCCCATGAATGTCCCATATAATCCATATATGTCCCATAAACAATCCCCCCAAAAGGGGATTTTCAACATCACCTTGAGACCTGGGGATCCAAAAATGGTGCCAGGACTGTCCGCTCCCAGGATGTCACGTGCTATGTTGATGCTACCAGGGTTGAACATCCAAGAGATCTGAAGACGCATGGATTTCTCCGAACTGGAGATACCCTAAATTCTCGCAAATTTGGTAACATGATGTTTTTCATGATATTTACCATGATATTGACTGTTTTTTTTTCTAACATATTATATATATTATACCATATTTACCAATATTTTACCATCATATTTACCAATATTACCCATATTTTAAATGACATATTTCATGTTAATCCTGATCTTTTGGCCCAGCCATCCGAGTTCCGCCAAGGGGCTGCAGTTTGGCCTTGCGCTTTTTTTCATGTCGACTGGCCTGGCGAGATGGCAAGCAATTGGGGCCGTGCCTGGTGACGGTAATGTGTGGCCTCGAAACAGCAAACACTGACCATAATGACAATATATGACAATAATATACAATAATGATGATGACTCTGAAAATGAGGATGACCATGAGGAATGATTAATGATGATGATGTGGATGAACACTACGACAAAGGATGACAATTGGGACGACTGCATGCCTACTGCACACATTAAACTGAAATGCAGGAAGTGACGATTCAGGCTTGAACCGAAGGACTAGGCCTACCAGTCTACCATTTGATCATACCTGATACAGAGATCAAGATTATTATAGGGTCCAGATGGGTCGAGAGAGGACAATTATAATGTTAAAGTAAGGTTTTGCTACTGCTACAACTAGAGCTGCGCTTGGCAACTGGGCTAAGCATGGCCGTGCTACACCGCCAGTCGCAATATTGTGGTAGCTGGTCATTACGCAAATGCAGATCACAGCCGTGCCTGCGAACACCAAGCCTTCAAACAGTTTGGGAAGTCCTTCCTGAGTTCGGCAAACGGTGCATCTTCCATAGCCACAAGATATTGACCAAAAGGATGCAACAAGCCCTAAACACCAAAAGCATGCTCTGGCAAAAACTCATTGATTAGATATGCATCAACCATCATCAACCAACATACACCGATCAAGATGCCCGCAGCAACAAAGGTTGGACATCCCTGAGCTGCCAAGTTTCAACAATCGTTGCACCTTATCCTGGCACGTGGCATGCGGCGAACAATCCGATATCTTGAAGGATTTGTGCCTGATCATCCAATCAACAGATTATGTGCACCAGATATGCACATAATTGATATATATATATAATATATATATATAAATAAATAAGGCAAAACTCTCTAATTCCAATTTCCATCAGAGGATCTCCTTGTACAAAAAAGGTTGCGCATTTCCTCTTCAGGTTTGGTTTGCCAACTGTACTTCCTGAAGCATGCAACATGTTTATGCACCATCTCCATATTCAAAATCTCTGCGCTTCATCAACTTTCATCAATTTCCAGATATTAAAACTGGAGTCCATCTACCAGCGCTCCCTGGTGAAAAATTCCGGACGTTTCTCCTTGTGCATCTGAAGCAACTTGCCACCGTCGCGTTCACAGCGCACTGAACAGCTTCGTTGAAGTGGTGGAGTGGCAAAGACCTGACCGATGGCACCAGTCATGGGAGTGGCATACCATTGGTATACTGTACCTTATTGGATCTTATTGGTATACCTTAGCAGTATACCGTCCAAACTGGGAAATTCATTTAATAAATTCAAGAGGCCCATCGCCAGGGTTGCTTATCAAATGGCGGGGATGTCTTGGGATAAGCAACGAATTGGGGACACGAAGTCGAACATATCCAAAAGTCTTGGCTAAGTGGGGCTGATCATCTCTGAAAGTGAAACAGCCGGCCAGCTGATATATCGAAACAAACATGTTGCGAAAGTACGAAAGTTCTAGTTATGTTTATCATTGTCATATGATGGTCTTGGAGCATTAGAAGCCAACCTTTTAATCATTTTGGCCCTTTGCACCAAAGACGCTGTAACCTCAACCGTAGATCTTTGAGAATTAAGTGACTCAAAATGGTCAAATAATGAAGACCCTCGAAAGAAGTTCTAAACTCTTCAGAACGCTTTCATCATCTTTCATCTTTGGATGATTTTGGATGTGTGGTCTCCCGCCCGCTTCCGCCTCGACATCTCCAAAGTAACTTCCCTCGCAGTGAAGGTGGAAGGGTGATAGCCTTGGAATAGTACCGGGACGACAGGCCTGAAATCGTACGTATGTAGGTAGGTGGTATGTGTAGTAAATGCAGCATGATGTGCAAATGCAAATGCTTATCTATACGGTAAGTATATGTTCAGAAGTCAGCAAAGAACAAGAAACCATGTATTTCGCTTGGCAAATCATCTTCAAGCAGGATATCCCAGGCATTAAAGCTGACCAGCCATGTCTTCTTGCCACTATGCATTGAACATTTAAACAGGGTCTTGATCGCCCAGTGGCCCGCCCATCTTGGGCTTTTCGAATGCTTCTTCATCGTCCAAATTGAGGCTGCCGCCAAAGGATCCCAAGGTAGTACGTCCTCCCACGGATCGCTACGGTAGCTAGGCCGGCAAATAAGTGAGCAGCATACGGGTGCAAACATTGCCAAAATATGCCAAAATATATCAAACAACTTTGACACGTTTGATATGTAGGGACATAGTGGCATTTTTTGATCTCTTCGTTGAATTAATCAAATGTATTGATAGTTACTGACAATACTGACCGCATGTATATCCATACTTGCCATACTTTTGCTAATGAAATTTCAGCAACTCCAAATTTGCAGTTGAGCAAACAAGAACACCTGGGTTGCACGTCATCACGTGGAAAGAAGCAAGATGGCAAATCTTGCTAATTTGGTTGGTTCCGAACAAACAGCCATAAGACAATTGCATACAGTTTTTTTTGGCCATCCTCCTCAATTGTGCTGAGATGAAACCGTTCTTCACTGAATGCAGCCGTGTCTCCAACTCTCAAAAGTCGAAAGGCTGCCTGCTGTTTGTCGTTGTGCCTTTTTAGACTGGCCTGCTGTCAGGGTGAAGATCTGCATTTTGATTCCCCTTCTGTTACGCCTGTGGAAAGCTTGATCCCTCCACACTGTGGATTCAGCCAAGTACCTAGAAACATCTAAAAACATCAAAGCATTGCAAGCTCTGGATATTTATGTTGAGAATTCATGTGAAACAAGCAGGTTGGTGGCGCGTCTGTCAGTTCAACAGTTGCGCGCCATATCACAGGAGGAACCGGGATGCATATTGCCCTTCCGTGCGTATCATGCTGGGATTGGGTTGGTTTACATATCCAAAAGCCAGAGCTCCCATCCTCAACCCCCATGACCAATTCCTCCAACATTTGTCTGGTTTGAGCCGCGCATCCCAAAAAAGATTCAATAATCCTCACACTTTTGTGGGTGCAAAGTAGAAACTACGGGAAATCAGCCGGCAGATTGATAGCAGAATGCACACACATATCATGCAGATTCGCATGTTTCTGACAAAAACCATCAGGCTGACTGGACATATCCCGTGCTACCGAGTATAAACTACCCCTGAAGGAGCTTCAGCTGGCCGAGTGGCCAGTGCTTCGGCCAGAAAATCCACGTTCCTTAGCCAATAGATCTGACACCAACGATTCGAAAATGACTTTCCTAATAAGCTGCTGATTTTGGTGATTTTGGGGGTATAACTACTTCATTTTCAGATCATACCATCAACCCCACACCCTCCGGCAATGAAATGTGGCAAGGTGAAATTCCTATTTTGAAAAGGAACATCATCTGCATGTGAGTAATCCTGATTCCAACAGGTCCACATGTGTATGCTCAGATATGTTTGAAGTGAAAACAAACAGCAGGTTGGAATTGTACATGGCGCACTTTTAAAAAAATGCTGTAGAATCTAATCTAATCAAGTGACTCTGACATGCCGCCTTCAGGAGTAGGTAGAGCCACACTAGCAAAAACGCCTGCGCTGGCGACACCTAGAAAATCTTCTAATCCTGCAATTTCTCAACATGTTTCAATGGGTTTGCCTCAGAATAAGGTACCCCTAAATCCACTGATTCATCATCCTGGTGAGATTGCCATAGAATGGAGAGGGGAATACCATGGTAAACCCAGTTTTCAGACCCCGATGATTTTCAAGGTATCTCTGAAGAAAACCACCGAACCTGCAAGCACCAGGTAGATGCTGAAGGCCTGCAAGGTCGACCGACAGGAACGTAGCGGTTGCTTGACAGGCTGCATTTGGTCCCATGTTGCCCCTCCAAAATAGATGGGGTAACCAAGAAAACATGAAGAGATGAAGTAGGAGCATAGGCATAGATGTCCTTTTCCTACTGATGCATGGGCAGCTGGGGCAACCTCCCATTGTTCAACTTGTTCAACCGGGAAGCATATAAAATGATATAACATGGAAATGGTATACGAAATTGACCCCGAATGCCAAAGGAAGTGAGGCAACATCTCGTTTTCCACCAAGGACATCAGGTCGCCAGCCCCCGTGCCTGGTCGTTGCCTGAAACGCATCAAGTGATGCAGTACCATCAGTACCACAGTGTGAACCAAACTAGAATCTAGAACACCATCCGACTGTGGGTTGAATCATGTTGAATCCCATGCCCGTGCAAAGACCACCACTAAAATATCGCCACAGCATGATGGCGAATCCTTGCTGTAGACAGGCTGTGTGGATCAAACGCCGAGATGCAGTGGTAGACCATCTCGTCCTTTTCATAGTCCTCAGGTTGCATTGCTGTCCGAGCTAAACCGCTTTTTCGGCCACCTGCCAAATTAGCTAGAATGGCACAAGTCTTGGTATTCTTGAGAAGCTCCTTTGTGATAGCCAAACAAATATACAATAGAAAAAACATCAACGCCATCATCATCATCATCATCATCACCATCACCATCATCATCACCACCATCACCTCCATCCTGATTCTCCTCTTCCAAAATGCACTTCTCAGTATTTGCATGTGTTTGCTCACCTGCGAAACTCCTACACCGCTCAGACCCTCAGTGGATCCAAGCTGCCAGGATGTCCAGATGCAGTGCCAACAGCATCAGAAAGCGAGGTGGCAGGCCATGCCGAAATTTGGGCGCGCACACCGACAGAAACCTGTCGCAGTGGCAGAAGTCGCTTAGGACTGGAAGGGAGTGCACATCGCCTGAAGCCACTAATGATGCAGCGCAGGGCCCTATGTGCCCAACCCCAACCACTGCCTGTTTTTGATCAACTTTCCAGAGAAAATGGCTGAAGGCAGTTGACCCACCTCAGTGGGCATGGAGTCTCTACAGCTGGCACACCATGTCACGCTACTCAACTGCTCAGGACTCAAGAAACGGAAACCTGTCCGAGCTCTGCCCGAGATTGATCATGATTACGTCATAATTTGTAAATTGTATTAAATCATATTACATTAAATTAAATCATATTTTATTTTATATTGTATACAGTATATATTACATTGTACTATATCATACCATATTATACTATATTCTACTATATTAAATAATACATTATATTATATATTATATATTACATATTAAATAATATTGTATTATATTACATTATATTATATCATATTATATCATATTATATTGTATTATATTATATAGTATTAAATTATATTATACGATATTATATTATATATTGCACAAAAAATAAAAAAACATTTAATTATATCATGTTTATATTAGATTTAAAATTACATTAAATCATATTCTGCTACATTATATTATAGTGCTTTATATTGTATTGTGTTGAAAATATCACAAAATAATATTTATTATATATATATATATATATAATACAATATAATATAATATAAACTAATATAAATTAACTTATATTATAGTTATAGTTATAGTTATAATTATAGTAAAACATATTATATTATAGTATATTATATTGATTTATATTGTATTATGACGCTGATTTTTTTTTCGTGCGACCCTTGTGCGCGTACACTGCACCAAATATTGCATCTCGACCTTGATATCCAATATTCCCTAAAAATCACAAAATCCCAGGAACTCGTGAAATTTGATATTACATAGTCCAAGTTGTAGGGATGCCCTCAATGCACTGAAGGCTTGCCTGTAGGAATCATGGTCTACTTATGTTTACTTTGTATCCTTTTTGCAAGAGAAACATGGAGAAACCCAAGGCATCATTGGCTCACCTCATAGTCGGAAGCCAAGGGGGACAGCCATGATTTTCGCCACCTCTCCTGCTTGGGCCTATTCCCAACTGGGCCAACACTTGAGATATCAATATCAATGATCACAATTCAAGAGTGTGGATCATCTTGGTGGCAAAATGACATGAAACAAGCTGGCAAACCACATGCCATAATAATGATAATCATTCCCACTTCTGGAATACCTACAATATTCTTATTTTTGGATATTTTTGGATGATCCCCACTGTCACCTCTAATCATCTTCCTTGACACGCTCCAATTTCGGAGCTTCTGCCACCATGTGGCCAAGCGGATGGGCATCGATCCATTGGTCAGCAGTTCTCTCATCCAAGCCTTGGCCATGGCTTGGAGGCGACAAACAGAATGTTGAGATTAAGGAAAACATATATCATCAATGAAGAAATACATCCACACACACACGCACACACAAACACACTCACACATATAAATACACGTAAATATTTATATATGTATGTATGTATGTACGTACGTACGTACGTACGTACGCATGTATGTATGTATGTATGTATATATACATATGTATACACACATATATATACATATATATATATGTATGTATATATATGTATACATATATGTATGTATACATATATATATGTATATTTATATGTATATATATATATATGTATACATATATGTATGTATACATATATATATATATGTATATTTATATGTATATATATATATGTATATGTATGTATATAAGTATATATATATATACAGACAGTGCATATATAGAAACCATAAGGCACTTGTATGGGCTGGTTCACTTATAGTACTTCAACTGACGATTTTTGTCCTTAGCTCGGGCAAATCCCTGCACTAAACTCTAAACGGAAGTTGAACTTTGATGAGCAACCAGAATTTGAGGGTTAAAGATGGTTAAAATATGTTCACATCCTAATTCGAAACATCCTAGTTGGCAGCTGTTGAAAAGGTAAACGACAAAACTCAACAAACCAATCAATGCTGGCCAAATCTCCCATTTTCATCAATTTTTCAGGGTTTAAACCACTGAGGGTCAAATCTCTTAGTTTCAAATGTTTTCTTTTGGTCTTCATGTGAGTTTGTTTCAACTCGGCTCCTAAATCCACGGCCGCCTTGGTTCCTGAGGTCCAAGCCCTGTCCCAGTTGTGCTTCTCTGCTCGGCTTTCCCGTGCCCATCTGACCAACCTGGGCCAGGTCGATCCCCAGGCCCTTTCGCCGAAGCTGGTTGACACATCAAAATCATAACATATTCTTCTACATATTCGTTTGCGGATTCGTGATTCTGCACATTCTTAATCTTGCAAACCAATTTTATCCAATTTTTGGGTTATGTATGGATTAAAAATGGGATTTTTCCAATGGCAATTCTCTGGCAATTTTCATGGCTTTTCCAATGCTTTTCCGTTGTCTCTAGCCTTGGCAAAGGGGTTGGTTCCTGACGGCCTCCAAGCAAAGAACTGTTTTAGGAATTCCCCTGCACGATCTTTGCACCGGCTGCACAGCGACTTACGCTGCCGCCATGCCTCTACAAAACTGTACACCAGGGCAGCTGTTCGCCCTCGCCCCCAAGCCTTTCCTGTTCAGACTGCTCTCGTTCACATGACTTGTCAAAATTGTTGGTGAGTGCTAGAAAGCAGCTGTGTGCCCAGAATGGATACAGTAGTACAGAGTGAAAATCTTCCACATCCTATATGAGTGCGTACACCTATTATCTTCATTATCTTATATTATGCATACATATTTATTACATATGTATGTACATGCTTTGATCTGTTAGGCTCATAAAGAGATTCTTCACAAGAACCCATGGCTTTCTGCTGTTTTGCCGCAGGGCCCGTTTTGGCTCCACGGCTTTTTCGCGTCGACCGATCACCGATCTGACCGTCGCTCAGTCGTCGTCCCGCTGGCCATCGCCTCCGCCCTTGGGGCCACCCGCCTGCTTGGCCATGATGATCTGGTCCACCTAGCAATGGCCGCTGCCATAGCTGAAGAAAAATCGATGCCCAAAATGCTTTTTCGTTTTTTCAAACTTGAGCACACAATAAAGATTTATATATGAAATATGAAGGTTATTGAAGGTTGATGTATGTTAACAGTTAACCAAACAATACTGGGGTGGAAAATTATGGTTCAGCCATGTTCGACATTGGAACGTGTAAGGGTTCAACCAGCAACAGTCAGGGATGTGACCAAGAGGTCCAAGATTAGGGGCTTATACATCTTATACATAGTAACGTGCCTGGGGGTTTGCCAATAGTCAATAGCCTTTTCAGGTACCCCCAATGATTGGACTCACCATTCCATTGTGCTTTCCATACACCTCCCGGGTCCAATATGTCCAGTTCTTTGGGGTTCCCTGAAAAGTGCCTGGAATTGGAGTTGATTGGAAGAATAGTGCCATCGTTGTAGAGGAAACATCAGGTACCAAACCAGTGTCAACCGACCAGCAAATAGGATGGAAAAAGGCCTTTGCACCACAAATCAAACAATCTCATTCCCATCTAAATTAAGTTGACTACATGCACACACGCACACTCACACACACACATATATATATATGTATATATGACTCGCTTTAGCTATCAAAAATCCAACAATGACACTGGTTCACCAAGCCGACTCTATTAGTCCCGTTTACACAAGCCTCGATTTGTCGGCAACTGCTGGCTATGACATGCAAATTCTTCCAGATCAGTATCAGTAGTCCGGCGCTTGAAATTTGGCAAAAGCGAAGCAAACAACCATTACAATCAAGCCAAGCCGCACAAAAAGTCTCACAAGCTCGAACCAATGTAACCAACCAAATAGATTGGTAGATGTTGGTAGGGTCTATTTCCGCCATATCTACTTCTAGAATCTTCTAGAGTCTTCCAGTACCGAGAACACCATGGCCACATAGCCCTGCCTTGAGGACAGTGAGGACCGCATCGAGGGTGAAGCGCATGGCCCAGCGCTTCGTCTCCATGTGATCTAAGATGCCCTTCTCCACTGCATTGCACACCTCCAAAAATGACATGTGGAACATTGGCCTGCAAGATTCCGCCATATTCCATCCCGTTTTTTGGGCCTTGCCTTCATGATTTTCCATCATTTACCATCATTTACCAAGATTTATTCAAGTCCAGAAATGGGGGATTTACAATTGCCATGGTTGTTTGAACTGGTTTACAGTTGACAACTGGAGGGTGGAACTGGAAGTACCTAAGACAAGCAAGATCTGGGCCCGGCATATGCGGGGTATGTGCAAGGGGTATGGCATCCTACCTTTCATGCTGGGACCCCCTTGATTTGAGTGTCCCGAAGCGCATGATACCCGTTCCCTGCAAATCCGCAGTAAAATTGTATTTCGTCTCAAGGATTGAAATTGGTTTGGGGCATCCCGCATTTTACCAGGGCAGCACAGGGCAGCGTCATATCTCGCAAGAAGGACAGGGATCAACACATCTTGCCATGAAAACATTAAACCTCGCTGGCACAAGCCAAGAGGCTGGCCCGGCATCCACATCGATCCCTGCAGACTTCTCACCCTTTTGGTGCGCTGCATACAATGCCGTGATGGCGTCCACATGGCTGTGCCCGGCATTCTCCGCCAAAATCCTGGCAGGCGATGGCGGGATCCTCAAGCTGAAAGTGGGGATCTATCGAATCTATTCAGTTGGTATTACACTTTGTCACGTGGGCTCAGCATCCATATATCTATCCGTGAGCGAGAAGAAATTTGAGCATTGCCCCCCAACTATGTGACTCATTTTCATCTTCAGGACCAACAGCAACGATCTTGAGAAAACCTGCCGTATGCCGTATGCCAACCAAGAACAGTAGGAAACAACGGACAAAAACTAGCACAGAGCAAATGTGGCAACCCATCAATCCGCCACAATGAGCCTCGGAACCACCTCCAAAGCCTCCGCAAATTTCAACACAGCCTCGCCATCTCAAAAGGAGGGCGCGATTGGAAGAGATCTGCAAAGATTCAATTTTGGGATTATGGATTCAAGTGTTGGGTCAACTCCAAAAAACCCGATACAATATGATAATATGGACCTATGCTTCAACAACATAATCCAGAGAGATCTTCCCACAAGCGTCTCTATCCCAAGTGGGGTGTGAATTTTGTCCTCTTTGTCGTCCAGCGCGTGCAACACACCATTTATACTTGAGGCCAAAGTCGAAAGGGAAGGGAACGAAAGCTAGGTGGGCAAGGAGAGATGTGTGTGTTGAAAGAGTATGTGGCGCGACCTTTTGAATGTCATTTTTTGAACTGAAATCCGCCGGCCTGCCGGCGTGTTTTGTGGATGTTCTTCTGATACATCTTTAGCTCAGCTAGAGCTTAGGCTAATGTTCCTCTTCGTCGGATTTTTGACTTGGCCGTCTCATATCTTCTCCTCAACAAGGCTGCTGCACTTTTCGGTCGCAAACAAAGATCATCGGCTGCCCGTACCATGGATCTTACCTTGACCCTTCCAGCCAGCTCGTTTCAAGGCAAAACCAGACACCCAGCAATGCCCCAAATCTCCTCAAATTATCAAAGCATCCCTTCCAAAACCCTTTAAATTCCGTACTTACCGCCAGACCGCCAGAGGGCCGGCGGAATGCCGAAGGCTGTTAAATAAGCTACCATTCAATTTAATGCTGACGCGCTAGCAGCAGCGTATCATGATATTCTACATGCACCATAATCATTCATTCCACAGCCCTCTCCCTGACATCCTAGCATACCAGAGTCAACATTACCCTCCTAGTACCCTACTTGCCAAATACAAAGTGCCCCAACCGAACGCGCTTCGGTTGAGCCACTTTGCAACCATCTGATTGAACCTCTTTCCCTCGGCCTTTCCTTCCTTGTTCCTGTCCGTGACATAAATAAAATAAATAAATAAATAAATTAATATATAATAATATATATATACACATATGTATATATATATATACGCCTATGATGAAAATATCTAAATATCTCCATCTGCCTAGCTACATATCGATATATCTTTTGTCTATATGTATAGCTATGTGCACACACACGCACACACACATACATATATATATATATTTCCACCATACACATAAAATAGCCTAGCCTTAGATCTGGTAAATTACATGCATACATCCATCGAGAAAGAGCTGCTTGGGAATCTGATGATGCGCATCTTCCATTCCTTGCCAAGACGGGGTCATGTTTTCACGCAAACCTCTTGAGGAAATGGAATGCAAGACTCCACGTGATTGTTTTCTCATTACATTAGATCATGTTTTCACGCAAACCTCTTGAGGAAATGGAATGCAAGACTCCACGTGATTGGATTACATTAGATTAGGTTGGATTAGATTATATTAGATTAGGCTAGATTAGGTTAGATTATTTAGATTAGATTGGACTAGATTCCACTACATTAGATTACATTAGATTACATTTGGTTAGATTAGATTGCATTACATTGCGTTGCATTCCATTCACACCACTCACGGTGAATAACATCTTGTATATGTCTGTGCGTTCGCATCCCACGTGGTCTCTAGTCACAGATGACACCCAGCGGGACGGACGCAACGGGGTTTGAAGCCCGAAGAGGGGGGGTTCACAGTTCGACATGATTAATCATGTCCAACAGGGGGGTCCCAAAAACAGTTCGAGGTGAAAGATCATGGAAGCTGCATCCAGTCTGCCCCCAATTCATTGCTAGAGCAAACCCAGCTCCAGCTAGCAAACCAGCTTTCGTGATATGTTCAATCTCTGCGCAAATGATTAATGTATTATAGACATCATCAGTGTTCATGTTCAATCACAGAGCTAAGACATATTGGTCTATATAGTTCTCATTCATTTTCAGTATTCCAGGTTTTCATCTTCCCATAGATCCAGTTTTTCACCACCAATCAGTGATAGTTTTTTCCCGAATGCGTAGCAAGGGTTCCCGTTTCACTCTGGGGGTCTGGGGGTTGAGGGTGTGTTCGCTCGACGTTGCGTTCACGGTCGCAACCGTTCGCAACCGTCCGCAACCGTCCGCAACCGTTCGCAACCGTCCGCAACCGTCCGCAACCGTCCGCGCGAGGACCGTATGGCCGTGCCTATGGGAAGTTCTGCAGAGGTGGTCATTTTTGGAGGTTTCGGACGTGTCGTTGCTTCGTTTCGCGTGGCAGGCGTGGCACTTCGTGACATTCAGACGTGTTCTGGAACGTATCGAAAGTCGTTTTGCGTGGCAGGCGCAATACTTTTGCGACGTTTTCAGAAGATGTGTTGCAGTTTTCGTGGCAGGCGCAACACTTTGGACGTGTCTATCGTTATTTTTCGTGGCAGGCGCAGCACTTTAGACGTGTCATGTTGCGTGTTGTTTGCAAATCGCATTGGCAGGGCTGCGTCAAGTGGCGACAAGGTGCAAATTCCGTGGCAGGCGTGGCATTTTCTGCGATGCGTTGAAAATGGACGGAAGCCTCGCACGAAACATCGATTTTGGGGTTGCCAATTTTCACGTTCTAAGGAAAACTCGTAGGAAAACGTCGATTTTGAAGCTGCAAAGTGTGAAAATTGGAGGAAGTCTCGCACGAAATGCTCGTTTTGGTGCTCCCACGTGTCTCGTCTCGAGTCTCTGGTTTCGGCCTCGCCGTGTCTATGGGGGAAGCTGGAAAACATGTTCTTGCGGCATGTTTCAAACTATGAAAATTGGAGGAAGTCTCGTACGAAATGCTGATTTTTCTGCACCCACGTGTCTTGTCTCGAGTCTCTGGTTTTCCTGTGGCTTCGCCGTGTCTATGGGGGAAGCGGCAAAACATCTCCTTTTCGAAGGTTTCCAAGCAGCTTGTGATGTCGTTTTGCGTGGCAGGCGTGGCACTTTGTGACATTCCAACGTGTTTGATAACGTGTCGAAAAGATCAAAATTGGAGGAAGTCTCGTACGAAATGCTCGTTTTTCTGCATCCACGTGTCTTGTCTCGAGTCTCTGGTTTGCCTGCGGCGTCGCCGTGTCTATGGGGGAAGCTGGAAAACATCTCCTATTCGAATGTGTCCAAGCAGGTTGTCCTGTCGTTTTGCGTGGCAGGCGTGGCACTTTCTGACATTCCAACCTGTTTGATAACGTTGCGAAAATATCAAAATTGGAGGAAGTCTCGCACGAAATGTTCGTTTTGGTGCTCCCACGTGTCTCGTCTCGAGTCTCTGGTTTTCCTGTGGCGTCGCCGTGTCGATGGGGGAAGCTCCGCACTCCACACTCTACACTTTACACTCCACACTCCACAATTTACACTTTCACTCCTCACCTGAGACTTTACACTCCACACTCCACACTTTACACTGCACTCTACACTTTCCACTCCTCGCTCCTCACTCTACACTTTACACTCCACACTCTACACTCCACACTCCACACTTTACACTACACACTCCTTACTTTACACTCCACACTTCACACTCCACACTTTCCACTCCACACTCCACACTTTACACACCACACTCCACACTTTACACTCCTCACTCCACACTTTACACTCGTCGCTTTACACTCTACACTCCACACTCTACACTTTACACTCTACACTAAACACTCTACACTCCACACTCCACACTCTACACTTTACACTACACTCCACGCTTTACATTTCACACTCCGCACTCCACACTCTACACACCACACTTTACACTTTCCACTCCACATTTCACACTCCACACTCTACACTTTACACTCCACACTCCACACTTTACACTTTACACTCCTCACTCGACACTCTACACTCCACACTCCCCACTTTACACTCCACACTCTACAATTTCCACTCCACACTCCGCACTCCACACTCCACACTTTACTGTACACTCCACACTCCACACTTTATACTTTACACTCCTCACTCCACACTCCACACTTTACATTCCTCACTTTACACTCCACGCTCCACACTCTACACACCACACTCTACACTTTCCACTCCAGACCCCACACACTACACTTTACGCTCCACACTCCGCACTTTACACTCCATACTTTACACTCTACACTCCACACTCCACACTTTACACTCCTCACTCCACACTTTGCACTTCACACTCCACACTTTACACTCCTCACTCCACACTTTACACTCCTCACTCCACACTCCACACTTTACACTCCACACTTTCCACTCCACACTTTCCACTCCACACTTCACACTCCACACTTTACACTCCACACTTTACACTCCTCACTCCACACTTTACACTCCACACTTTGCACTCCACACTCCACACTCTAGACTTTACACTCCACACTTTACACTCCACACTCTGCACTTTACACTCTACACTAAACACTCTACACTCCACACTTTACACTTTACACTCCAGGCTTTCCACTTTGCACTCCTCACTCCACACTACACTCCACACTTTACACTCCACACTCTGCACTTTACACTCCACACTCCACACTCCACACTCTACACACCACACTCTACAATTTCCACTCCACACTCCACACGCTACACTCTACACTCCACACTCTACAATTTACAAACTCCACACTCCTCACTCCACACTTTACACTCCTCACTTTACACTCCACACTCCTCACTCCACACTCTACAATTTACAAACTCCACACTCCTCACTCCACACTTTACACTCCTCACTTTACACTCCACACTCCTCACTCCACACTTTACACTCCTCACTTTACACTCCACACTTTGCACTTTACACTCCTCACTCCACACTCTACACTCCACACTCCACACTCTACTCTCCACACTCTACACTTTACACTCCATACTCCACACTCTACACTTTACACTCCGCATTCTACACTTTACACACTCTACACTCCCCACTCTACACTTTACATTCCACACTGCAGACTGGTAACAAGGGAACATGTACAAGACTGTTCAAATAAACTATTGCAGAAAGGTATTGTGCGTGACTGCATAACCATGTGTATTGACATCTGTACCATTAACATACTTGTGAGCATTCGGGTTCGTGGGCTTCATCTTGTTTTGTTTTTGCATCATATACCCATTTAGCCCTATACCCTCTGGTCAACTGCCACATAACTATGGAACATCACCATTTTTAATGGGAAAATCAACTATTTCAATGGCCATTTTCAATAGCTATGTGTGTTTACCAAAGGGGTAGCCATCTTACAGCACAGCCTCCGGACTCCGCCAGGCAGCGTATTGATCCAAGCCAGGCACCGTGGCGCCGAACTGCTGCAGCTGATGCGCCAACTCAATCTCCGTTGCCTCGGGACGTGAACACCGTGACAGATCATATGTCTATAGAGTCTATAGAGTCTATAGTAAATAGATTGTTATAGTAAATATTGTTCCAATAACACCGTGACTCTATAGAGCCTATAGTAAAAATCTATTGGAACAATAGTAATACAATAGTATGTTCTAGTGCTATCTCTATTGATGTGTACCATTGATGCATTTCACACTTCTTATATTTCTAGTGTAAGATCGTAATAACCGTGTAACAGTGTTATATCATGTTATATCATGTCATATAAGTTATACGAGTACCAACCTTTTATTAGCATTGAAATCCATACCAACCTTTTATTGAAATCCTGGTTGGCAACTAAACAACGACTTGGCACTGCTTGCTGGCTGAGTTGCGCCAGCCCCTGCCACAAACCTGGGATCCCTGGTCGTACATCTGACCACCTGAGGCAAGCTGAACGCCATGTTGCGTACTGATATGGAGTGACAATTTTATGAAATCATGTGCGCACACACATATGCACACACACACAACTGTATGTATATAATTATGTGTATATATATTATGTAGGTCCTGCAGCTTCCTTCTTTTTAATACCATGATGGAGTGATATAATCATTGCAGTACAATGACAAATCATTCTCCACGTTCTATTAAAAAGTTGTTGAGCAGCGCAGCAGTCTCTGACTGCAGTCTAGTCCATTCTGGCACTGCCTCCACAAAGGACAGCTCTAAAGTGACAAATACCGCAAAGATTCCATTTGATATGTCATGACACGCTCCTCTATCTGCAAACTCCTGTTTGTTCAAAGATGAACTGCCACATAACTATGGAAAATCACCATTTTTAATGGGCACCATTTTTAATGGGAAAATCCACTATAAATGGCCATTGAAACATTAGCTATGTTAAATTACCAGAGGGTATTACTCATCAGGAATCATCATTTCAAATGTGTTTGACAATAAACACCATATCAAAACCCCCAGTCCGTCCAGAGGGCTCGTGCCATCCCCATCCCCGTCCAAGGTGCGTTCACGGCATTGTCCACGGCGCGTTCCAACTCGTCTAGGACATTTGGGCTGGCACTGCGCAGCACCACCGTAGCCTGCAGGCACAAAGGTGGGTAGAGGCTTCGGCCCGAAATGATCCCGGATGTAGTTGTTGTAGCCGCTAGCAGCTATCATAAACCTTAAACTGAACCAATCACAGCGTCCGAATTTCCAGCAAAGCGGAGTTCATTTTGAGAATGAACGACAGGCCAGGTACAGAAACAAACCGCGCTTCTCGGTAGCCAGGTGACAATCTTGGAGTCACGGGTCTTGATGATGGTGAAAGGCTCGGAAGACATCTCTTCAACCTGACTCAAGGGACTGATAGATCCCAATAGGTCGGCAATAGCCAAGCAATGGCTGAAACCATTAATTCATTGGCCTGAAAGTATGGTGATCACACCTTTTGAAGCGGCCAAACCCTAAAGAAAAGGGACCATGGCAATCATGGCAGAATGTGGCAGAACTCCCGAAAGAAAGGCTGCCGGCTTATAGAGAGACAAGTGGAAGAGGCAAAGGCCAAAACACACGCTAGATCTGTAGATTGGTTGTCCCTAACTCCCGAAAGAAAGGCTGCCGGCTTATAGAGAGACAAGTGGAGTGGAAGAGGCAAAGGCCAAAACACACGCTAGATCTGTAGATTGGTTGTCCCTTCTTTAAACCATGTCGTCTTTGGGTCCAAAGTGTGAGTAATGTGGATACCCTTCAAACAAATCTCCTATTGGTGATTGCGGATTGTTGTTTGCCACTCATTTCTTGTGACATTGGGGATCATTTATATTGGGTTTAGCATATTTAGGAACCGATGCAAACTCCTGGCCTTGATAGACTCCACATAGCCACATTCTTCTGGAAGCGGCGGGCCGGAGCGCACAATGCTGGTGGCACCCACTGTACGACAAACACGGCGGAGCTCGAACTTGGAATTGATCTTCAGTGCAAAGATCCTGAGGCAAGCAGCTACCCTCCGGTGTCATCAAACATGGGAACCCCAATTACATGGTCATTAAAAATGGGAAAATCATCTGTAAATGGTGGATATTCCATTGCCATGTTTGATTGCCAGTACCAGAGGGTATCAGCAACTTATAGTGTGGATGGGTGCAGCACAGAATGCTCATTTCCAACAAGAAGATCATTCGCCAGTGTACATCTGCATACAGCAGTCACGCGTCCACCATTTACTTTACGGGACAGTTTTTCTCCTCCTTTATCTATTTATTTGCTTGCCCACCACATGCATCTAAACAAGATCATCAAATCTACACAATGATGCCCTATGCTGCGTACAGCAGCCCCGACCCAACTTGCCAAAGCGTCTTGTATTTGTTCAGGAAGTGAAGTGCCATGTCTGAGATGGTGCCACCTGAACACTTGGAGAAGCTTCCGGCTTTCGTTCGCAATTGGCAATGTTCAAGCAATACATCTTGGGATATGACCTACAATTTGGAGTTGATTCATTGGACCAACACATGGGCACTGGTCATTAAGTGGCCTGATGACTCCCCTGTGCCCCCATGCCTGCGATGACCACATCCACACCCACCTCCTTGATGGACCTGGCTGGGACATATACACAAAGGACATAGTATGCAACAAAAAACACGTATATTTCTATATTCGTATGCATATAAATAACTATATATATACATATGCACATACATACATACATGCATGCATGCATTGCATTGCATTGCATTGCATTGCATTGCATTGCATTGCATTGCATTGCATTACATTACATTACATACATATATCTACTGTATATATCTATATATCTATGTAAACATAAACATGTATACATATACTTATATATACAATACATAGTTCTACCTTGCCAAATGCACACATATACGTATGTATGCATATATATATATAATACAATATATATATATGTATTATATATAGAAAAATAATATATATATATAATACAATGTATATATATATGTATTATATATAGAAAAAGAATATATAATAATATATAATAATAATAATATATATATATAAATAACATACATGTATTATGTATATATATATATGTATTATATATATATATTATATATATATGTATGTATGTATGTACGTACGTACGTATGTATGTATGTATGTATGTGCATTCACGCAGCTCAATATCCAGGTAATGAGCAGCTTTACAGTAGCCTGTGGAATGAGGTGCGGAAATCACCGATGCATCAACTATCATTTTGGGGGCAATTAATAAAAATAGTTAACCAAAAAACTGACCCAGTTCCCCACCTGATAATCTCTTCCATCTTTTGCTCCTGTGCATCGGCAACATTGGGAGAGCCGTCACCAAATGATCCAAATTTTGAATTGGGTGCTCGCTATCCCATGTATTGCTAAATGAGCTTCATCCATCATAGCCATGGATCTGATGCTGAACGTCCCGTTGTTTCCATCCTTTTGCGCACCCATCCCTTAGAAATGTTACCACATGAATTGATCTCTGCAAGTCGAAAGAAGAGAAATATCATGAAATATCAGCCCGCAATCCATCGCTTCAATGCTTCACCACTCCCCACCTCGCCCTTTGTGAAGTTCATCAGCTGTTCTGCACTCTCCAAGAGCACGGTGCCCTTCGTTTCCTCAGCGCTATGGCTCTGGAACACGGCACCAATGGGCCCATAGCTACATCGGGAACATCACCAATCTCTCTCTCTCTCTCTGTCGGGCGTGACTGTCCGCAGCCGTCCCATGAGGACGCCCCAAAGAATCCAAATAACACTGCAATGCAAGTCAATTGCTCGCACAGCTGAAATGCCCTGGCAATCTATATGTGTGTCTCTTTGCAAAATCTATCTGCACGCAATGTATGGATACATCTATCAATCAATATCAATCAAATCCGATCAATCTACCCATATCAAATTATATGAATATCAGGATTTTCAGCATCTCCTACCTGATCCACCCTGATTCCTCCATCATCGAAGGGCTTCCGCATAGCCAAGCTTCGGTGCTTCCGAGCTCAAGGGCCTCGGCATAAATCGCCACCTGGCGGCCAGCGGAGCATCCCCAATGCCAGCATCGGTCACCAAACCGGGGTGTCTGCGGAATATGACCGGGGTATCTTTTGGGGATGGAACTTATGATCATTTATCATCCATAGATATCCATAGATATCTATAGCCTAAATATTTTCTGAAAAATATTTTCACATAACTTATCATCCATGATTTTATATACTTTATGATCTAGGCTGAAACTGCAGCCCCGGCTGAACGCCCTTTTACCATTCTTCTGGACAAAAGAAAATGGTGACCGCCATGGCGGCTATGGCGCCTAGAAAACTCTGTTGTGCTGTACTATGTATGTATATATATGCGCATGCATATGTGTATATATATATATATTTAACATATGTGTAAATATGTTTATGGTATTCAGTGATATTGGGGTGCTTCTTTCTGGTTGACTGATGTAAATGCTGCTTCAGGTGAATGTGCCGCCACACACGGATGACTTGGTGGTTTGTTGATCTCCTGAGTGTAGAATGTCCAAGTGATGTAATGTGGAGACCCAATAATTATGAATTATAAACCACCAATTTTTGATACAGCCACCCATTTATGGTAATATTGAGAACGCTTTACTATTGGGTTTATCACATTAGGATAGATATGGATAGATCTTAATTGGCAACTATTAACCATTATCAGCCATTCATATTCATTGATTGATCACCACTAAAGATACTAAAGTGAAAACATGCTCAAAGTGAGTTTCCCCTGGAAGTTTCCCAGCCTTTGCTTTCTCCTTGTACTGCTCCACGCCACTTGCGCGTCGAGCAATGGCCATCCCCTCCACCACGAAGGAACTGTTCAGGTTTCCGCCTTGCACCTGACCCACCGGGGCCCACCGTTGTGAGAGGTTTAAACAAAAAGGGTGGCCTTTGGGCAATGCAGAAAAAGCAATAATTACATTTATATATATATATATATAGCTAATATATATATAGCTAATATATATATATATAGCTAATATATATACTGTATATGTACATATATGTATATATATATGTGTGTGCTAGTCATGGTGTTTGGATCATTTTAGAATATTTTAGATCTGTTGGGCTGTTGGGTATCTTGAATCTTCTTTGGATCATCTTTGGTCTTTCGCCTCTTCAAATCTTGCAATTCCGACCCACAAAACTCGTTCCCAGCGGCAAATTTTGGCTGGCCGGCCTTGGTGACCCGCACATTGTCGACATCAAACCTGCTGGGGGTGGGAGGCATAACCTGCACGCAGGCCTGGCACAAGGGTCATGGCTCTTGGAAGGTGACCTAAGGATCCAAAGGAACAGCGCTTCAAAATTGGCAGCCAGCTGCTTGTCCCAAGAGAAGTAAGTAACCGGATTTCAGGGTTTCAGTTCTGATTCAAGGTGGTATATGAACCACTTCGGTTCACGATCCAATGAAACAAATAAACGCACACACACAGATATATATATATATGTCTGTATATATGTATGTATGCATGCATGCATGCATGGATGTATGTGTATGAACAATTACGAACATAACATCTCTGACACCACCTGCCAGTCATACGCCAAACATCTCCAATGACAATCTGTGGGCATGATGCGCCTCCGCGACCAGCTTGGCGAGCGGCCCTTCACAGCCCAACTGCTTGGAAGAGATGGCAGTCTTCACGCATTTGGTGAGCCTCAAAATGGGTCTCTGCACATGGGATATACCCCCAAAATCTTGCAATTAGTAGGGGTAAATGATCAACCAGTGGATTTCACAGAAATCTGTCTCTTGCATATTTTTGGTGTCCAAACTGTGTTCAAAAATTCTTTATAGTCGCCTGAACACAGTCCAAGACTCTGTCCTTGATGCATTCTTGCACATCGATAGTGAAATGGTGATGACAAAACCGGTGCCTCCATTAGGCCAGCAACATCCCTCCGGGTGAAGTAGCTATATAATATATAAAGGATGATAGAAACGTGAGTAAGATCAAATAAGTTCAAATATAAGCTCAAAGCTCATTTTGGGGATCATTCTCTCCCACTGGCAACATTTAGGGTGAGGTTGGTCATGTGGTTGCTATCACCCAGCGAGCGGGAAAGCGACTGCTCTGTGCTCTTCAAGTCATCCACCGACCACGCCACTTGATCCTCGGTGGATGAGCCCAAACCATCCTGTTTTATGGGAAAATCCTCAGCCGATGTCATGTGGAAATCTAATTTGCCATGTTTGTTTGCTGAAGAGTATGCATTTTGTTGCTTCATACAGCTGTTGCAACTGCTATCTGACTGGGATATGCTACCCAATTGTCAGGCTTGACAGAGCGGTACCGGATAAGGTTGATCAAAAATCAAAACCCAAAGGGAAATTGAGTCATGCAGCAGCAAAGCCCACAAAATAGCAGGGTTTCATGGTCTTCATTCACTATAGGTGCAAGTTGGGAAAAATTATTGGACACCGTTATGTTTGAAGTTTGAAGCAAAAAACATCCATATCCTCTAGGCTGTCCCTTAAATCAATTGATTGAAGCACTGCATTGCAGTGGTGTTGCTTCACCTACCATTCCTTCCAATTCCAAGCGTCGTTCAAGAACTCCATGGCCTTATCCCTGGCCAGCTCATATCCCTGTGGCGCAATGTGCTTGAAATCAAGGCGGGGACCTGTGAGCTAGATTGCTCCAAGAATGACTCGTCTTGGAAATATATTACAAATATATATATTACAAATATATATATATATTACAAAAATATATATATATATTTAGCTCCACACATGCACGGATATATAGCTACATATATGTGTATATATATATATATATATTATATAATAGCTATACAGTGTTTACATCATACACATATAATTTCACATGCTGTACGCAGCGCACTTTGAGATTGAGACGATCTTGTTACGTTGGATGGACCCATTGAAGGTCCGCAAACAAATGCTGCATGCGTTTCCTCAAGTCTTGTTGATCTCAGGGATTGCCCCCTCGCTGCTGTGAATGTCTAAGGTGTCCTACGATGGGCGCCCTATCCTCTCTGCATCTTGCTGCACCTTGCCAGCATCTCCCGGCCTTGTACACATCGTTGGCGTGAATGCCTTCCTCAGATTTTCAATCCAAGCTTCTGCGGACACTTTTTGGCCCAATTCCCTGTCCACTTAGCTGACGTCCAATCTTGGGGTCCTCTTCCTTGTTCCACCTGGTCACCCAACCCTGACTTTTGGGCTGATGTCAATGTGACATTTTCCCCTTGGTTTCCATCATGGACCTGGCCCCTGGCCCAGCCACGGCCCAAACTCAGCCCAGCAGCTTTCAGCAATTCTTCGGCTCGTAGAAGGAGCTCCCCGCCGAAGCTGACGCAAAGGTTGGTGCCATCCCCGGACTCCTGGTCCTGCGATGTGCAGACCGGGCTATTGACCACTTTTAATGCAAACAAGGGGATGACAGACCGGGGGTCCAGCTGCTTCACTGAAGCATCCAGAAACCCCATGTGCAACTACAAATCTTCCACCGCTATCCACCCCAGGAGATCGAATTCCCAAGTATCCAACTCTATCAGGAGTGCACTGCCGTAGTTCTAAGATCCTCAGATTCTTTGCTCAGCACAGACCGATACAATGGGATCCACAATAATAAACGCAAGTGATCAACCATTTGCATGCTATCAGCTATCATAAATCACCCCAAGTGGGGGTATACTATCCATGCTAATATCCATGATCATATCCATGATAATATCCATGCTAATATCCATGATCATATCCATGATAATATACATGATAATATCCATGATAATATCCATGATAATATCCATGATAATATCCATGATAATATCCATGATAATATCCATAATAATATCCATGATCATATCCATGATCATATCCATGATAATATCCATGATAATATCCATGATCATATCCATGATAATATCCATGATCATATCATATCCATGATAATATCCATGATAATATCCATGATAATATCCATGATAATATCCATGATCATATCCATGATAATATCCATGATAATATCCATGATCATATCCATGATCCATGATCATATCATATCCATGATAATATCCATGATCCATGATCATATCCATGATCATATCCATGAAAATATCCATGATAATATCCATGATAATATCCATGATAATATCCATGATCCATGATCATATCCATGATCATATCCATGATAATATCCATGATAATATCCATGATAATATCCATGATAATATCCATGATCATATCCATGATAATATCCATGATCATATCCATGATCATATCCATGATCATATCCATGATCATATCCATGATATATCCATGATAATATCCATGATCATATCCATGATCATATCCATGATAATATCCATGATAATATCCATGATCATATCCATGATAAACATTGATAAACCAGACCTTGATCAAAATTTGGGGGTTTTGTTTTGTTTCTCTGCGGATTTTGTGGATCTCCAGATCCAGGATACCCCAGCCCGGCCCTTTGTAGGTCCTGAGATTTGGCTGCCATGACAATCAACTTTGCTGCGGGGTGCATCACTTCCAGCTCCTCGAGGCGTTCACCGTGGCTTGACGTGGCTTGTCAGCCTTGGCCCCTGTGGTTTCCTGGTAAAAAGGCACAGATACAGAAGCCATTGAGCCAAGATTCATTTACGAACTTGGTGGAGATAACATGAGATACAGTATCCCTATGAAGTCCATTGAAGTCCTATGTGCTAAGATAATCTTGGACAATCTTGGATAATCTCAGAGGGGCATTTCTAATCCCATGCTTCGCCCATGTTCCCCCATGACTGGTAGGGGCTATCACTAGCACTACAAATGCTGTCCCAGAAGCTGTGACAATGGTATTGGTATCGCTGGTGACCTCGATACCAATGGTTCTCACACGGAGCGCGTGCAGATATAAAAATTGGCATCGACATCTTTTGCAGCGAACCATGGAAACAACCCTTGAGTTCTCTGCAGAAAAATGCAGAACATAGTCTTGTAATGTCTTTTAGCTGGTTGATGATATCAGTAAATATACCGCTTCATTCATGGCAAAAGATTGTCAAGTGCCATGAAGTGACATAAAGTGCCCATCCAAGGCGGACCCAGAAACGGCACAAGCAAACACGAACCGGATCGATATCTTTGCACTGGAACGCGGCACTGTGTCCTCCATGTATTTCCATGCTTTCAAATCTGATGCAGCCTTCAGAACATGATGAAATAGTTCGGTACATACTGACTTGCCACGTCCGAGTTGCAAAATGTCTGCCCAAGTGATTGACAATGAGCTTGTTCATGCCTTGGCTGCAAGATCTTGTGGCAAAGCCAAACGTCAAGTGCTTCCTGGTTCCCACATGATCGACGCGGGACTCTACCCGGCATGTCAAATCAGGAGCGAAGGCTTGCATACAATCATGCAGCCATTCCCAACTGTCAGTTACTGATTGCCCCGAAATTTGGTGGCAACATTTCCAATGCGCCCAGTTGGTCAGTGAAAGATCTGCCTATCTGGGCGCAATCCTCCGGCCAGGTGCCAAATGGGCCCAGAGAACTTTTCGTGATCTGCGCCAGGTTTTTGCCTCAGCCCAAAAACACCATCAAAAGGTTCCCTTTGGAGGCAGTTGTCATAGTATATCCCATGAACTCATCTCCCCGAAAAATGATTGGTTTGTTCCTCCATTTTCGTTGGAAAAATCTCAAATTATAGCATTTTTTGTTGCTTTGTCATCTTATCAAACCCCATATGCATCATTGCTAGTTTATATCTAGTTTATATCTAGTTTATATATGTTTATATCTAGTTTATATTCCCATATGCTCCCATATCCCAACCATTTAGATCTAAGCCAGCCTGTCAACTTCCACAACTGGGAGCTCCTCACATGCTTCGATGTTCTTCAACAAGGCCTGGGCGGATCCGCAGCCAGGTCCGGACCACAGCACGCTGAGTGCTGTGGAAAGATCATAACAATTTGGACACTTATGATTATCATGATCACATACTAGCGCGCAGTATATATATATATACATAAGTATAATATATATAAGTAAATATATATGTATATATGTGTATATATATATGTATATATGTATATATATATATATGTGTATATATATATATATGTAAATATATATATATATATGATATATGTATATGTATATTTATATTATGTGTGTATAAGTACACTGCCGGGAAAGCAGGTGGCCCTAAATCACAAACACATAGTATCTGAACTATCCATTCCCAATTCAATGGACACGGCATCCATGGCCCTCTCTTTTGCGCCTCGTCCACGCCTGAGAAGTGCTTGCCGCCATCCTTTAACAATCCTGCAAAATCAAACAGCTTCATCCCCTGAGGGATTTTGCAGGGCTACCAAAATCACAATAAACGGAAACATGTTATAATTATATATATATATATAAAATCACTTGAGACCAAAGAGATATCCTTCCTTTTTCTCATCATATGAATTGACGGCTGGGTAAGAGCGTTCATCGTACCCAGTCATTCGCGCACTTTCGGCCTTGAAGTCCCACTTGCTGATTGAACATCGCCATGGCAACAGCAAAATTTTTGGGGCTATGGCTGTGCTTCCTGGTGCCTACGAGCCCAAAAAGACGCCAAATGCATCCAAATGCCAACTCAACGCCAGGAATTTCCCAATCCAGGAATGGAGAAAAAAGCCATTAGAGATGACAGCAATCACCTCTCCCTTTCCAAACGTACCAAAAGTCCAAGCATGTCCAAGCCGTTCCAAACCAGGCTTTGAGGTGTGTAACAGTGTAACATTTCTTCCAGATTCACCCGATGTCTGACATGGATCCAAGGAACTGCTTCCGCAAGGGCCGAGATAGATCGCAGTGATCGGAGAAGTCCTGCACGACCTGTGGGAGGCAGCTCTCGTCCAATCATATCCAATCGCATCCAGTCCCCCTAGTATTAAATACCATTAAATACCACCCACATTGGACTTCTTCATTCTTGGGGCCCAGATAGGGAGTAATTATATATATATATCAGGATGGGATTACTGTAGATATATACTTCAAATATTGGTGCTTGAAACCGTCGCAAACCATCCGCTTCATGTGAGCAACCCACCGAAACGAAGTAGGATGCAGGTGACAAGATTACTGTAGTACACATCTTTTTCGGCCTGTCTTCCATTCATTGCAATCGGACAAATGCATCAAATTGCAGCACCAACAACATTTCCAAAATTTCCCAAATATCAATTGGTGTTTATCGACTACACTCAGGAGTAATAGTCAAAGCAAATTACTATCTATGATGAATGACTTCTGGACTGTGGCCACCTTTAAACCGCCAGAACTTTGGCCGCCAAGTCCCCGCCTGCATCTGCTGCGCCACCCGTGAGGAATGCTCATCCATTCGTGTCAAGGTGCTGATGACTTCGTTCAGAATGATCTCGGATGGGGATGTGAAAGGGCCAAGGCAGTCAAGGGATCCGAAAACAACAAGAAATAAAGGTGATTGACAACATTTTATGATACAAAAATGATCAGCGGACAAACTATGGAACACGAAATGCATCGAAATTGCTTGTCCAACAATGGCGGGATTTAACAAGTATAAATATAAACTTCTTGCAGGTGTTTGCAGGCAAATCTGGCACAACTTGGGCTCTGGTCAAGTGACACTGTTGACAATTGCCCCTAGAAGCATGGTGCAGCACACATACCCAATCTCGGCGGGAGTGAAGGCAGACATATCCTCAGCGGAACATCTCAATGAATGTCTATGAGTAGATCAAGCGTAGATAACTAGCCGTGACAGTTCGTGGAGAAACAGGAACATACAAAACCGACATAAACCGACATGCAGAAGGAAGTGGGAGAGCAAGTGTCTGACATGCACAGAATACATCAATTCATATCATAGTCTTAGCAATCTCAAGTTTGACCATGGTGACGTAGTTGCAGGTAAAGACTGCACAGTTTGACCAAAGAAAATGCAACGTTTTCTCACGCATTTTTTGTTGTGAAGGTGGAAGACCACGTGACAATCTACAACCAACATCAACCAACTACCAGTACCTGCCTGGAATATGTGCACGCTGCCTTTGTTTGAAGCCCAGATGCACCGAAGCCAACTGTCGTAAAAACAGTCAGCACGAAGTAAAAAGAATGCAGCCACTGGACCTGTTACAGCGACAGTAATTGTTGATGGTGCACACAGCAGTGATGGGATCACATACGCTTCTCAAACATCCTCAAGCCAAATCCTCCAACAAAGACGCAATCGTAGATAATCAATGCGCACATATTCTTGGAAGGCACTCAAAGAATGTCAGGACCAACATCAGTTGGCCTCACAACAGTCGCAACCGCACAGGACTCTGCCTCCGGGGTTTGTGGACTGCCATCGCCACGTATCACTAAGTTGCCACCGGACGCGTCTGCAATGCGCATTCCAAGCCAGGTGTCCTGGTACCTTTGGGCAGCTTGGTCTCCAGCATGGATTGCTGATCCAAAAACATCTGGCAAATCACTGGTGACCTCTGACAGGGTCGGAAAATGGCATAACTATGCATAACTTGGGTCCAATGCCGATGGTTTATTATCATCTTGGCCCTTCAAGCAGCCTTTGGGTATGTACCCCATTTTCAGACACTGGTCTGTCAAATCTTGGACATTCATCTATCATCACTGTTTGGCTGCATTTTCCGTATCTTTTAAATCATGCGACATCAAAGTTGGGATCTTTCTTTGGATTCAAATTTCATACGAAAATATACGAAACAACTCCCAGTTACCATGGCATTTTCTTGGATCCTCCGACATTTTCCCATCCTAAAAGGATCCAAAAAAAAGGTCTCCCCAGATCTCCCCGTCAGCCGCGTCCCAGCGACGGGACGGCAGTCTGCAGGGAGGCGCAAAGATACCAACCGCAGCAAACCATGTGAGCTACCCAGGACTCAGCGGGATGAAGGACCCACTGGGGAATTGGTCAACCCAGGAAGAACATATGCCTCACTGCCTATTATAGTACTGGAGCATACTGGAGCTTCCCCAGATAATGGCAATTCATGATAACTCTTCTTATATATGGCAACTGCACCATTTTGATCCATTTTGGAAAACACGCATGACATTCATGTAAGCATATATATATATATAGATGTAACTATATACATCTACTGACGGTGCATGGTACAGAGAATGTCGGAATACAGCCACACCTGGAAATAGGTGCATTTGACATCGACGAACATCCCTAGGCCCTAGGAAACTGCTTAGAGGCTGCTGCAGGTGTGGCGACTGGTAGGGTCTCAGCCCACTGTCTCTAACTCTATTTAACACTTCCACTCTATGGATGGAAAGTGCATAAAATCACTGCGCAAAGTCTGAAACAAAACAATTCCTCCAAACGCATCAGCGACAAAAATTATCCAGAACTTCCAGCTGCATCCAAGCTGCCAGCATGCAAAACAAGTTCAGTATCCTGAGGTGGTGTAGCTGCAAATGGGATGAGGCTCAGTGATAAGTTATTTGGCGGTGAGCCATCGGCCAATAAATCAATTGGGTTCATCTTCTGAAGTAGGGCCAGAAAGTTAAGAAAAAAACATTTGAACGCTACTATGGTACCTATACAGACCTGGGGTTGGATCACGTCGCACATCATTGGTCCATTGCGCTTTGTAATCAAGGTCGTGGCAAATTTTAGGTCACGCACTTGATTTTCAACGGGAAACCTTTTAATGCTTTTGAATTTCTTCCGTTTGCACCATCGCTCAATCTTCCTCCAAAATGCATCCCATACCCAAAAGCCACCAAGTCACCGTACGCCACGAAGGTTCCTGAATTGAGCCACCATTGGACCTGAGCGAAAGTTGCAACCAAATGCGGCCACGCCCATACTCTGCCAGCGAGTAGATGAAATACATGTTCTCCAAAAATGCTGATGTTTCAAAATCTGCCGCGTTTTGCGGCCTTCGAGGCTCATGGCCTGTCAGTGCTGCCCAGTGGCTCTCATCCAAGAATCGGATCAGTTTCCTCAGCCCCAGTGTGCTGGGGGCGAGGTCTAGCAGCCAACAGTTTTGATAGGGTTCTAGCTGCCAAAACTGAATGTAAGCAGGAGTTCGGGCTGCAAACCCGAGTTGCAGGGGTCTTTGGCCTAAAACGTGACCTATGGCTTGTAAGGGGGTTGGGGCTGATGGTAAGGTTTGGGGCTGGCCACATGGTGGTCGAAGGCACGGGGTGTCGGCATGTGTGGGAACATGCTGCAAGATGGCCCCGGCCTTACCACAAAAAGATTTGATGACAAAGAAATGTCGTGTGGGGTTAAAAAGTCCCAGACCATCCAAAATGAATGGGTTTTGGTCAATCTGAGTCAATCTTGTCATGTGACTTGTTGAACCATCCAGTTTTGGTGGACTTTGCCTGGCTGAACCTGGTGCGGCCTGGGTCTTGGTCAAGAAGCGATAGCTGGATCAACCGCACCAACCGGGCTAGTCGCGACATGCGCTGCAAGCGGCTAAAGCGCGTCACCTCAGCGTCTCAAGTGGGAACTCAATCGCAAACCCCGGAGGTATGATTTTCAATACCAAATGGTGAAATTGTCAAAATGAGTATGGTTCATGTCGATTGCCATTGTTCATTTGATTCCGATTATTAAGGGTAATGATGTTTTTTTTTCTCCTTAGTGCTATCATTCTCGCAATTACCATCTGATTTTCAAATATAGCAATATCACAACACAATTTTCAATGGATAAATCATCTCAAAGGTTAAATCACATTTTTATACATTTTTCCATCCCCCTTTTTTGTGACTTGAATCCCAATCAAGAACCATAAAGCGGCCCCGTGCCTCCAAAATGTCTCCTCGCCTGGACGAGAAAGAAAAGGCCACCATTGAATCATTTTGGCTACCATGCAAGTGGGATTTTATGGGAGTTTGGTATTAGTATATACATATGTATGTATATATATATATGTGTGTGTGGGCTGTGTGTAATTATATATCATATATTACAATATTGCAATGGGGATAGAGTCGAAGAAACAAGCGGTGATACATCGAATACATAGTCATCTCCCAGCCAGAATCCATGTGGCAACACGTCCTGGTTGGTAGCTTTCAGACACAAGACACACACACACAAATAGATGTGTATATATATATATATGTCTAAATATGAATCTATGAACATGAAAAACTGGCCACTGGGAATCACAATCCGGTTTGCTCTTTGGATGGACATCCAAACATCCTTGACACCACTTGACACATTTTGAAGCCGAACGCCAAACGTGTATTCTTCCCATATCATTTTGTTCTCGGCTGGTTGAATCCCCACTTGATGGGTTTTACATATGCTCATCATCTGGGTTTGTCCGAAAACAAGGTGTGCATATATATATATATATATCTGTGTGTGTTTTGTGCATCCAAACAACGCACTGGTTGATCATCATCTTCCTAACTTTCAATGGCCATCATTTGGGGTATATCCCATTTTCATCCATTTGATATATATATATAACATATATATATATAATATATATATATTATATTATATATTATATATCATATATCCTATATTTCCCATATGCCTTTTCAAACAAAGCCATCTGTTGCTTGGGAAATCACCCCCCAACACCTCAACCTGTTTCGTCTGTCCAGGGACATGCCCTCCGAAAAGAACGCTTCGATCAGCTGTGGCGGAATGCAAGCGATGAGGTTTGGCAGGAAGTAACTCCTGTACAAGGGGCACACCTGAAGACATAACAAAAATATGGTGAAGCGAATGATGCGCACCGATTGAAATATCAATTGAAATATCTCTGGGTTTTCAGGTTTTTCATATTTTTTCAACAAATATGATGGCCTGGCCCATGTTATTAGCAAATGTTGCGTGAAATCCCAGGGGAGTTTCCATCGATCTCCCCTCCTCAGGTAGTTCTTCGCAGTGAGCCTCAGGTCAACCACCTCGTGGCCCTGCCAAGGCTGGGGGGAAACTGACATCAACTGACATCATCTGACACTGAACTGACATTGAACTGATATTGACTTGTCATGAGCTGAGCCTTGGCATTCTTGTAGCTCAAGAAAAAGTTCAAGACAAGGTCCACATAAAACAAACCTGCCGCGGCAACACCAGAGGTATCAACGGCTTCATGGTGATTCAATGCTGATGGGGTGAGGAATCGGCGAGGAAAAAAAAGTTGTGGATGCATTGCAGCTGGCATATCACCAAAAAGGACAAAGCATCAGCAAACAGCAAACAGCAAACACGACATGAACTAAAACACATGCAGGATCAGAAAAAAACTCAAAAACCTCCGACTCTTTGGAATGGCGAGTCTTCCTTCAGGAACCGTGTGAGTTGCAATAATAAGGACAACAAAATTTACGCCAACACAGCGGGGCAGTGCCCTTTCGCCAAGTGGCAATTCACCACAAAGTCCAGAGGACGGTCCAACATGCCCTGGCCCAGTCTCTGAGTTCTGAGTTCTTTGGACTGGTTTAAGGGAAAACCCTAGGGGCCCTAGGGGACTTTCATGGACTTTCCATGTTACCACGAAATGTCGGGCTTTCCTGCACCTTTCCCAGCATCCAATTCTGGGATGGAACCGTCAAACGGCCCTTGGCTGATTGTGATTGGCACTAGCATTTATTCTGCATAGCCATCATGCCTCTAAATGTGTAAGTCCAAATAATGCACATGGGCACCCACACGGATATATGCATACACACACATGTACACAGACACATACACATGACATACACAGACACAAACATATGTACTGTGTATATATATATATATATGTGTGTATATATGTATATGTATATGCATGTATATAATTGTATATATATGTATATACAACCGTATACACCCGGACTGGCGACGTGGCCCTTCCTGGTGGCACCTCAGCCATCATCCCATTGGCCACATTGAGGTCAATGAAGCACAACCTGGTGCTGTTGTCTGGTGAAGGTTGGTTGTTATTTTCCATGGTTTTTCTCTCAGATCTTGGCGAAATGGAATGATAATAGAAGTAGGGGCAGTGGCAGTAGAGGTTTCTTATTCTCTTGGTGTTTCATGTCAAAATGCGCACATTCAGAATCAAATCGCTAAGTGTCCAGTTGCGGTCAAGCTGCTGGAAAGGAAAGTACGTGGCAGTGTACAGCAGCCTGAGTTTTCACCAGATGGTCCATCCCAGCCCGAAAATTGCATCCACCATGGAGTTCATCAACAGAAAATGGATACAGCTGGGCTGCCTTATATTCAGATATATTCAGTGTCTGTTACACCGAAAATTCTGAAAACACTTCGGACATATTCGAATCACTTCCGCCGACTGTGGGATTGAATGTTCCGCTTGGAAACTGCCACATGGAACGCAATGGGATCTACGATTTTAAGACATCAATATACAATGCCTGTCTGCCTGTCTGCCTGCCCGCCTGCCCGCCTGCCTGCCTGCCTGTCTGTCTGTCTGTCTGCATGCAGCATGTATGCATGTATAAACGCATATGCCCATACGTATGCATAATTATATGTACTTATATGTACTTATCATATCTATACAAACATATCTATCATATCTACACCTAGTAACTAGTATTTTTGCATACCTTTGCCGTGCTTTGAAATCCCACCGATCATTCCGTCCCTGGAGACGGGCCCCTGTGACACTCACAAGGTACATTGAGCGGCCAAGAGGCAGGAAAAGCACCTTAGCAACGCGATGATTTTCCACCATCTAGAAGTTGGTCCATCTCCGCTATATATATATATACACATATATATATATATATATTACATCAGGCAACCAACAGCAATGACGTGTGGATTCGTTCTGTTGGGATCATTCCAATGGATCAGCTGCCAGGCCACAATGACGTTCCAAAAGCGGCGAGCTAACGAGTCTTCCTTCAGAATCAGCCAGGCACACACCGCTTCATTTCCTCAGCTCTGGCCGGATCAACCAAAATCACGTACCCGGATGTTGCTCATGAACAAACCAAATTTCAAACTATCTCAAAACACTCGAAATGGCACAGATTCACTAGGACACAGTTAATCTAACAATGACATGTCACACCAGAGTATCCAAAATCATCCCACGATAAACACAAGATATATATATATATTATATATATTATATTTTTTAATAAAAGGCAAGACCTGGTACGGTACCAGTGCTGCAGCCGGGCATCGGTGCTTGGAGATCACCCGACCCAAGCTGATCACTGAAGCTGCGCTCGGATGCACCTGACAGCACCGAGGGGTGAAGCCGATGGCCATTGATGGCCACAAGCTGCCAGGCTAATGGTGCCTACCCTCTGGTAATGACTAACATAGCTATTGAAAATGGCCATTTATAGTGAGTTTTCCCATTAAAAATGGTGATTTTCCATAGCTATGTTAAATTACCAGAGGGTAAATGTTCCTAAAATCTAAAGTTTATAAAGACATCCAAAGTCCAAGCCGCGGAATTCCAGTAACTTTCCTACCGGCAAACAGCAAATGATAGATTCAACAGATTCAAGGGATCTTTCCAGTCACCTAGTTTTATGGTGAGGTCATGAGGCTGACCATGCAGTGAGAGCTGAGCGTCATCCTTCAATCCATCGTCACCGTCATTGTCCAAGTTATCTGCCTTAGGAGTCGTGGGGTGCTAAGAATTTGGCCCCCCATCCAAGAAAACGCATGGGGAGTCACAGGAAATTAAACCAAAAACAAGAAATGACGGAGACAGGGGGGCATCCACATCATCCACCAAAGAACAAAAGGTGGTATGGAAGCAGTTGGGTAGAAGAAGGGCCTAGAATTACTAAGGAGGTTTCAGGTGATTTAATTTACAGTGTTCAATGACAACCACTTGGACATGGAGGGTCAGTGATGCCCAAAGCGTCCGAAAACATCGAAAAAAAGCAACTGTACCAGGGACTCTGGTAGAAACTGAACACAAAAAACATCATGGCCAGCTTCAGGGTTCAGTATGTTCAGTCTAGCAACCTTTGGCTACCCACAGCACGAAGAGAGAACAACCGACAATAACCGACAGCTCAAAGCTGGAGAATGATGGAGCATGGAATTTCAGCGGCATGATATGATCCTAGACCCGAGGTTCCAGAGGCTCCACAGATGGCTCAAGCTTTGGGGACCAATGGGGACCAACCCCGCCAGCTTTGCCCCTTTCTGCCCAGATTCTTTGTCTGGACCTCAATCCAGGCACTCATGGTGATGCAACAATCATATATTCACGCACCGTTGATCAATCCTGAATCCTAGTTGATTCGGACTATTTCATCACATTTCATCATATTTTGCAATATTTCATCATATTTTACCATCATATAGCTTCACGTTTTCTCCCAACATCTCCAGTTTTGTCTCCCAGAGCTATCCCTGTTGAGCCAACGGACGGTTCCTGACCTCTGCCATCGGCCACATTGGAAACCATGGCGAGGCGCGCAGAACCGCAGCCGTTGCCGGATGGCTTTGGTCACACACCGTAAACAACGGCAATGTCTGGGACTATGACTTCACATGGTCACTGTTTGTACGTGTACACGCGCACACACGCACACACACACATACACACACACATATATATAATATGATATAATATGATATAATACAATACAACATATATGTATATATCTATAAAATAATATAAATATAATATGTATGTATATGCTCATAATATATGATAATATTATTTAGAATGACGCGTGATATCACGATATATGACACAAGGCGGCTCTGTCACGCCCTGTCACTATTGCAATATCATGAGGGGGATAGAACAGAAGTTGATTCTGAGCATATTCAATGCGGCACTGAACTTGGGCAGATTGGCTGGAAACCAATTTGCTGAGGTCTGATTGAACTTTCGCGCAACTGGACTGAGCCCCAAAAAAAGGTCCTGCAACCACCAGAGATTGGCGAACTGCTGTCCATACCCCAAGCCTTCCCGGGCTCTCCATGCAGCCCCAGAACCGCTATTGGCATTGTGCACAGAATCCAGCGAATTGTCTTGAATCAGCCACTGACCACTGCAAAATCCTCAGCAATTCAGATACATTCTATTCAAATACTGATGCAGGTACATTATATGTTATGCATGACTTTAATTTTAATCAATATCAGTTGTTGATAAAGATTGAACAGATATATGCATATATATATATATATGATTGAGATACGCATATCTCCAGATGAGTCTACATATCATTTTGGGGGGTCAACAGAATCATGTGGGGCAAGGAAGTGCTATACATGGAACGATTCTGTTCTACGAATTCCGCGAGTGCCCCGACCAAGCAGACGCAGAGCCCCTCAGCACGGTGCCTGCGGACAACCTGGAAAGATGGAGCTATGAAGTAGATATTTCAAGGAATACTACTGGGGAAATATGGGGATTCTTGGGGATATAACATATTATAACTACATTAATTACTATTCATGGGGAATATCACATATTATATCTAACGATGATTAATACTATGACCTAAAAAAATGGATGGTCACTCTACCATTTTTCATGCCCATTGTGGGATGACCACAGTTAAACATGACTCAGCTATTGACCATGGCACAAATATATTTCTAAATACATACACACACAAACGCACACACATACACACACACACACATATATATATACACACATATATATATACATATACATACATATTACAATATTACATATAATATTATACATAACAATACATAATATGCATATTTTTGTGGACAGTGGGCTGTCAGCGGTCAGAAACTCAGAGGATGTGTACCTTTGTCCCACTGATCTTGGAAAGCCCTACCCATCCAGGGAGCCTCAATGCTGGAGCCTGCAGGATGCAAGGGGCTTGATACAAGGATTTGGCATCCAGAAAGCGAACAAGATCAAACAAACAAAAAGCAGTCACTTAAGGATCAATCTCTGCAAAATGACGAATTTCGACGTTGTCGTTTATTGATCACTGTGGCCATGATTGCCATATGTTGCCATTGTTTTGCTTGACACGGCTGGCTCTAACCAGCGTGTCTGACAGTGCCACTGAACCTTCACCAACTATGTCATGCGGACATGGCTAAACCCTCTGCCTTCCAACCCTTGACCATACCACTTACTATTGAATGCTAGTGGCACATCGACAATGAAATGCGTTGTGACCTGCAGTTATAGCTGTTCATGTTTAATAAATCATTTTCTTGATTCATATGCACTTATTTTCATGAATTTTACAAAATTTCAAAATTTCCACAAAACGACAGGTACATCCCACGCAATTGCATTTTTTGATCCTGAGGATGTTGAGATGCCTATGTACAAGCGCTGGCAAATCCAGCAAAGCGGGTGGCAAATGGTTGCAAGGTCCCAACAGAATACCACCGGCGAATGTGGAGTTCAGGAGGCTTTCTTCTGCCGGCCGTTGAAGACCAAATCGAAGTCATCCAACTGGCTCCGCAACGCCCTGCGAGGGGTTCGAACACTGCCTTGAGGTTTTGCTGCTATCTTACCCTTTTGTAATCAACCTGGCAATGGGACATCCTGTGCATATATACGTGTATAACATATAATATGTATGCATAATATATATACATATATAAATATAAATATATGTATATATATGGAAATTGGAAGGGAAACTAATCTACAAATGTATACAAATGTGGGGTTTTCAAATGCCTGGTTTGATTACCAGAGGGCATAACCATTATAAGAATAGCATCCCAAAACTTAATAAAAATTATATGAATGCAAAGCGATGCAATGCAACCAGCGACGAGTGAATAAGACTATTTGAGGGCCAGAAGTTGCTGGTTAAAAATTGAAAAGTGGGATTCGGGTGACATGTTCAGGCTCCACATGAATTATCTTCAGCTGAAAGTAGTGCCCCAATATGCCCCAATATATCCCAAACACAATTCGATTCTGACATTTCCCCATGTATCAAAAACCCAACAGCTCACAACAGATGCAGTTGCAATCATTTCTGCGTGCATCGCTGCGGCTGCGATACAGCCCTACTGCCCTACTGCCGATGAATTAAGAAATATCACAGCACTGCCTGGGGAAACCAGGAGTGCTCACCAAATGGATTGCCGCAACTTTGAGCCAGCCGTTGTGATTGACGACTTCTTTCACTTAAATTTTCTTTTCACACAAAACATGCATTGGAACGCATTGAAACACTGTATGGATATGCGCTTCCTCACCGGCTGCTCACACCACATCTTCGCTTATTAGGACGTGAAGTTTGCAACTCAAGGGATGTTTACGTCCTACTGGTGGGAAATGAGCCAGCTCACATCATGTGAGACCACTTATCAAGTATGCGACAACTGTGCCCATACCTTGAGATGCATGTGCTTGTCGGTCTTGGAGGAAAAAATGGATGGCTCCCAACCACTTCAGCAATGGCGGTATCAATGTCAGTAGCCTTGGGTTATGTTTCTTTTATGTCACGTCCTGATGCGTGAATTGAGACATTCATCAAATTAGTGTGGCTTCTCGACCTGCAGCACAAGCCGAAGCTGCTCTGTGGTGTTGACCCTGCGCCGTAAACAAGGTTAAAACGAATCACAGCATAATGTTTATCGGATTTTATCGGTATACATCTGTATGCTCTTCTGTAAATATCCAACAAAAACCTTCTGCCTGTCACAGTGCCAAAAAATTACCCAACAAACGTCATACTACAGGAGCTAGTACACCTTGCAATGCCTCGTGCCGTTTCTGTAGCATTTTGCAAACGACTCGAGACATCTCAGTAGCATTCAGTCGCTTAGCCAAGCTACTACGAGAGCCACGGTGGTCAGGTCCGTCTTCTAGGGCCTGTCATTGAACTCCTGGCAGCTGTTGAACAAATGAATATCCAAGAATGTGTCGCGATTTAAGGAGTCCAGGTGCCAGATCCTGTCAACACTCTCATGAAAATTCACGTGCAACCAAAACAAGTTCTGTTCATGAACATGATGGGAAAGCCATGAGAAAACAACGGACAACCATTTTCTGATCTCAATAGAGGTGTCTGACCCCAGCTTTCTGCATGTGGGAGATTGTGAGAGGGTCAGTCGAATCTACCACTCGTTGATGTTCGATGTTGAACTCCTGTTGGTTGGAAAAAACTTGGTCATGAGCTAATGACTGGAACAAGTGTAAAACAACTTAGATTGTCGAATGCTAATAAATGCAAATAATGGTAGTTTATACGTCTATATTGATACTTGACACTTGTATTATATCCATTCATACTATTTATATCTATTTATCAATATCTAAGTCACGGCACCTAGATGCTATGGATATATATATATATATAAATCACACACACATATATATATATGCACTTGTATTATACACGTATATATGGATATATATTATCAAATATACACATATGAATATATATATATATAAAACTAATCTCTCTCACACACACACATATATATAATGTATACACTGTGTATAATATGCAGCATTATACAATGTGCCATGTTCTGGATTGCTGGGCTGCACAGTAATTTGAGTGAGCAGGTTGGGGAACAAAGGTGGTCTGGTAGCCATCATTGTCCAGCCTCCTGCAGGCTCATGGCAGCCTGCTGGACAGGACCCTTTGCAAGTGGCGGTAAACCACGACAGACCTGGCAGAACGTCATGTGCGACTTGTCGCATCGCTTAATCAGTTTTCAAATACAACTCCATGATATTCCATCCATTTCCATCAATTTCTATTCATATTCATCAAATTCATTTGTGTCTCATCTTGTGTCCATGCATCCTTACATCCTGTATCATCCTGTCATGCCCAACGCCGCCTTGATGAACACATCATCATCCAAATGCAGGGACAAAAGCGCCACTGTTTGAACCGCAGACCTTCGAACCTGAGGCAGCACAACAGATCTCAGTGTCCCTCAACATTCCGGGCATATATAAGTTTATATAAGATTATATAAGTATAGGTGCATATGGATATATACATCCAATCATTCATTACGTTTCACTACATTTCATTGCATTTTTAGATGATCATATATCATATGAATATTAGCAACACATGTCCAAGCTCCCATGACCAGCGATCTTCACTATGGTTGTGGCCTCTGGATCCTTATCTGCTGTCAGCTTCAAGACCAAACCCAAATCCTGGCGACGATGGTGAGGTCTCCGTTTTCTCGATGTTCCTCCGAACAAGACACTTCTCAAGATCTTTGCCGTGAAACGGAATTTCCTTCTACATCCTTCTACCAGTTTTAAAGAGCATCTGGAAGGTAGGGATATGTCTTAATATGGCATCCTAGTTCCAAAAACATGGGTCTGTCTGAAAATAGGCCCCCCAACATCCAATGGTTGATCATCATTTTCCTCATGAAACACGGCTGAATGGGGGATATCCTCCATTTTCAGACAGGCCCACAATAGCCCACCTGGATATCCCCCAAAACGGCACAGCTCGGCTCTTCGAGCCTTCTGTGATCGGAGCAGCGACAAAGTGCTTTGCCGCTCCAACATGTCGCCAATGGCTTTCATGCTACAAGCCGCTGACCTGAAAGCTGCCAGCGCTGCTAGGAGTCTGCCGGCAAAGTTTGGGAAGTTTGGGGGAGCTGCACTTGAGGCCAGAAAACGGATCAAAATGGCACATTATGAAACCGGATCCAAAGAATTGAACACTAATTCAAACACACTGACAAATTTGGGCCTCTGGATCCAGCCGGCCCAGCCTTTTGCTCTTTGAGGATAGACCATTCAGCAACATAGGCAGCATTCGCGCACGCGGGGCCAGCACGCCACATAGCCTGGCAGGTGGAGCATTGGCTTGTGAACCTGGCCCATCACTGCCCATTTCCCATCTCTCCCATATTGATCCATATTGAGTATCTATGCTTTGCTGTAAGAAAAATCTTTGAAATCCGTCCTGGAACGCAGGTTTTCAGATCCCCAGACCCCTTTCATAGCATTTCACATCCAATCTAACCTCTAACCTACGAATGCAACACCCCACAGAGATATCATTTGATACACCGTCCCCCAATTCAATATGGGCCCACAATAATGCGGGCTGGACGATGATTTACCTATTGCATAGGGCATCATACCGTAAAGATTGGTTCCATGTTAAATTTCAAGGGTGCATTCAGTTCTAGTATATTTACCGATCCTTAATATCCATCATAATATGTTATCTACAGTGGGTATGATACACCTATATAATTATATAATGCCCTATGACTCTATAGCAACCCCCAAAGTAGATTTACCAGTTGGAAATATGGAAATATGAGGCACATACCCTCTATACATCTACATCATCTACCATCCTGGAAATACTGTTCTATCTTTTAGGGGGTTTCTATAATCCATATATCATCCATATATCGTTTTAATATGTTTTAATATCATATGAATAATATTCATAGATTTCATAGATATTCATTGTATGGCTTTAAAGATATGCCGTGGTTACTTTTCCATCAAAAAATCGATGCCAACTCTTCCCACGAGAAAAGGCCTCAGGACTTCCTGCATCAGCTCGCGAATGGCCAAGATATTGTGCCCTCGCGGCAGCTCGATTTCCCATGACACTATTGGCCGAAGCGTTGGGCAATCCATCATTATCATCATTAGATTTCGATATCATAGATGTCATAGATATCACATATCCACTGGCCAAATACAAGTGCCCTCTGGCAACCTGGCACTGACATATCCCGATGTTTCCCGGGCAAGCCGTCTTTTCGATGATGTTCCATTGCCATGTTGGAGATTGTTGGAGTAGCACTTCGGGCACCGCCTGATAACCATAACCATCCCGCATCCGCCTGATCGTTCCACGATGTTGGGCACCAGGATCTGCGTCTCACGATCAGTCAGGGGCACATCAAGGCCTAGGTCAGGCTGACGCTCAACTGGAAAGGGATTGGAATCTGAGGGGCCAGAGAATGGGAGGAAAAACCATGGTCCTGCGAGTGATTGATGATGGAAAAGGGATGATGACACATACTTGCATCATGTTCGTTGTTGCTGCTGCTGCTGCCGATGAAGCTGATGAAGCTGATGATGCTGATGATACTGATGATTGTCATCATATGATGGCAGTGGGGTTGCTGGATCGGGATGTCATCTTGGAAGGTCTTAGCTTGCTGACAAGTGGCCCTCCAAGTTTCGCAGGAGTGCCAGCAGAACATCCAGCATTGATTTCCACACCTGGTCAACAAATCTGGTTGCAACGTCTCTGCCAGCGGTTGATGCCATGGAGGTAGGAAATTATGTATGGTCCCCCTTTCTCGCTATCCCATCTATGGAGGGGATCAGAGGTCATTGCAACCATTCCAACCAAATGCCAAGTGGACTAATCCTCCAAGAGGTGGAAAGCCATCCCCATGCCTTCGTATTTGCGTGCCATAGCATCCTTGGGAGAAGTTTGAACTCTGAGGCTTGTGCGCAGCAAATGCAGTCTTAACTGCGCCGAAAAAACAACAAACCAGGATACAACGCACCCAGAAACGCAATAGCAACACAAACACAGGAAGCTCAAGCAAACACAGAGATTCGCTCATGATCACCTCCATAATCAAAATCGTTAATTCTTGGTATGATAAAACATCATCATACTATCATCATCTTATTATGGCAGATCATCATTATTCTTTTGGCACAGAGGCACACAGTTCCGAGCACATGGTCAAAGCTGTTAAACAGGTCCGAGCCACCAGGTCAACCATTTCAGCACCATATCCTGAGTACCGAATTCCTTGAACTTCCTCCAGATTCACGAAAGGTGGGACATGAACAACCCAAGAATATCCAAGAATCTAAGAAGAAAACACCACTGAAACATACTGAAACTATATGGTGTAATATGATAATATGACTGGTTGGCGATTTCAACGCATACCGCGCATACCAACAATAATTGGGACTATCATCATCCCAAGTAAGACGGGAACGAAACATGCCAAAACTTGTTCAACTGCAAGCGTCCAAAACGTCAGCTTCCAGGATCATGTGTGTATAGTCTTCTGCCTTGCGGTTTGCGACCAATGTGCGGGCAGCGGTGGATCCAGAAAACAGGATTGAAATAGATGAAAAATAGATAAAGAAGGTAGTACTTGGTGGTGGTGGCGGTGGTCATGATTTCATGATTTAGAACTATCGGCGCTGGGTAACTGCCAAGGTAAATGAAACGATATCGATGTAATTCATCGTAATTTACATCGGTGTGTATATGTAAATGAATAAATACATATTATATATATGTACTAATATATATATATATATACATGATCTGAGAATTATACCATCCATGGATTTACATGCATGCAAACAACAATTTACATTGTATGTATGCGTCCGCTATGTAAGAACTCCTCGAACCAGCAAAATAAATGACTATGAATGACTTGTTGTAGGGCCCAACTTTTACGCCATCGTAAGCTGACCATCATCAAAGTTTCCATGGTTCAACGACCGCCTGTTTCTGCCAGTGCGACAAGCCGGCCAACTGCTCTTCCAAACCTGGGGATGGTGGAATGAGTTACTGATCCTCAAGACACAGCTTTGTCTTTAAAAGGATAGCATGTTGCATTGTATGTTCCTAAGATATTTCACAACAGAGGTAAAGAGCACTGAACCACACATCGAAAGTCCAAAGTGAGGAAGCGTACCAGTGCGTCACAACTGAAACCAAACCAATGGCCCGGCAATACTGTCAAACCTTGTGAAAGCAGAGAACCGCACTGTAACACACATGTGGGTAATCAATATCAGTCTATCAATAATCATCAACATTGAGAATTAGGAACATATGCAATATATGCAATTGTTTCACCCCAAAGCTGCTTAACCGATAAAGATGGAGTTTGAAGTGAAACTAGTGGATAGCTGTTCAACAGCATGTCATAGTCCGCCACTCAAGCCAAGGAACGGTCTGAGAACATTTGTCGCCAAAGCCAGTCCTCTATGCAGGGACCTGGATGGCGCAGCAAACCACATGGCTATGAGTCAAGAAATAGGGGTTGCCGGGTTGCCACCAGCAAAATTATGATTCAGAATAACAAATATGATGTAATGTCTATATATATATGGGATATATATATATATAATCAAATATGATCAACATGTTGGTACAGGTCAAACTCTAATGTCCATTGAAAGTCCACGCATGGACTGCTGATGACTGCTGCTTGTTGTCCCAGACATCAGAGTAGGAAATGCTCCACAAAGCAATGTGAACTATGATGCTTCGTAGCCCAGCAATAAAGACTTCAATCACAACAATTAGATTAGTCCTTTCTTCATATTGTTTAACTGCAACATATCACAAAACCACATACACCATTCTCATATATCTCAAGATTCTGAGAGATTTCTCAACTCTCAACAGCCTTAACGTGGTAAACCCGATAATCAACCATCCCCAACAATACATTACAACACTACTGTTACAATACATTATAATACATTATAATACAATGTAACCCACTATAATACATTACAACAATTTGCAACAATTTATAACACATTGTAATGCATTATACTGCATTATAATGCATTATGATACATGAATGATAGCATAAATATCATAAATGGGTGGTCCAATCATCCCCGACGCGGTTACGTTGTGGCGACAGCCAAGAGGACGCCATTGTTCGCGCAGCGCAGAGAGGTGGTCGCTGGGGATTGATTCTGGGCCTCAGCTGATTTTGGACCTCAAAGGGGATATAAACAAAGTGACACAAGGTCCTGTTGTGAATAAGGTCTAGTGAAGAAAGTGACTCAGCGTGACTCAGCCATTTTGGGGGTGTGAATTCATAGTTTGAAAATTGCCCGTTCCCTTCCCTAATGTAAATACGAGCTGACGAGCATGGTCTTTTGGTGCTTGTGCTGCAGGCCAAACAGCTCAAGATGTGGATGAGGCGTACTTCCCCCCTCCCCCACTCGGAGAAACCAGGGAAGAGAGTCCATGATTGATGCGACTGAACAAGACTCTGACAACTTATACAATTATAATCAATTATATAAGTTTGTTTTCTACTGATGGGCTTGGGCTATTGGGGACTCAGTTGACTGAGTTTCTCGGATGTCCAAGGAGCCCCAGTATTGGCTCTTCTCCTTCTGTTGCCGTGCCTGTGCAGGCGGCAACTGGGTTCTCTCAAAGGATTCAGTTTCAACCAGCAAAGTGGATGAACCAGCTGGCATAAAATCAACCCACTTCAATTTAACACCACTTTTTGTACCTGTATCATATGTCTACCATAACTGGGGCTCAAATATTCTTAAATCATCTTAAATCCACTCCCCTCAGCATTCTGTGCATGGGTCCACATGGGTCAAAGCCACTGCCAATGGCTTTGGCCCAATTTTGGGGCACCTGCATCCCAAATCAACATCCAATTCCAACTGCACCTGTTTGGACGAGCGAGGTAAACCAATCTGAAAAGGTACGACACCTGGGCTTCCAGCCGCCAAAAGCATCCAACCGAGCATCCAACACCACCAAGCACGAGTGCCAGCCCCAGCACCATCACCACCATCCATCACCACCCATCATTGTTGACCTCCTCCTCTCATCATCACCAGCATCACCATCGTCAACTAAGTCTGATTCAGCATCAAGCAGCACTTTCCTTGCTTCTAACATTAACACTATCAACATCTGGCTATTGATTGTTCAAACATGTTCAACTTGGTTTTCATGGCTCAACTGTTGGGATGGGCTTTCGTGTGTTCCCCCACATGTAAAACCTTGGGATCCCTGGCTCTCGCCCAGGATCACACTATCTCCGTCCTGCCGTGCCCAGAGTTGGAACAAAAGCAATGACACCTTGCATCTACCCCGCATTTGCATGTATTTATACCAGCATAGAAGGGGTTGAACATGGTTCAACCTATCCCAGTCCATGTTCAAATGATTTTAGTGGTTTGGAGTTTCAGATCTGGAGCTTCTTGCACTCATCTCCTGCAAATAACCTGGAGTCCAGGAGATTGGGGGTTGCCTTCTCCTGCGACATGGTTGCCAGTTGGTCAATCAAGGTTTATCTTCTCAAGATTTCTGATAAGATTTCTGAGGTAGGGATGGAGCGCTTGAGTACAGAATGCAAGTCAAACATTAAAACATATTAAAACCATCAGCTAGAGTGGCCTGGGTAGGTGGGCCTACTTCAAAGAAAGAAACTGCAGTTCTCTTCGTCAAGCGCGGAACTCAGCGGGACTATCTCGAGCAATCAAACCATTGCAATCCTCAGCATGAAATCCTGTGAAAGTAACGCGTTGCTCTGTCCCATCCCGGCTGCGCTGCTGCTCCCTGTGCCTTGACGGTGTTGATTCATGCCTGGGAGTAGCTTCCCTGCTGGGATCCCTTCTGGTAGGTGTTGGCTCACGTCTCAATGTCCTGGGCTGCGCTCGTGGGAAAATCGGACCCCACACCTGAAAGATCTTGAAAGACCATGAAAGACCCGCCAAACAGCATCACACAATAATAACTCTGCAAAAGCGCGGTGCACATGGGCTCACGCCTGGTAGGTGTAGGATCTCTCCTCACACTTGGCTCTCTTCTGGTGGGTGTCGGTTCCCTTCTGATCGTTGCTCCTCTTCGGGTAGGTGTTGGTTCTCGCCTGGTGGGCGTTCCTTCCCTGGGCGCCAGGGTGGGCCCCTCCCGTCGCCTGGGTGGTGTGGCCTGCCGCAGCTCCCTCCGTGGCGGGGTGGCGTCGCGGGTGAGGCGCGGGCCCAGGTCCCGGTCGCCGCGAACCATGGGACTCCCCCGGCGAGTTGGGGTGCCGTGATCCCTGGGAACACGACGAGGCGTTTCATCACGACCTGGGTGGAATTCGATGTAGAGGGCTGGGTTGACTGAACATGCCTATGCTGGCACAATGTATGAACATGATTGAACATGTGTGAACAAAATTCGAGAAACAATACATAAATGCAGCAAATTAATGCAAAAGGAGATCTCTGCCAATTCCCAAGCTGTGTGCTTTTTGGTGCAATGACTTGATCGTCTAAGTTGATATCATGCTTCTGCCCCACTTTCATTGATCACGTGGATCGGCGCGGCAAATTTGGCTGCCGGACGTTCAGTAGACTCGGCACGCCGGGTGGTAGGAGGAGCACGCGGCCTGTGGAAAAGGCATTGGGAGATGCAAAATAGCAGCAAGCAATGGAGTACAATATCATTAATTATTTCAATTTCAAACGCTGGCTGATCAAACATGCATTCTCTCCTTGACTTGGCAATGCTGAAAGCCGAGACAAGTCTCAGATTTCCTCATCTGACCGACTTTTGATGGCAAAAAAATCCAAACATTTCCAACAGGTGCCGACCTGATCGTCACTTTGTAGAAGCTTGCCATGTTTCAACCGCCCTTGACATCCCCCGAAAAAAGCAACCACCGCACCTGGGCACCGTTGCCAAGGTAGGACCTGGGGAAGGAGTATCTGCCTTCAGCTCCACCTTCTCATGACGTTCCTTGTCCTCAGCGGGGTGTCCCACAATGTCCCACAGAAATCAGCCCAATAGAAATGGGGCTTAATGATGTCTATATATGTCTATATTATATAATGATAATGGTTGGTACCCTCTAGCTAGCCCTGTGGCCCATCAACAACCAAAAGCCGATCACTGCATTTCGTGCCAAATCCAGCATGCGCACATGGTTCAGAATTATCGATCCATGCAAAAATCTGAGCATGTAGGAGGACAAGTTCTTGTCCTACCCTCGTGCTTCTGTCGACCACCATGAAATGTTGACGAATTCACGATCATCAACCGGAAGATCGGTGCCGTTGACTTATTAGTCCTGAAAAGTGGTTGCACAACCCCTCCACTCCTCCACTTGATTCCCATGAGTACATATAAGTACTGCAGGATCCGATTTCACTTTTCACCCAGTCTTTGGATTGCAACTTGCCAACTTGGAAGTGCGAATTTTTGTGCCAAGTTTCCATTTCAAGCTGCTTGACCTGAACGAACGGAGACAAGCACCATGTTCCTGTTTCTTGGATGCATGTAATCGATTGCAATCGTATGCACACTTGCAAAGATGCATATATTCCCACAATATTCATCAGATCCAGTCAGTATCTTTTTGCACCACCAATTTTCTTCCCTACCCTGGCTGCAAATTCAAATTCTTTGCACCATTTCGGGTCCGTTGGTCCCCAGATGATGAGGAGCCTTTGATCGCAGGTTTCGGATCTCTTCGGCCATCTGCTTGATCAACGGTGTCCTGGGGCAGGGAGAGCTTCTCTGTCGATCGTCAATTGGTATCAAGACATCTTGATCTTGCCGACAATGCGTCAATGACGGATCATTGAAATAAGAGTAACATGATGATAATATATAAATGATGTAAAATGCAACTCTCAATCATAGAGAACTGACACATATTTTCTTCGCCAAACCCAGAGTCCCCTAAACCTGCTGCGTTTCTATTGGTTTCTCACTCCGAAAGTCCTAAGAGTAGATCAGGAGATGGTGGATTTGGATGGATTTGGGGCCCGCAGTTCAATTCTCAGATATGCCTCAAAGGTGGCAATGGGCAACCCCCTTTCAATGGGAACATCATCCATAAATATCCATAAATCAGATTAAATCGGGTGTTTTCCATCACCAGGGTATCCCCCATCTTTGGTCCCTGTGCCGCTACAATCGACACCGATCGACACCGAGCATCTCTGGGACCTCCTTCTCCTCTTTCACAGGCTCGCTTCGGTTCTCCTTTCCTTCAGCCTTCGGCTTCACCTCCTGTAGCCGCCAAGGGAAGCCAAGGTGACCTTTAGCCGCTGAATCCAGTGGGATTCGAAATTCGGATGCTTCCTTAGGATATCTTAGGATTAGTTAGGATTCATACTTCCCTGGTTGATTCAGAAGGGGAGAGGTACCATTTCCAGAAGTGATTTGCGCATCAACCAGGCTTTATCGATCCGGGGTTGTCGCTTCTGTATATCAAGCAACCCTGAACCCTTAGGGATTGCACATTGTGACTTGCCCGCCGGTCCCTGCAATGCTGTGTGCCTCTTTTTCAACTTTTGGCTCCGCAATCTGGGCTTTCCTAGGTTCCCGGCAATGGGGATGAAATGGCATGAAGGGGTTCTTCAAAGGTCACACTCACTGCAGCTGGAAATTTACCCCCTTTCGAGCTTCAGTTCAATTCCAATGCTTAAACATAGTGCCAAATAACTTCCTGCTGGGGGAAGTGGCTTCTAGGGGCACGTAAGGTTGCTTGGTCAACGATATTTGGATACGGATTTCACCGCTCTCAAGCCAGAAAACCGCTACCCTGCAACACTAGAACCTATGGTAAACGGACTGAATGCAAGGAATGAAAGGAACCACCACCACCACCACCACCACCACCACCACCATCATCACGCCATCATTACACCATTCGAGCATCGGCCCTGGCAGCCACGGCTGCAGCGGTGCAGCCTCCACCGGCAACGCGTGGAGCCGCTGCTTCAAGGGTGACGTGCACGTGGCTGGAGGCGACAGCGGTGAGGGGACGCGCAGCTCTGCGGCAGGGGTGTCCTGAGGGGGTGGACATCCATGGACATCCCACCAGAGACTTTTTGATCTTTTTGCTGAGATTTCGGAAACTCCGAAATTTTGGATTGGAAGATTACCTTTCAAGAGAAACATGAATAAACTTGATGGACATGGAGACAATAATCATGTAACCATCAACGGAGATCGGGTTTGCAAGATGTTTTGCATTGTTTTTCCTACGTTGGATTTCCTGGGCATCTGCTTTTGGGACATCGGATGAGGTTCAGACCCCCTGAAATGGGATACGTCCAATCCCATTCAAGGGAACTACAAAGTGGAGTTTTCTTCACCAAAAATCACATGGAAGGGTCAGCTTCATCATCAGAAACACGGAGTAAAGTGAGATTTAGAATTTAGATGAATTTAGATTCTAGATATTGAATCTACCAATGTTTCGAGGACGCTTCACAATGTGTGCCTATCCTATGTGGTCCCAATGATCCTCGTCAAAAAACAACGAATTCATCCAAAACAGGTTGGTGGTCCGAACACCACTGAAATATCTTGATAATGGAATCACAGAGCAAATGCCTTCTGGGAATCAATCAATATCAAGCATGACGAACAAATCCCACTTGTAGTAATGGTAGGAAACAGGTCTAAGTTGATTTGACAAAGGGTAAGTAGTGGGAACAGTTTGAAAGGCGGACGACGAGTCCTTGGAGAGTTTCCGGTGCTCCTCCTCAAACAGGTTCCGGCGATGTGCCGGCAACCGATCCAGCACGCTGTCCGCGGCCTGATAGGTTTGGTCGAAGAGAAGGTTTGAAACCCGATGATGCGCCAAGAATCATCATATTTCATATTTTTATAAATTTTCACCATAGAACTCCAAGTGAATCCCTACCGCTCCTACCACTTTCCAAACATTTCCAAACCCATGCTCAGAAATCATAGAACTTTCGAGGCCTCTCTGTTCTGGACCACCAACTTCGCCAAGGCTTTGGCCTGCCGCGGCTGGGACTAGCGAGACCCACACCAGCTTTTCCAAGGTGCAAAACGTGGGTGAAACCATCAGCAGGAATTTCATTGATCATTCACCATCCCATTTTCCAACTTAGAAGTCATAACTCCAGGTTTTCTCCATGGTTTTCCTATGTTTTCCTCAACTTCTTGGGTTTCTGCAGTTTCCCCCATGGTTTTCCCACCCAAATCCCATGGCAAATCGCCAAGGTGCTGCTTCTTGTCGGACCGTGTTGTCCGAGTCATCCACCAGCGGCAGCGCCAAGGTGGCACTCGCATGGAAGAAACGCTGCGTGGCGTCGGGATAGATCTCCAAGACCTGGAGATTTGGGAAGAAAAAAAAACACAACAAATACATTTTTAGCAATGGATCAATATAAAACAATATAGACATATATATATATATACATATATCATATCATATCATATATCATATATATATATACATATTTCATGAACCGATCGTACGTAATAAGTATATATATATATAATTTCTATACATTGTAGAATGTATTATTAATATATTGCAAATGGTACATCATATGTGAAAAAAAACAACCTTTCTCATTTGAAACATTTTGAAACTATGGTTCAAATGGGGATGTACTATGTACATGTATTGATGGCCCCTGGCCTGTGGAAGCTCCAGAGCGCGCATCAGAAGATTCAAGGCCTCCTTCTTCACAAACAAGCCTCAGCAGCTGGTATAAAACTAACATAGCTATTGAAAATGACCATAATTGTTTATGTTAGTTTAGCAAAGGTACCCCATGTTTCTCCAACAAAAATCCAGCTGACTGTGAACAGAAACACATGTTTATCAAAGTGTTGTGAAGTTTGTAGCGGAACAGGCGGCACAGGTATTGAAGCTGTAATACTTTCCTGGCTGGTGCTTAGTCAATCTTTGAAATACCTATTGGTTCCAGCCCCATTGGCACTACACATCACTACACTACAAACAAACCACCGATGGGCAGTGGGAAGTGCATCCAGGGTGAGGCAACCGTGCCAAACCTGCTGTCGGGGCAACCTGCAGAGGATTGATACAATGTTGATGTGAAATATATAAGAACAGATTTTGCTTACCACACAAACATAATGATAATAGTAATGATAATAATAATGATAATAATAATAATAGCAATAGTATCAATAACTTATATATATAATCTATAGTATCATAATATATCATATATATATAATAATAGTAATAATAATAACAATAATAATAATACACGCTCCAACTTCAGAAACATCTGGGCGGGCAGCAAGTCTCAATTGTCCAAATTTGCGGCAGTTTATTCTAGTTCGAAAATGCAAACATGCCAAACGCGCCCGGCCGAGCGGCTCTTAGAGCTGAAGTGTGCAGGCAATTCCTGGCGAAGAAATGCAGACTAGTGACCAGTGAATGGTTATATCATTAGGTGGGTTTCACAGACATAGAATAATCTGAATAATGTCTATCCATCTATCCGTCGATCCATCCATTTACACATCTATCATACAGACAGTTGCATACATATTAGAAAAACATACAGTATACAAATCCAAATGCCTATGCGCACATAAATGCCATTTGTCATCTGCATATCACTGAAATTCCATGGGTCAACCCCCGAGCTTCCTCCAGGAGGACGTCCAAGGGCACAGACCACAGCAGCTGCTCAACCCTTTCGATGAGGCAGTTGGTCTTCCAAACGCCTCCCGTTTTGCGGTATGCGAGTGGTAGGCGGTTTGATGTTGTTTGTTCCCAACATGTGGGGGTAACACCATTGATTGAGCATAATCTTGTTTTTCTCTCGGACTGCCTATATGTGGAACCCTCAACTGTCCATTGCCCAAATTGCATCAAATTGCGAGGTTTCAAGGCGGACTTCAGACTGAATCATCTTCCAACCATCCTCACATCAATCATTACTGCACCTCAAGCCCATACTCAACACCATACGCAACATCAGCATGTCTGAAAATAGACGTAAACGAAAATCTGATTGTTGAGAAAATCGATGAAAATCGTGATCTCACTTGTAGCAACCCCTCCAAAAGATAGAAACCTCAGCCAAGGCTCTTTTGTCATTGATCCGAGCCAACGCTACAGGCAGCAACTGCCGCGCAAGTTTGTCAAAGTGTTTCTGCAAACCCTTGGCAACCAGTCCCATGCCTCAGCAGGGCAACCATTGAGGACGACCAAAAAAATGATGAATCCAACACTGCAGGTCCTGGTGGATCCTTGGACCGTTGGAAAGAGGGGAAAGAAATGAGTCTGAGCCATCCAGCAATTTTTCCTGACCATTTGGGGATGGCACCAGCAGTTGGGCCAGGGCACACTTGGCAACTTCAGTCAGAACTGGGATGTTGCTCTCGCCTTGAGATCTTCAAGCGAAAATTGTATGGATATGATTATGGCACAGAAAGAAAAGCCGGGGACTGGAGCAACCTCCAAACACATCTAGACGGCTTCAGGAAAGCTCCACATTTACTTTGGGAAGGATTATCTGCCAGAAATGAGTTCTCTTGCAATGTAGGAGGCCGCTGTGTGTGGGCATGTGCATGCGTACGTCAGCCAATCGTCACACACACAAACACAAACACACACACACACACAGACACAGACAGGCACAAACACACACTCTGAATAGCGCTCATAGATGTGTATGTGCACGGCACATACGTCTACCTACTTGCATATAATGTAATGGTACGTAATCATGTTTTTTTCGAAGACCGAGGCAACGTTGCGGTCCTTTTTGATCGTCCCGCCAGCGCAAGGGCTGGGTCAACAACTCTCGTCAGTGAACAGGACAAAAAAGTGGCTGGGCAGCAATCTGCCGCAGAGAACATCTACATCATTCTGGGCAAATTGGAATAAAACATGATAAATCCATATAAATCCTCGAAACATCTATGACATCTGGACATATTGGTCATTTTAGTGATGCAAAACCAATTCTTCCAATGCTTCCCCGAATCCGAAACAAAACCATGGTGAGTTCGGTGAGTTCTGTCGCGCCAATTCGGCCCAGGTGATTGAGATGATGCGTTTCTGATCTTCTCCTCGTGTTGCAAAACTTCTCAAACATCTGGAGGACCACGTGGATACAGACCAATCTTGTCAAATTACATCAAGTAAAACACTGGGTGTGTATATTAATATTAACATTAATATTATATATAACCCCAACACACCGGGAATCAACGTGGAGTCGATGCCACCGATTCCGTCCCAGTTTTGCTGGTTGAGTCCTCATTTGGGGCACTTAAAGAATACATATTGGACACCGCGAGCAAAATAAAATAGGTTAAACACATATTTCATAGTGTCATTATATGTTCATATGCATACAAACACGCATATACATACATAGATAGATAGATAGATAAATAAATAAATATATATATATATATATATGTACACACACATATATACATATATATAATTTGTATATAACTATCCAAATCACTTGAGTCATCAGGTGGTCATGAAATCCTCCAACAAGTCGCCAAGAATCGCCCCTTAAGGGCGACCGTGCGGTTCAGTCGTTACTCCTCAACTCCGGGGATCGTCCTCTGGATGATCCAGCTGCTGTTTTCTCATTGGATTGGTTTAAGGGAAAATCTACAGGAAAGCCCATCAAATTACCTATATTTCATGGTAAAAACCCATGGGTTTCCGGTTAAGATTTGACAAACACAACCAATCCATTGGTTTTCCAGTTGGGAAAATGATGAGATGCATTGACAAACCATGATACACCCATTGATAATCCATATAACTTCATATAGCCATCAAGTTTCTGATGGTATCATCGGGCAGCGTATTTTCAGACACACCCATCTGTCACGGGTATTTCAAAATCACCAGCTTCAGATTCGTCGAGGACTTCATTTCGTCCATGAGCCTGCCAACATCTGCCAACTGCATGGCGGCCACCCGCTGAACAGAAGCGAGGATCTGGACAATTTGGCTTCACTGACATATCTTTTTTCAATTGTGGATCGGGTTGGATAGTTGTGGCACCCTCTTACTGTTGATCCTGAAGTCCTTGGGTCTTTGGAGCAGGCAATGAAACAGTCGAGAGATAAAAATGCACGAAGACATTCCCGGGGTCTTTTGGCTCAGGACTACCTATTGCAAGTACGCAGCACACGGGAATGTTAACAAAAAATCTACTCAGCTTTCACTCATCTTAACATATCTAAACAAGAACACCTATGAAACATTATGAAACCCTATTCCTTGGCCCTTTGCATAGATGGCTGGCGAATTTCGGATCATCAGGATCACCATCCATGTCGATCCATGTAGAGTATCCATCGATCTCTGGGATTTACCTCCTTAACTCCATGACCTCACCACTTGGTGCCCGCTGTGACCAAGAAACTGGACCCCTTTCAGCATTTGGTCCTCGGCAGCTGGCTTGATCTCCCAGCCATGTTTTTTTTCTTTCCGGCTCAATGGGACCATTTTTGAAGGCCATGCGATAGTCAAACATCAGCAACAGCAACGCGGAGATTGACAGCAAGATCTTTGCCACAGACATGTCATTGATCTTTGGTTCCAATTATGCGCAACTGTGTGTTGTCTCACACCTCATGTTCCTCTGTGGGGCCCCGGATGAGCCGGAAGCTTTGTATAGCCCTTGGCATCTTTCCAGAACTGGTTGGCGTGAACATGTCATTTTTATCAATCCTCCTCACTATTGAAAAACCAATGCAACGAGTAAGTATTTCGCTTTTAATCAAATCAATTCTTGCTTCTTATGAAGGCGCACACCTGCTCTCATCTACAACATTCTCATTTATTCTCATGGTTGTGACCATCATCATTTAAAAAAAGTGGTCTGTATGCAAATATTGTCATTGGATCTGATCTAACCTGACCTGCTCTACTCTAATCTGTCTGTACATTCATACATACAAGCACATATATATATATATTTATAATAGAATATGATAAACCATAATATAATATAATATAATATAATATATTATAATGTATTATGATACAATATATTATAATATAATATAGTATAGCATAATAAACATATAATATATTAAAATATAATATAATAGGTATATATATATGTATATATATGTGTGTGTTACATAATGTTACAAAACAACAATTTAACATGATAATTTAAATAAGAATGCAGTAAATATACATATCGTATATGTTATATGATGTTATATGCACATATGATATGCGCACATACATACATGCACACAGCAGTGTGCAAATCAATTGGGTAAAGAGAACTTGCCTCTCAAACATCTTCCCAACCGGTCGGGTCAACAAGCACGAATGGAATCTGTTAAACGTATACCATGGTCCATTGGAAATCAGCAACACATGAAAGAGCAGCTGAACATAGCTGAACAAACATCAATAAACAGCATTAAACTACTGCAAGATTCATTCAGCGACAAAATCCGATCCCGACTTGAATCACCTTCTCGATATTGTTCTCGTTCCAGGTCGCCATGTGACCTGATTCACAGCTCAATGACTCCACCAGATCCACCAGTCTCGTAGTCAAAGTAGCAAGGATTTGGCCAAGTGTTTGGAAGCAGTGACCAATTGAGATCCACCTCTCCGGAATTTACAATATAAATAATTATAAATCATTATATTATAAATCTATATAATCTCTCGCAAAACTTAAGTGAAGGTTGGCCGAGACCCTCTTGAAGATCTTGAAGCACTTTCGGGGATTGGGTCGAGCTGAGCTACGAACAAACGCCTGCAATACCAATAATACTACCGGTAGTTGTATTCTCCACCTGAACAATCTTGAACAGTTACCAGGGTCGGGTGCCCCAAGAAAGACCAAACATGAAATCCCGAAAGTGCACTGGACAAATTTCCAGCTCCATTGTGTCGCCAAAAAACCTGACGTCATAATCTCACTGATGACCGCTCCTTCTGAGTTTGACTTGAAATCCTTGGCAATCTGAACCAAGCTGGAAATGGATGGAAATGGATGGAAATGGACCATGACACCCATGCAGCAGTCAGTTTTTTGCTTTTGCAGGCTTGAGCTTCGAAGTGTATCCTTTTCATCCCGGATAATTCCGGTTTGATCATCATTCTAAGACAGCTCCATGAAACTGTGGCAAGCATCCAGCTTCAGTCCCATGGGACCCATTTTCTTAATTTGCACCTGGCGGCTCGAGGCTGTTGGACTCATCTGTTTGACCATTCAGGACCACACATTTGGCTTCTGTTTTGGTAACCTGGTATGTTTTCTAAATTTTCCAGCATTTTCCCATGGTTTTGGCACCAATCTTGACCAACATGGCCCTATCGGCACACATTTAGCTTTCACAAATTCGGATGGGCACCTCCACTTTCTTTGGTCGACTGATCGTCATCTTTACACTGTCCGACGGCTTGCCACTCCGCCTTGGTCAACAAGGTGACCAAAAAATGTCCCGAAAAATGACCCGGCCATGAAAAAAGATGAAAAAAGAGCAGTTACTTGCAGGAGGAAGAGCAGTTCAAAAACAGGAAGGGGTCATTTCATATACAATACAATAGGATACAATAGGCATTCTAACAGTTGTATAAAACCATGGGAATTATAGCCATCAACAAGAACCATAGCGGCTTTAACCATATTCTTGTAGTAGTTGTTGATGATTGGGGTGTCGTCTTCCCCGTTGGAGGATGCAGCCGAGTGGTCTCAAAATGGAAGGCTCGATTCACTAGAGACCCAAAGAAAACAACCAATGACTCGAAAACACAGTATATAATACGGTAATATACGGTATATCACATGACAACGAAATACACAAACTGATCAAAGCAATGATAACTGAACAAAACATTGTGCCACTGAAAAGTATGACCGCAATCAAACAGCAAAAACACAAAAAAAAACAACAGAACTACTAAGGCTCCTGTGGAAAAAAACCATTGACATTTCAGTGGGGATCTGGGACATCCCAAGCGTCATCTTTTGCTGGATCTCGCTGCTGCCCTTCACGCCCTCGAAGTCGCAAATACGGTCGTAGACTTGAATTGCCTGCGCACGAGCCAACTGCATCTCTGGAATGCCCAAGTCAACTGCTCAAACACTTTCAAGGTTGATACTAGATAGCTGATATGTATATATACAATATAACATGTATAACATGAATATATATATATATATTGTCAAACTCCCTAGTTTCCTTGGGTAATCCTACATGACCACATATCCATTCCCACGTGTTCTATCTTCACTCGCCGGCCGACTTCGTCGCTTGGAGCGGTGGGACGGGACGTGGAGCCAAAGACCAAAAGGGCAGTAGCTGTGTGAGCAGGGACTCCAGCCGGTAAGGACATCTTTAAGGGATAAAGATTCACATTGGTAGCGGAGCCTC